TTGTGGGGCTGTGGGGTTGGGGGTTGGGGGGGCTGTGGGGTTGTGGGGTTGTGGGTAACTTTCTTAGCCTCATGTAATTACAAGAAACAATTAAGCACATTGCAAAAAAGCAGCGAATGAAATTACTACAGACAGTGATTCTTTAGGGGCGCTGTCTCCATTGTAGCTCTCAATTTTTGCGGCAGACAAATGGAACGTCTGAAAGGGAGAAGCGGCATCCGAGCAAAGGTCAGCATGTTTGCAGGAGGAGTTTGCTGTACATCCAGACGATACAAATGTCGCTTGCATGTCTATGCACTGCTGTTGCAAGTAAAACACGCTGTCTCCTTCCTTTACGACAAAACAACGATCGTCCTTTGTGCTCGTCTTACAAGAAAGTGAGACGAACCCACAAAGGAAAAAACAGTGCTTGGACAGTTCCACTTTGGTTTCTTGGGGGCCGACCCGTTTGTTCCTTCAAGAAGATAACCACATTTCTCGCAATTTGGAGGCTTCCTGCGATTAAAGTAAGAATGTCCGCACTGCAGACATTCACCAAAACCTGATCTCGTGCTCTTGGATGAAAGCAGGTTGACGCACGTGGCTTACACACAAAGAAGGATAGAATTTAGCAGCGACAAATGAAACAAAATGGACATAAAACAGAAATGAGAACTACCTTTGGCACGAGTGCAATGGAACAAATAAGATAATGAACAGACAACGAACAAAAAAACATTACCAACACTTTTGACAAACAAAGTGAAATGAATAGAAACACCAAATGACAGTCAAGAAAATGGCACTTGCAAAGCGAAATGGATTGGACAAGGAGAATGAATACAAGAAGAGTAATAGAAAACACTAGCTAACCTCTTGGCACAAGAGACAATGAACAAGTGCAGAGAGAATAACCCTGGATAAGCAAAATGAGAAAGATGAAGACAATCGAGCTTGTCGAAATGAGAGGAATGAGTGGCTGGTTTATGTTACAACCTCATGGTGAAATACTGTATAAGCCAATCAGATGGCTTACAACCCAAGCAACCCTATCAAACAAACCAGCCAATCACATAGCACGTTACTAAAAGTGCGTGTCAACTGGAAAATTCATAGGCAATGTAGGCTTGTCTGATGTAACTACCTTGAGCTGGATTATTGTCAATCTCATCAGGTGGCACTGGTGCACCAGGGTCCCCGGGTCCTGGCAAATTATTTAGATCCACTTCATCTGTGCCAGGTATCCCAGTTACCACAAGAAGCTTTGGGTCTTCCGAAGGATTAGAAACGCTGTTAAAGTTGGAAGGAGGTGAATCTTTGGGAACTGTAGAATGGAAATTGATTTTTATTACTAAATTGCATGAATAAATAGAAAAAGATATCTTGTATGAGTCCAAGCAAGTTTCTGTAATTAAAAGTAAAACACTGTAACTAATAACCAGGGCCTGGTATGTTGAAAGATGGTTATGATCAGCAGTCCAAATATCTTGACCCTAGGAAATGCTGACATAGCAGCCTGGGAGCAAGTACCCAGTGGCAGATGAACATCCCTGGGCCCAACTTGCTAGTTAAGTGTGTCCCAATCTGAGTGGACTAACAGATATGGATCCCCTCTGTCAGATTTAGAACTTCCTTTTAAAACAGCTTTCCCTCATGATTGCAGCAACTTAAGTTGGGAAAAGGGGGGGCAGGGCGGAGGTGGTGGTTGGAGAGCAATCTCCAATTAACCTGATGTGCAGAGAAAAATATTTGACTGGAAAAAAAAATTATATTTCAGCTTGTCACCCCATCACTCATGACCTAGAACAAAGAGTAAACCAATCACAATAACTAAAAACTTTTGCCACACGCAATCTTATTTTCAAAAAGCGACAGACTTTTAGGTGAAGTCGCAAGAAATGTGAAGCATTCTAATTTTTGTGACTTCCATTTAGCTTACGACACCGCTTATAACTCCAATTCTTGATATTGACGCGGTTGTAAGCCATCTGACAACTCGGATTACTACTTCGGCTCACAACAGCTGCTTCAGCTGAAGCAAGGCTGTTGTTGTGCTGTGTCGTATTTAAGTATTGTTTACGGCTTACTTTGTTCTTGTTTCCTTCTCTCAAATTCAATGAGGATTTTTTCCAGGACATGAGCTTGACCGGTGCAATTCTCTCTGATAGCATGACAAAACTGATCAAAAGCTGTAGATCCTCTAGCAATAACAAGATCTAACAACATGTTGTTGCTCCTTCTTGTTGTTTTTTCCGCGTTAATAAGCTCTTGGTCATCCATATCAAACACACGTTTTGACCTCAGGTAAGTGATTATTTTGTCCGCTCTTAGCTTTGGTACAAGCCAGTCTCTTAGATCTTCCAAAACTTCGCATTTAATCCGCTCGTAAAGTTCGTATTCTAGAGCGGAAGTTGGGAAGTTTGCCGCCATGTTGAAATGAAAGAGTATCGAATCGCGCAATGCCGGAAGTTTAAAAATGTTTTCCTGTAGTGGTAGTCTGCTGGCTTTTATCAGTGCAGTCACAAGAGTTTTCAAGATGGCGGCTTTATAGCCAGTTGACCGGAGTACTTGCCTTATCACCTTCTAGCAAGGACGAGGACGAAAACAGCGCCATGGGCCTTCCAAATCTCACTCCAGAGGAAGAGTATCTCCTTAAAAAGTTCGCCCTGCTAAAGAAAAAGGTACCTTTCTCTTCATATTTCGCTTTCATTTTGTGGCATGCGAAGATAATTATTTTCAAGTTCCTGTTTACATTGACGTGCTGCTATGAAAGGAGTTGTAAGGCAGTTGTGGTTTGTTTGTGGCATTTTGATTTTTTATCGCAGAAGAAAGAACTGCAGAAGGCTAAAGATAAGAAAGAAACTACAGTAACTAAACCAGGCACGAAAAGAGGTAAAATGCGAAATGAATGGTGATAAGTTATGTACTATGCATTTAAGCTGATTTTTTGTCCTGATTATTTCGTTAATTATATTTGCTACGTCAATACCAGACATAATTATGAAACTAGAGCGTCGACTAATATGGAACTATTCGTCCCTTTTTTAATACCAAGACTGGTCAATGTAAGTTAATGTACATTTCTTGCAACTGGCCCTCAGACTTTAGAGTGATCTAGTTGGAAACATTAGGGTTCTAAGTACCACGGTCAATTTAAAAATGAACTAAACTCGCCAAAAGGCGAATTCACTGGGCTGCTTCTACTAACACTAGACAGAAATATTGTACTGTATGAAAACGAAAAGTTTCCGAAAACAGACAGCCAACTGTCCATTGATCCTGATCCATGGGCCTCATTGATTACTCTGAGATGATCTTAATTCACGGTCAATATATACAGTCTGCATGAAAACTGTTTTCATGTTAAACGCATTATTTTTTCCACAAGATAAAAGATATTCAGTTTCAAGATTTTTCTCTTGGTATTTTTTCTCTAACTTAAAAGACTAAAATCCTTTGCATTTTGTGACTGAAGTGGCTTTCATCAGCACCCACTTTAACGGGATTCCCTTGTTTTGCACTGCGCATCTCTTACTGCGCATAACAAGATGGCCTGCGTAAAAAAGAGCATGTGAAGTAACATTATTAAAATGAAGTTTACTGAAGAGAAACGCTATTGCATTTTTTGCTTGCGGTTGTTTCTTGCCGAGGTGAGACTCAGTTTGGTGGGAATGTGCATAACGTAAGCAGTACGCATGTTGCTGAGTTCGACTTCCTCACGGAGAACCTCGATATTGGATGTTTAATTTGTGCTTATTCACTTTGATTTTCATTTTAAACGCTTTCTTTATCACTTTGTGTCCTAAATGTGGTATCTCGATGTAAATTCTGTTAAAACGGATTTTTTAATACTTTCTTCCCCCTTTCGCAAACATTCTATTTTGAAACTCGCCCCAGTCCTCTCTCAAAAATCAAGGAAAATGCATTTGGTGCGCACTTTCTGCAGCTCTACCACAAAAACGAGTACGGTGACCCCCATTTTTTATTTCATGATTTTAATAAGGACAGTACTTCCTTTTGGTGAGAAAAAAATTGGCACAAATCTATGTTCAGTTTTTTGGCAATTTTACTAAATTGTACGGATTGAGCTATCACGGGTCGAATAGCGCGTGCCCAATTTAATTCTACTTTGGAGCGTAAAGAAAAAACAAGGGCATTACAAGGCATTTTTCTGGTACGTAAGTGGATAAACAATACATAAAAGTCAAATTCTGTGCGATACCACATGCATCATTGAAAAAATCTTTCCTTTTTGTCTAGTTTTGGGCTGCGAGCGGTTTTTGTCAAAGGGTCCAAAATACCGGTAGCGGCTTGGCGCACGCTACTGGTGTACACGAGCGTAACACCGTGCCTTAAGCACGATTCGCGCTCAAGAAAAGGCACGGTTTTTGTGCCAAAGCACGGGAAAAAAACATGCAAAGGCACAGATTAGGCACACTTTAGGCACAGTTTGGGCACAGTTTTGGCACGGTTTAGGCACGGTTTGGGCACAGGCTGGGCACTTTTTTGAAAATCTTTGTAACCCGACTTGCAAAAAAGAACAAACTTGGTACGAATTACAAAAATAATTCAGATCAAACACGATACAGTTAGAAGTATAGGAAGTGTAAGTTTTGAGCCGCGCCGAAAGTCTGGAAAATTAAAGTATTCTTCGACAGTCCGTATTTACTCCGAGGATAAAGTGGAAATTCACACGCGATATATGCCAGTCTGAACCTTCTCGATTGCCATGCAATTTTATAGACTCGCTTTCTTTCGTTTCTAAAAGAAATCGTGAAAGAAAGTCGAAGCCATAATAACAAAAACAAAGCTAAAGAAGTGAGGCACAAAAATAGCCAATAAAAGTTGTAGAAAATACTTTTTGCGATCGCGGTAAAATTGGCCTGAATTTGCATAACAACATGAAAAGTACAGAGTGGTAATTTGAAACCTTCATGCCAACGCATGTTATTTTTAAATACAAAATGCGGCTGGTTTTTAAAAATATTTCTCTAACTAAAAAAGTAGGATTTACACTGTAGTAAAATAATTCAAGCTGCTTGTTTGTTTTTGTTTTCTGGCTCTGTTAGCAAATTAAGCTTTGATCGTATAATAATCGATGAGACATGCCATTTATTTCATCAAAGCTCATCGGCGTGCAATCAATTTTTTCGTTTTCATTTTATAAGTCATATCACAAGTAAATTCTTTTTTGAATGCAAATCTGCCCTCCTGAAAAAAAAAAAAATATTTCGCTCCAACTAAACGCCCATTAAGAAGGGGAGAAGAAACCTACTTGGAAATTTTTTAACATCGATGAAATTAGCATAATATCAACAATGTAATTGCATGCTGAGCACTTACTTTAAATACGCTAACCTGTTTAAGATTCCATTTTCCTGTTTGTCGGGGCTTTCCCTGCTGTCTCTAACCGTATTCTGAGTCATGTTAGTTCTTATTATGGGACAAAAAGGTCGTCAGACCGTGTTTCTAGACTTCGTAAACCTCAAAACTGACATAATTGAAACCTCAAAACTGACATAATTGCCGGCATGGCGCCCTTTTATGCGCTTCTAGGCTGTGGACACGATTTTCTGAGTGACTCAATATTTTGGCACAACTTGTGCACAGATTAGGCACAGTTTGGGCACAACTTTTCCAAAGTAGGCATGGCTTAAATGGCAAAAATGGTCGTTTTTTCAAAACTAAAATGCACACTTTATGCACATCTTAGGCACATTCTAGGCACAAAATCTTTATGCCAAAGCACACTCTAGAATCCGATTTTGTTAGGTTCGGTCCAACAATGTAAATACGGTTTACAAATTTTCACGTTAAAAAAATGCTGTCTAACCTTACATATTTGATCTTAGCGTAAAAATGGGTTTCCCGAATTCTTAACAGTTAGTCTATAAGGAAAATTAAACTTATGAGCATTCCAAAAATTATTATTTCTTCTCTTAACAACAACAGAAAGTCAATGAAAAGCAATCTTGTATCAAAAAAAGGTCTGAACTCCAACCTCATTTCCACCTGAAACTGTCTGAAAATGGGCTATTAAATGATCTGTTGATCAATGGGAACAATAAACAATAATCTTGCATCTAACTCTCAAGGAAAACAAGCAAAAAATGTTGGTGTATTTTACTGTTGACCAGAAGAAAATGATACTGAATTTAATGCCAGCCTTTTCGTGGGCATGGTGTAGTGGCTTGCATCCATTCTATTAGATTATGGTTCATTCCACGGGCATCCCAAGCTCACATGACAAGAGTGGATGTGAGTTTTTAAGTTAATAAATTAAATTATCTATCCTCCTATTCCTTACTTTCTATGCTTCAGATGCACCCGTTGATGTTTCCCATGCACCTGAAGATGCCAAAGAGATTGCCAAGAAGCTCATTGCCTCAGGGGTAATTTAAACCTGCACTAGTATGACTATGGAAAGCACCCAGGGGGGGACTCCCATATAAAAATGACATGGAGGCTCATGGTCTCGCTTAGGGGTGTAAATTGCAGATTTTGGTCTCTCTTAGGGTGTTTAGGACAGAAACTAACTATTTTTGCCCATTTGGGTATTGCTTAGGGCTGTGACACTGGCCACACAGAAATCAAATGTTGAAAAAGGAACACAACATGCCTGGCACAACACACTCTAGCTCTTATTTAGATGTCTGTTTTAGTATGGTCTCCTGTAGAGGTCAATTTACCCTTCTACCACACCCACATTGGGTCACATCTCTGTCACGTTTGTATGGGAGTCCGCCCCCCCCCCCCCCCGCCACGAGGGAAAAACAACACAACTGTATCATTGATTGGCCTGTTTTACTTCTGTCAGGCATCAAGTTTGAATAGATTATTGTTCCAATCAAATAAACCAAAATGCATTGATCAAGAAACCCTGGGAAGACGCTGTACAGGGACTAGGCAACGGAAAACCTAATGATTTTAATAAGTATTAGAGAATAATAGGCGTGAAAGCACCAAATAAGTGAAAGGCCTGAGTGAGCCAGGGTATGAAAAAATAATTATTGCTTTCTTGTTTAGCCCAGGATAAGGAGAATGATCTGTTGGACTTCTCTGTTTCCACCACATAATAATAAAGGGCTCCATGCAGAAAGCACCATACCCCTACAAAAAGGAAATGAGAGGGCCAGGAGTTGTTTTTCATAGAATTTGGAAGCCTTTTTAAAATGGTCATAGCCACCTGCCTCTTTATGATAGCCCTGTTGCTATGATCTAAATTACAATCCAGAAAGTTTCAAATATATCAAGTTAATAACTAGTATTATGTACAATATTAACAGGCAAAGAGAGTGAAGGAACTAGACTGCTGTGTACAGCAGGAACTGATATCGTCTTTGTATATACAGTACCCTTGATTCCACACCAAGTGTGTGAATCCTTATCATGATTCAAGTGCCCCTAACTGGGCTTCATTTCAGGGTTATTACAAATTTAAGGCCAAAACCAACAGTTATCTGAAATTGTATTAGTTTTTTTCAGGAGGTGAAGATTAAAAAGGATCCTGTTCACAGAGAATTTAAAAGAGCAAAAGGCAGTGAAAGGAGGCCAAAGGTAGACATAGTTATTATCAACTGCTGTCCTGGCATTGCCAATGTTGTCTTTGGCATTACATCTGTACTATTATCTAGAATGACCATAAACTGCCAATTGTGAGCCCTGGGCTTATATACAACTTCTCGAGGGGTTTGAGGAGGGCTTATGTACAGATAGCCTGCGAAAACAACCGTTTCTCCTTGCTCCTTCCGCTGGGGACGTTTCGCACGGAGGAACATCTGCAACTCAGCAACAGAAATTCCATACTGATGACGCAAATCAATGTTTATATAATAGATCCGGTAGTCATTGGGCTCCAAATACAAATTTGTCCAATTTTACGTGTTTTCTGGTCGATTTTGGTAAAGTGTTGTGTTCATCTGCCAATGAGCTCCAGCAAATCTCAAATGCTTCTTCTAGAGAAGACTATGTTCCACAAACATTGACTGTTTTGTTAGAGATTCTGCGCATTTACATCTGACCTTTGTGGCCTTTTGTCTTTTGTCTGTCATTCGTAAACAATGGCTAAAACAATGTAACTACTCTGTCGACCAATCAGCTCTTCTGACCAGATTCCGAACAGATATTACGTCATCAGTATGGAATTTCTGTCGCTGAGTCACAGACGTTCCTCCACGCGAAACGTCCCCAGTGGCGAAGAGCGAGGAGAAACGGATGTTTTTGCAGGCTAATAAACAGAGGGGGTACATTAACTAGCTAGTGGAGCAAATTTCTGATAGTGTAGCTCATAGATTCACAAGGGTACCATTCTGCTTAACGCACTAAACTTCTAAAACTACTATTAAATATAGTAGTCTCCATCCTATCGTAAACAATTTCTTAATAACCATCATCAATTTTATTAACTATTCAACCTTGATTGTGGTTTTTCATTAATTTGTTCTTTTCTTCAGACAGATTTCCAGCAACAACAACTACCTTCTTCTAACAGAAATGAACAGCAGGTAACACCACTGCATCTTGTTCTTTGCTGGTTATCAAAGACAAACCTGACTTGAATGAAATAAATAAAATTATCGTAGAACTTCATCTTGCACTGATAGTAAGGCCAAGCATTTTGAATTGGATCCAATTTTTTATCCTCAATGGAGATCAAATTTTGATTTTCATTGTAAAACCGTTACTGGATCGTTACGTTTTTAAGTAACTCCAAATTTTGTCTTAATAAAAGTCCTTTTCAGGGGCCCTCAAGTAGATCTTTCTGTAAGAAGGGTGAGTTCTGTTGTTTACTAAGCAAAAAGGCTTTTAAGTTTTACTAAACAGCAGTCTATATTGTGGGAAAAAAATTGCAAACTGGGACTAATTTTCTTCTTATAAACTTGGTGAAAACACATCTCTATTAAGTTGGAAACTGTTTTTGTAAGAAAATTGCTTTCTAGCTGGTCGATTCAAATTGCCACCTGCCCAAATTATTGTTCTACACCCTAACTTGTACAATTATTTTTGATGGAAATCACCAATTTTTGGGGGTTGTATAGAATATTGAATTGTAAACTGAACCTTGTTATTTTTCTCTAACTAATAGTCACATGCAGCAGCAATGAAGAATCTGTATGAAAGGTAACTGACAAAGAAGTGTAAATTTTATAACACTGTTTACTCATAATTACTCTGTAACAAGGATTATGCTGGGAACAACTACATTTTAGAGTGTGGTAATACAATTTTTAAATGTTATTTCTAAGCAACCAACCGAGACATTTGTGGTAACCAGGCCATGTTTGATCATGAGAATAGTTGAGGAAACATTCTTGTTTTTTGTACTCCTGGAGACGTTACAGTGTTCTTGCTCGAAAGAGCAAACAAATAAGTGAATGCCCTTTATAATTAATTCTGTTATTTATTTATTTTTTTTTTAATAGCTTTGTGCCTGCCTCTTCCACGCAGAACAGACGATTTTCTGAAGGTATAATTATTTTATAATTATTATTAATTATAATATATACATTTATATTGATAATTATATTATATATAATTATTGATTATAATTATTAATTATTATGTCACATATATTTATAAGCATTTTCTTAAATATCAGAGCCAATCTCGATGAGAGAAGTTCAATTTTTCAAATTGTTTTTTTAGGGCAGGGCTCCAGAAGAAGTTGGTCAGATGAACCAAGAAAGGTATGACTGCAATATTGCATTGAAATGTATTAAAACTGTACTCTAAACTTACATTATTACTCTGCTCTCAAAATGCAAACTTGTAATCAAACAGTGAGGTGTGATGAACCCCCTGAAGTTTAAAGGGACTGGCACTTATTAGTTTTTCCTCTAGTTTTGCGTTCAGTTTTTCAAAGCTAGTACTCTATGTAAGTTGAAATTTCTTATTGGCTCTTTTCTTGTTACAAGAGACTTTCCTCATCGCTCTTTGGTTTTGCCCTGTTAGTAAAGACAAACGCATCAAAATAAGCCCCTTATAGTAACCTGTTTGAGATGCCTGTACCCTTTGCACACGTAAATTTAGTTTCACGTTTATTATTTTTCAGGGCTCACACAGTCTTGAAAAGGTCCTTGAATTTTAGGGGAAGTCCTACCCTGGGCACCAGAGGTTTTTCTCGCGCGCGGCGGAAATTTTCGGTGGTGGCCGAAGGCCGACACATCTTCGTCCGTAGGCCGAAACCGGAAACCGCGCTAGAAAAGTCTCCGGCACCCAGGGTAGGGAAGTCCATGAAAAGTCCGTTAATTTTCTTCAACTTTGAATGTAGTAGCTTGAAAAGTGTTTTAATTGCTTTTTGGTTGTCCAAGACAGAATATAAATCATAGCGCGGAGAACTTAGAGGTGATTTGGATAAAGCGTTTTTTTTGTTTTATGCAATAACTAACTATCAATTTGAGACAAGTGTCTAAAAAATGTTGAGAAGTTGGTGGATAAAACAGTTCAAACCTTTAAGCCCTGTTAGGATGGACTGAGAATGTGCATTTGTGTACAATCTGTTAAATTACTTTCCTGGTAGGTGGTCTTGAAAATCAAATGTGGTCCTTGAAACAGTCCTTGAAGAGTCCTTAAAAAACGGTTGCATTTTTTGTTTGAGACCTGTTTTTACGAAAAATAGTGAACTACGAATGCCCACAACTTCATTTGCATTCTACGCAAGAAGATTTCTATTCGTTGTTTCGCGAGAGATTAGTGACCAGAGAAGCTTTTGTTTTTCTCAACTCGGAGTTCGAGACTCGAGACTTGCGCAAGTGATTCTTAACTTACAGAGTAGAGTGCTTGTCAATCTACTTCACTGTTCAAAGTAACCGCTTAGGAGCGGGGCTTAATCGAGGCTGCTAGCGCAAATAGAGGGAAATATGGTACATGTAGATAGATGTAGATGCAGATGTAGATAGTGCTGAATACACTGACCATTTGTTTCTTTATACTTTATATAATTTTAAAGATAGTTGTCTTTAATGTATAACATGTCGCTTACAAAGTTTATTCTTACAGGGTAATACAATCTTTGTTAAAGGATATGGTTTAACGGAAAAAATTCTTCAGGAATCATTTACTAAATTTGGTGAGTTGACAGGTCACTTGCACAGGACGTGTTCTGTAGCTTTAGTTATTAAGACATTACATAAGAGTGATTGGGAGTTCATTGGGTGATATCTTACGAACAAAATCTTTGTTTGGTCTCACAAGCACGAGCGTTGGGGTTCACCCGTAAATTTTGAAGAAGGCGATGGACGCCAAACGCTCGCCCCTAAGCTTTGGGTGTGAACCTAGTTCTGAACCAGAAATGTGGAATACCGTGACATAACTCCTTTAAAATGTCCTTTTTGCACATTTCAGGGAAAGTCCAGCGAGTCAACTATGAAAAGGACAGAAGGTAATGTTAGTTTCTGCAAGCTCACACAGACTGGAGTGTGGTCGTGCGTTCATCTAGTTAGTCCCGCTTGCGTAAGCAGCGAGACTCAATCTGCAACGCGTTTTTCTTCGTATTTAGGACACAAAAGCGTTGCTAGAGGAGAACGTGGAAACTGGGAATAAGAATCGTTGCGCGATCGAAGACACGCATGTTTTTTGAAGAAAGCTTAGGAAAGATTTAATTTAAAGCTTCTTCGAAACGTGTCGGTCCACGAATGCTATCGCTTCAAAACGTTGATTACTTTGGAACAAGTGAACATCACTGAGTGGTCGGAAAAAAAAAATAAGAATCTTAATTAGCAAAACTGCGATGGTCGGTTGTTGTAAACTTTCATTGTATACAAATGAGTCTTGTGATGAGCATGCGGTTTATTTTCGGCGATGATTGAAATGACGTGCCATGTAAATCACTTCTTTGATCTCTGGCAATGATCTAATTTCTCTGGAATCGAGGCCCTTGAATTTTCGTGTATTTAGACACGCGTATAGCCTGCGACCGCAGACGTATTTGCGGTCGTCGCTAACACGCGTATCAAATCAATTCAGAAACAAATAAAAAGTATCGACGACGATAAATTCGGAAGTAAAAAATCTCTAGCGAGTAAATCCTGTTTCGTGTAGAATTAATCGCCTCCTCATTTCTCGATCTAATCTCCAAGCAAGCGAGACTGAACGCGGCGGTAAGAGCGCTCTTGTTTTCCAAAATATTATATCACTCATAATGAGCATTAAACAAAACGAATCCCAAATTTTATATTATCAAGAAATGCTCAAAGAACAAATAGTACCTCATCAAAGTACTGCGGCAGATGTTTCATTTGATTGGTCACACCATGAGAATTTCATCCACAGACTCAAAAGTTAGAACTACATTCTAATTATGTGGTAAAACGTGAAAGTACGGTTAAAGAAGTTTCATTTGCAAGGCCACATCATAGATATCATTCACCACTCTGGATGTGTAAGGCATAAGGAACGCTCTGCAAAAGCTGATGCAGTTTGAACGTTTCGGATCACTTATCTCTTTGTGTTTCTAGAAATAGTATTTAACATCCCTTCAATTTAGAGCGATATTTATCTTTCCTTGAAAGAAGCAAGGGTTAAATGTTATTCGGCTGATTCTCACTAAACTAAACACTAAATAGTGGATATACATTTTTGTAAGGTGGCTGAAGATACGTTCAAGGAGTCAAGGAATTCCTAGAGTAGAGAAAAAGTCTTCTTAAGTTCGTTCTGCGTGCCTTAAACAGTTTTACTACACAGTCAACAGCATATCCGTTTTTCTCCACAGCCAAGGATTTGTGACTTTTGAATCTTTCGACGCCGCAGAAAATGCTATCGAAGAGGTGTGCTTCTATTTTAAGAACTAATGTAGTAGACATATGGATAGTATAAGAAAATATTAAAACAAAAAGTGCTAACTTCTATAAACCAAAGTTAAGTTGCCAAAATTGAAAGCCATTGCTAAAGTTTGGCTCTGTCTTAATCACACGCCGCGCAGATAATATCGTCCTTCAAAAATATCCAATTTATCAGAACCACCCAAGATGTGCACTTTAAACTTTTGGCGCGTTTCCCTGAACCTGACACCTTTTCCCCTCTTTTCCACAAATTACAGCATTTGCACCTTTTTTCCGCCCTCCACACCCTTCAGTTGTCGGTTTTCCGGCTTTAATACTGTCGCCGCTCGTTTTTCGAGTTTGATAAGTGCTAGACTTTTCCCTCCAGTCAGCGACTGATGTGAACTTTCGCTTGGCAATTTCCGCAAGTGCCCTGACTTGCTCACCTTGCGTCATTACTAAATATTTTGTTAGAAAGATGCCTTTAAAGGGAAAATTAAAGTAAAATTTCATTGATAAGCTTTCTCTGCTCTTCTCAGATGAATGGTATGATGGTATCTGGTGTTCATATCAAGGTGGTTCTCGCGAGGAGGCAAACAAACATGGGTGACTCACATTTTCGTTCCAGACCCGGGTTGGGAAGCAGAGGTAAGTGCCGTATAGAAACAATTACTATCAGGTAGATTTTTTTCTCCCGTATAGGTCAGAAAAAAGTCAGGGAATTGCTTGTAGAACGTCAGGGAAATTTCTTAGTTCTTAGCTAGTCATTGAAAAGTCTAGCTTCAGAAAAAAGCCGACATTTCGCTTCGTCACCACTCGTTTTCCGCGAAATGATTCTGAGGAAAGAGCGCAAAAATTCCATACTGATGACTTGTCACTACCCAGAGTTGGGTAGTGCTCCTGATTGGTCGTGCCGCGGGAAATATTCGCTTCAACCAATCAGAAGCACTACCCAGCTCTGGGTAGTGTCGCGTCATTAGTAATGGGATTTTTTTCGATAGTGCTTCTGATTGGTTGAAGCAAAATTCCCGCGGCACGACCAATCAGAAGCGCTACCCAGATCTGGATAGTGACACGTCATCAGTATGGAATTTCTTCGCTTGTTTCTCTGACGTCATTTCGCGGGTGGCGCCTCGAAATGTCTGTTTTCTCAGGCTATGAAAAGTCGGGGAAATTCTGCCTAGTCCCTAGGCCTCATTATTCCGCGGGGACGAAGCGTTTCGGGTCACGTGGTCCAAGTGAAAATACGTCACGGAAGTGAATTGACCGAGAGGGACTGGGAAAACACCGTACTGAGACTAGGCAAAGGAAAATTTATTTCGAGTCACCCACATGCTTTCTTGAGGATTATAAACTCAAGACATTTTCATCCAGAAAAACTAGTCTACATTGGATTGATTTTTATACTACAGGGAACAAAACGAAAATGGAAATAAAGGAAAAATTGTTATTTCGCGCAAAAGAAGTTACGTGAATGTGAAAGTATACAAGGTCTGTGATAATTGCGTGAGGGACAGTCAAGAATTTGTTTTTAGTTCCAGTGAAAGGCAACCCCGTCCTTTTGTCCGCCTTGTCCCTTACTATCAAGGGAGAGCACCTATTAAGTGCAAATCTTTTTCATTTTGCAGATTCAAGAGGGCATAGCTCTGGTCTTCAGTCGCGAGAAGGAAGGGAACTTATTTCATATGATGATATATGAACAAATTCCTGAACGTGAAGGTCCTTGGCCAGGAGAGATTTTCATTTCCTGTGGAGAGTTAAACAAGAGTAGAAATTTTTCCTTGTAATTAAAGCTCACAGATCATTGTTGGTATTGCTAATACAAGCTGTTTCCAACTCAGCGGCGAAAATGTACTGAGTGCGAGCTGTGTACGGAAGGTCCTTTTGATTTATAAATTCGATCACCGTCGATTACTCCGCTTTCTTTTGCCCCACACAAGTGAAAAATTGAATACAGTCGACTCTATTTTAACGGACTCCTTCATAACACAGTCACCTGGCACCAGTTGCTCAACAGCTGGGAAGCGTTTTCCACAGGGTAAACCACTGACGATCTTTAGATTTGATTACGATTAGGAGATCGAGTACGAATACAATCTCGGAATGCCAAGCCAGTTCTGTTCCCAGAACTTATTCCTGTTGCTCAGAGCAGATATAGAAACTGATATGATGAGAGACTTACAAGATGAGACCCTTGCTGTGATGAGACAAGTGTTAATGGTTAAGCCCGAACACGTAAATTGAGTCTTTTACTGGTAATCACCTTCCTTGTAGGCATCTGTGTTTGTCTTGAGATAACAGAGAGCTTAAGCAACAACGACGGCAATGGCTACAAAAACGTCAGTTAAAAAGAGAAAGTTAATTCGCGCTGCCCTCAAACTTTATCGCGCTTATTCCAATTTGGTTTAGTTCGTCAGACGTTGGCATACTTTTGGGGGGCTTAATTCTAAAACAAGCCGTTGTCTTGTGTTCCACAAAACGTGAAATTAGGAATTTTCACGTCGTAGTCTTGCAACGATGGCAAAGAAATGTACAAAAGAGCGGGATGCACACGCAAAGTTGTTCTTTTGCTTTATATCTTATCATATTGCTTTTTTGCCGTTCTCGTTGCCGTCGCTGTCGTCGTTGCTTTAGGTCCCTGACGCTAGCACCAAGATTGGTGAAAGTCACTTCTGTTGGTAGCAGCGTTTGGAGTGACTCAGCTGGATGATTCTTGCGTGACAGTCTCGTCCACAGGTGTTGCAAACAAAGTAGGACTGTGGATTAAGGTAATGTTACACGGGACGATGTTGGAACAGTGTTGTAACTATTCGCACCAATATTGCAACGCTGTGTTGCGCTAAAAATCGTCGTTGCGAATCGTCTCTTGTAACATCACCTTTAAAGGCTTTTGAGTCTGCTGCCTACTCAATCTCGTATTCATGGTCCAATCCTCTTACTGGATAACGCGATTGATTTTCCCAAAACTTATCGACTGGACAATAATTTATCCAGTGGATATTCCTATCCACCTTTTGAACAACTGGGTCCTGAAGGTGTTTCTTGTATTTCTTCAGACATTTTCTTTGCCTCTCTTAGAGGCGGACACCTCTCCAAGACGAAATCCTACGCGGTTTTAACAGTGTCTTGGAGAGAGAAGGGAGATTAAGCAACGGTGACGGCGACAGCAACGAGAAGGGCAAAAAGAAGTACTTCTCTGTGCGTGCTTTACGCTTTTTTGTACATTTCTTTGCCGTCACTGCACGACTACGACGTGAAAGTTCATAATTTCACCCTTTTATAAAGAACGTGAACAGAAGACTTTTTGCTGAATTGGATAGAGTCGTTTCGAATTCAACTACTGAAAAATTCGCCAAATTTTGACAAATTGACCGAGGTAGAATTATAGCGGTGAAGTTCGAAACAGCGCGAATTCGCTTGAGTGTTTTAAGTGACGTTTTCGCTGTCGTCGCCTTCGTGTTTGTAGGGAGCTTTAGCAACGACGACGGTGACGGCAATAGGCCACTTCAGAGTTCCAAAAACCCTCACTTTCAAAATGAGGCTAGGTGCACAACCTTTCTTGTGAAAATGAGTTTTATTTGTATGAGAATGAAAAATGATTTCCATATCAAAGGCTGAGCACCTATCCTCGTTTTGAAACAGAAGCCTGGGGGAACTCGGAAATGGCCTATTAGAAAGTGAAAAAACAATAGGTTTAATGAGCAAAACAGCAACTTTGCACGTGCATCACGCTTTTTTGCACATTCTTTGCCGTCACTGCACGACTACGACGTGAAGATGCTTAGTTTCACGTTTTATGGAGAACGTAGACAAGCGACAATGATTTTTTCTTTCTTGGTCGACGGAGCTAAAGCTCTCTATTGAAAGCTACTTCGTTGTTTTTCGTTATGAACTGCGGTCCAAACTTCCGGAAATTTCGGGTTTTCATTGAAGAGTTATCCAATGCTCGTTCCCAGTCCCTAATTAAACTAAGCAGACCAGCAGATGAAGTTCACGTGGAATGCTGGGTAAGACGAAAGTGGGGGCTTTTTTGGCGGGATCATATTCTTATACCCGACGGTGAAAATCAATCAATCAATCAATCAGTCAGTTGCAATATAGCCGTAGAACTAACAGTCTTCATGAGTGGATACGCCCTCTAGCGACGTTTTCGTCCTGCCATGATTTCAGTGATGTATGATTGCGAAAGAACAAATTACAATTGGCTGTTACCGGGGTAATTGATCTTATCTTCGGAATGTAATTAAATGAGAGTAAACTCATCTTTTTGAAGGAGAAAGAAATTAATGTCTAGTTCTCACTTCCATCGCGAAAGCTTTATCGGAGAAGAGTGCTTCTGGGAAAAAATAATATTTCTTCTGTTGTAGATCTCAATAGACTGAGAAATAGCTTCGAATTTAAATCGTGGCCTTTTTTCTCCAAGGATAGAAGTGTCCTCATATATTCATTAAGCTGCGTTTTCTAATTGAGGTCATCTAGACACGGTGACAGCGTTCTGTGGCATATTGTAATAACGACGGATTTTGTAATAACTTACGCATTTTGTAACTGACGATGATTACAAAATCGTGCTACAGCCTTAATTGCAAAATGCGCCGGCTTCCATTTATTACAAAATGCCGTAGCTAATTACTATAATTACAAGTTTCGCAAGTTGTTACAAAATGTCGCAACTCTTATTATAAAATGCGTCGTTTACTACTTAGATACATAATGCCGCAGAACAGAGCCTTTGGGGAATAATTTGAGTTTCCTTTATGTACTTTTTGAGTCTACCTCACTCAAAACTGTTTGCTCCCTGTCAATGTTTCATAATAGCAGTATTATTTGCAGTTTTATCGATTTCAACACCTGTCGCTTTTGTTAGTTGTAAAAGTATATTCCCCTTGAAAGGTATATACAGTTGGAGACCTGCTAGGGTTCAAGAACCACTATATATTGAAGGCAATCAATTTTAAGTCACTTTCACGAGCTAAAATGGAGAACGTGTCCGCGGTTTGGTTTCGTTCGGCGATGGACTCCACTTCCGAGGAAGAAGGAATCGCATTTTGCTGCGCGTTTGTTTTAGAAGCTGCCCTTGTTGTAGTAACGAACACGTTCGTTGTTGTTCTCTTTGTATTTGAGAAGAAGCTTCGCAAAAAAAGCTTTGTTTTGGTGATAAACATGGCGGTTGCTGATTTGATGGTAGGAGCTGTGTCTCTGCCTCTCTACGTTTACTTAATGGTGGGAAGTGCGTATCAGCTATGGCCAGTTGAGTCACTAAAACCATTAACACTATTCTATGTTTCCTGGGAAGGAATTTTTTCGCGTGCCTCCACAATTTCTGCAGCGTTTATATCTTGTGAAAGGTGCTACGCCGTCTACTGGCCACTAAAACACCGAACACTTTCAATGCGGGCGTATCGCATTCTTATTTTCATGGTTTGGTCAGTTAGTATCATCATCGACTTCACCGCGATCCGAACTTGGAACTTTTTAAAGTTATCTAAGTTAACTGTAAAGTATAATTCTTACAGGATTATATTCTCTTCTATTACCGCAGCTATCGTTTGTGGTTGTAACATTGGCATTTTTATAAAGTTTCGACAGGCAAGTACGGAAAATATAGTTAAGAGAAGAGCCTTGCAAACCAAACGCTTGACAAAAACCTTACTGTGTGTATCTACCATTCATGTCCTTTCCTGGCTTTCTGTAATCGTTGTTAGATATTTATACCGTCACCGTCACATAGTTGTTCTTCGAGTCTTCTATTTAGTTTTTAATACTATCTTCATTATTCATTACTCCGGCTCTTTTATAAATCCAGTCGTGTATGCATTAAGAATCCCCGAGTTCAAACAGGCGCTGGCCTCGTGCTGTTTAAGATTTCAAAACATGATAAACATTGAAAGCTGGGGAAGAAAAGAAAACAGGCCTACAGCTTTAACACTCATGGATATGCAGGTTGGAAACTTACCAAAAGACCTCACTCCCGATCATCTACAGCGATTTGAGAATAGGAGGAACTGTCTTGTAACCTCTCTTGAAACTAAATTATGATAAACTTTTTGGATCCCGCTATAAGTAAATTGGGCAACAAATCAGAAATGAAACCGTAAAGAGGATTTGCATATCCTTCATGCAATCTATATTTGTAATTTTTGCTGCGTTTGGCTGATCTTTCTTCGAAGTAGTCTTTATCAAGGATGCCAATTACCTGATTCAGATAGCTTCCGTAGTTAGCGTTTCCAATCGGTTTATTGCGTGAAAGTTGGAGTAAGAGAAAAAATATGGAGGAAGGGTCATCTCATTTTCCTTGTGCAAGTAAGAATTAAGCCTCCTTGAATACTTATTGGAATCTACTTTAATTAAAATTGCATACTCTTTGTTATAATGCGCCAAGCAGACGTAAAAACCTCCGAGCTTCCGATACTCTGCCGGAAAACTTAATTGACAAACCAGTGTCTTAAGTCAATGGGGTGATCAAACATGAATTACTTTCTTTGAAAAGGCATAGGGAGGCATTTTAAAACGATATTTGCTCATCATTTTTCATAAAAGCTTTGTATGATATTAATGAATGCATGTGAGCTGTGAGCTGTTTCGTCGCACACGGTGTTTAAAAACACCTGGCATATGCAATTGTTCATAGCTCTCACAATAAAAGCCGATTATGTTTTGTTTTTCGTGCATGTTAAAGGCGAGGGCGTATGTACTCTGTTTCCCGTATCAAGTAACTGTTCGAGTCCATTCTTTCCATTTCAGTTTGAGTCTTGGATGAAGGTGGGATGAAGGTTGTTTCGAGGGAGCAGCATCTTACTTGTGAAGCTCTCCTTTTTGTCGTCATAAACTTGCTTGCTGTTTTTCTCTTTGTATTTAAGAAAAAAACCTTCACAAGAAGGGCTTGCTTACTAAAACATGGCGGTTGCATATTTGATGTTAGGAGCTGTGTCCTTGCCTCCCGGTCTGTGTACTTATATACGGTGTATAAGCTATGGTCATTTGATCTGCCAATACCGTTAATTAATCGATGTTTCGATCAGTGGCCTGTAGATTATAGATTAGAGAGATTAAGATTTACGTTTACGCCAAACGGCAGACGTGAATTTGTACCCCGTGACCAAGTTTTCACCATATTTCCCGATTACTCTTTATTATTGCTTCTACACAAAAATAAGTAGTTGTATGCCAGTTTTAACCATAGGAATTTTTCGGGACTGTTTTTATCTGCTTATTTTCTATTCTGAGAAATTCTCAACTTGAGTCTGACGTTTGATGTTTGAGGTAAACGTGAGTCTTAATCTCTCTAATACCTTTCACTAAAACCGCGGAAGTTAACGTTACGCCGGAGACCCGTGAAAAACATTCTCTCAAACACTTTGAAATGAAAGGTTAACACTTTCAAAGCGGGCGTATCATCACAATCCGTGGTTTCTGATTAACTGTTCAGCTTACCGGAGTCTTTACGTACCTCCAAAGGTTATTTGAAATGTGTTATTTTGAGTTGCTGGTATTAGATTTCCTTTGGTTACTATAGGTACCGTTGTTGGCTGCAACATTGGCATCTTTATAAATTTTCAACATGCAAAACAAGGAAAATATTGCCTCGCACCAGGAATGAAGAAGAACCTCCCATGCAAACCAAATGCTCGACAAAGGCCTTTCTATTCATGTCTACTATTCATGTCTTATCCAGCTTTTTCTAAGGTATAAAACATATTTGTTGCGAGACCCGACTAAGGCGAGCAGCGCACTAATCTTTGAGAAACCTGAGGTCCCTTTGGTTTGCTGCCGCAAATTAAATTAGGTTTCTCAACCTGGATTTATGATTGTCAACGGTCGCTTTAGCCTGTTCCAGGTATTCAGATAGTGGGGAGTGGCGTAAACTGAAGAGGGGAGGGAAAAAAAACAGAAAAAAAGGAAAAGGGAGAGCTTAGGTTTAAAATGAAGTATCATTGAGCCGGTTTGGATTAGACAAACTTAAAGCAAGGGGCACATATGCACCAACCAACGGTTAACAACCAACGCCTTAAACCAATTTGCCTGTACGTCACGCATGTGCACAGCCATATCATCTAGGCAGTGGCAGCCTTGAACAGTTGTTACGCCCTTATTGAATTTACTGGCACGCTCATTACCGTAAATGCTGATCCGCCGTGCGGATCTCAGCCGACAGGTCCCACATTAGTTTTGTTGAGCTGGCGTTGTTGTTGATACAACAACAACTTGTTATTAATGGAGAGGAGAAGGACTGTTGTAGTGAAAGTGGTCAACAACTTAGCCTCAGATGTATAACGCACCGTCTTGTAGTAATACAGCCGAATATGTGGCAGTAGTACCCGCCCATCTCATCCATCATAGGTTATCGTCTGAACTGCCAATCGAGGGGTGCGAATCCTGGAACCTTGCGGCACCTGTCTTCAAGAGAAAGGCTTGTACATCGGCGGAACTCTAGTGTCTACGGGAGGAGCAGGCCTTGTCCCTGTGCGAATTTCTAACACATCGGACAAAGCGCAAATTATGAGAGCGCAAACTGTTGTCTTTGTGGCTAAACCAGTGACCAGTGTAGCAGGGCTGGAGATTCCTGATCACACCTCGGATTGCTCTAAAAGTGCAGCTCACGAAATACACGGGGGTGGGGAAAAGATTAAGGAAACGTCACCAGATCCTCTCAAAGCGTAGATCAAAACAGCTGATCAAAGAGGAAAGTCAGGCGGTCGCTGAGATGTTGTACCGACACAAAGATGTATTCTCCCTATTAGAGTAAGATCTGGGCAGGACCAACCTGATAAGATTCCACACTGATACGAGAAATGCGAGGCGTACCAAAAATCGAGAGGCAAGTAGACAACTTGTTGCAGCGAGGCATTGTTAAGCGATAAAACAGTCCCTGGTCTTCTCCCTTAGTACTAGTGACTAAAAAAGATGGTTCCCAAAGATTTTGCGTTGATTGTAGGCAAGTGAATGCGGTGACTGTCAAGGATGCTTATCTGTTGCCGCACATTAACGACTCTTTGAGCGTGCGTTCTGGAGCAAAATGGTTCAGCACGTTGGATCTGCCTTCAGGATACTGGCTGGTTCCAATGGATTGTAAATTGTAATTGTAAACATCTTATTATCCACTCCCCACAGGGCTTTTCAGGGATAATTTACAACACTGGTTGGGGGACTTTGCCAGACTGCTTAAGGTGCAGTTTACAAGTACTGAAGGAATGAGTGATGATGCCCCCATACATGAGTGTGAAAGTGAGATAGACCACTACACCGGGCACTACGTGCCTACTCTTTACGAAGAGTGCGTGGGTTCTTTAACGTCCCACAGATTTATTACATGTGCAAGGGCTTGTGAGACGGGGCCTACGGTTTATCGTCCTTATCCGAGAGGACTAGAAAGTCTAACCATTTCCAGATGTTATTACAAAGGCAGCACTTTCTCCTCAGTTATTTAAAAGACCCTGAGTGTTGGTCCGACCGGGGTTTGAACCTACGGCCTCCCGCTCAGCAGACCGGCGCTCTCCCAGACACTCACACTCAGTGCCTTCGTGACTAACGCAGGGCTGTATGAGTGGACCGTCGTGCCCTTTGGTTTTACGTAATAACCAAGTACGTTTTCGGGACTCAGGTTTGAAACGTGCTTGATATATTAAGATGATGTCATTCTGTACGAGAAATCGTTTGCAGCGGAACTTTGACAGTTAGAGGAGGTGTTTACACGGTTCAAATCTCTTGGACTTAAGCCTGAACCAGGCAAATTTGTGTTGTTTCAACTGAACGTCACGTATCTGGACCACTTTGTTTTGTGAACGTGGTATCGAGACTGACCCTGCTAATGTGGAAAGCGTGTGTGATTGGCCAGTGCCAAAGAATGCGACTGACGTAAAGAGCTTCTTAGGATTTGCCAGCTATTATCGGCGCTTTTTTCTTATTTTGTTCAAGTGACTAGACCGCTACACAAACTGGCTGAAGCTCATGTTGACTTTGCCAGTCTGTAAGAAGCCGCGGTGAAAGAGAAAGAAGACCTCCGAATCGTTATGGAGACTGGGAATAATCCCCTCATTAACTCCGACATTGAACAACTTTAGCTTGAATATTGTAAGTAGTATAGGAGGGACCGGTTACTCCTCTTTTTTGGGGGGGAATCTCATTAAGGTGGGGGGGAATAAATTAACGTCGCTGACGTCATAGGCTATTGTCTTGATCTCATGAATAAAATGCGCAGGAATCTCATTAAGATAAGGTCGTGTGCTATTTTAAGTTGGTTTAGGTTTTCTAGTTACTTTAAGGTCGATAAACGTCTTCGTTTTCTATTGGTTAGTTAGAAAATAAGAAAAGTTTTCATTGGTTAATTCATAGTGCCTGAGGAGTAAAGTCAAACTTGTCTCTGACTTAAAATCACTGAGACGTAACGTAATTATGCAAGTTCTATTTCCTGCTGCTGCGATTGTCCTGGTTCCGGTTCACTGATTTTTGGAAGGTAAATCGTGCATATTAATGAGGGCAAAGGCCAACTAGCTCTTTTTTACACTGCAAACAATGTTTTACTCACCCCTCTCCTTTTCATTCTTTTTTTTACTTTCCTCCTCCTCCACAATTTTATTATTTTCGTTCCTCAATGCCCTCCTCCTCCTTCTCCTCCTCCTCCTCCTCCTCTTCTTGTATTATTTCCCTCCTCAATCTTAATTTCCCTCCTTCTCCACAATTTTATTATTTTTCCCCCTCTTTCTCCCCCTCCTCCTCACTTCTATTGTTTTCCCTCCTCCACCTCACTTTGATTGTTTTTCCTTTTCCTCCTGCTTTTGATTGTTTTGATAGGGTCGATGTGGGGTCGATGTAGGGTCGATGTGGGGTCGATGTGGGGTCGATGTAGGGTCGATGTGGGGTCGATGTAGGGTCGATGTGGGGTCGATGTAGGGTCGATGTAGGATCGTTATTGTTTTCCCTCCTCCTCCTCCACATTTCTATTGTTTTCCCTCCACCACCACCACCACCACCACCACCACCGCCACATTTCTATTGTTTTCCCTCCACCACCACCACCACCACCACCACCACCACCGCCACATTTCTATTGTTTTCCCTCCACCACCACCACCACCACCACCGCCACATTTCTATTGTTTTCCCTCCACCACCACCACCACCGCCACATTTCTATTGTTTTCCCTCCACCACCACCACCTCCACCGCCACCACATTTCTATTGTTTTCCCTCCACCACCACCACCACCACCGCCACCACATTTCTATTGTTTTCCCTCCACCACCACCACCTTTTAGGCCTGATTTTTGAGGGAAACAAGAAAAATGTGGTGGCGGTGGTGGTGGTGGTGGTGGAGGGAAAACAATAGAAATGTGGTGGCGGTGGTGGTGGTGGTGGTGGAGGGAAAACAATAGAAATGTGGTGGCGGTGGAGGTGGTGGTGGTGGAGGGAAAACAATAGAAATGTGGCGGTGGTGGTGGTGGTGGAGGGAAAACAATAGAAATGTGGCGGTGGTGGTGGTGGTGGTGGTGGAGGGAAAACAATAGAAATGTGGCGGTGGTGGTGGTGGTGGTGGTGGTGGTGGAGGGAAAACAATAGAAATGTGGCGGTGGTGGTGGTGGTGGTGGTGGTGGAGGGAAAACAATAGAAATGTGGAGGAGGAGGAGGGAAAACAATAACGATCCTACATCGACCCTACATCGACCCCACATCGACCCTACATCGACCCTACATCGACCCCACATCGACCCCACATCGACCCTACATCGACCCCACATCGACCCTATCAAAACAATCAAAAGCAGGAGGAAAAGGAAAAACAATGAAAGTGAGGTGGAGGAGGGAAAACAATAGAAGTGAGGAGGAGGGGGAGGAAGAGGGGGAAAAATAATAAAATTGTGGAGAAGGAGGGAAATTAAGATTGAGGAGGGAAATAATACAAGAAGAGGAGGAGGAGGGCATTGAGGAACGAAAATAATAAAATTGTGGAGGAGGAGGAAAGTAAAAAAAAAAATGAAAAGGAGAGGGGTGAGTAAAACATTGTTTGCAGTGTAAAAAAGAGCTAGTCGCAGCAGCAGGAAATAGAACTTGCATAATTACGTTACGTCTCAGTGATTTTAAGTCAGAGACAAGTTTGACTTTACTCCTCAGGCACTATGAATTAACCAATGAAAACTTTTCTTATTTTCTAACTAACCAATAGAAAACGAAGACGTTTATCGACCTTAAAGTAACTAGAAAACCTAAACCAACTTAAAATAGCACACGACCTTATCTTAATGAGATTCCTGCGCATTTTATTCATGAGATCAAGACAATAGCCTATGACGTCAGCGACGTTAATTTATTCCCCCCCACCTTAATGAGATTCCCCCCCAAAAAAGAGGAGTAACCGGTCCCTCCTATACTACTATTGTACAAGTTTAATATCGCTTCTCTGATATTTTTTTGATTATATTTTTTTTACATTTTTGCGGGCCTAGAGTAAGTACAGTAACTTTATTCAACCAGGGTAGCCCATTCAACAAGGAGGCTGATATCCATAGGGGCCCTGAGAAAAAGATGTATACAATTTAAAAGTTAAAAGAAAAAATTCCCAAGGTATGTACAAGATTAAAATCAACAATAATACAATAGCGCGGGCAGATCAGGCAGACCAGCCGTTGTTATTTGTTTCTGTGTATGCTAGCAACTTCTTACACTGTGAGCAGTGTCCTTTAAGAGAGGGGTCAGAATAGCAGAAGCTTCATACCGTCTGTACCCCTGTTTTGCAATTTCTCCTCCCTAGTCCACTAGGGGGGGTCTGTAAAGTAGTTTTCCTGATGAATTACAGTTTTGAACATGGTGGCTTGTTGAGCGTTTGTACGCGTGTATACGTTTCTGCGTTTATAAATGAGTTCACTGCTTCCTTCACACTTTGAGGAAACCTTGTTCTTCAGGAAAGTCCCCTTTTAGTACTTCGTCAATTTCAATATCATTGTCAGTAAGCTAAATTAGTAAGCTAATAATCAATACTCCTGTTATGCACTTCAGTTTGGGGCGTTGGAGGCCGAGAGATGGGCGCTTATTCGAGCCTGGGCTCTAAGATTGGTCGTGAGAGCGTTAGTACAATCATCACTGTTGCGTTACCCTATAGTGACATCTCCATTTCCCAACTGACCTTTTAAGTAATAGGGCGCCTTTGATTTCCCGTTTATGCACGACACTATTCACCTTTTTTTGTTGTTTGCCGACTTAACCCTGTATACGAGACAGAGGTACGTTCCTTCGCCGTTTTTCTCAAACCTGTTTTTGTTATGGTTTATGTTTTGGAATTTGTTACTTCATCGACAAGGACTTACATAGGTGATCAATGTCTTTGTTATGTAATATTTAGTATCAGAGTGCTTTCTTGTTTTACATCTTTGCGTGTAGTTTCGAATAATCTTTCAAACGATGACTATGGTTTTAGGAAATTCTCAGACTTCTTTCATCGTTGTCTCACAGCAATGAACACTGTTGAGTATCTTAATTTTCTCAACGGCCCAGAAGAAAACCAAAAAAATGACCAGGAAGCTATTAAGCTATTAAGCTACTTGGTATCGCCATTTGATAAATGAAGATAAAAGTTCACTATCGACGGAAGGGGCAAATAAGACTGGATATCTCCCCATTCTCAGAATACTGCAATTTCGAGAGAGAAGCAAGAATATCGTAGAATCCTGTAACGAACAGGCAGGCAAACCAACAAAAAGAGTAATCCTAGAAGAACTAATTTGGATCCACGCGAGAAAGAAAACTTTTGATGATAGAACCGTTGCAACCGGTGTTCTGAAGTTCTTATCAAAGGTTAATGAAGAAATTCATCAAAGATGTTATGGTATTTACGAGACGCTACTACCGTTCAGGCAAGAATCGATTACGTTGCCTAACAACAAGGGAGATGCTCTGAATTGCGTCAACAAATTGGAAAAAGAAAGGCTTAAGTATAAGGCAGATGACCTGGCCTTTTTAAGCAAAACAATAAGCAGTGGCCCCGCCAAGAATTTTCCAGACAAAGAGGTTTCAAAGGAAAATAGGCAAGTGCGGTGCATCCCGCATACCACCCCGTATACCAACCAAAAAAACTAAGCAAAATAAGAGTTGTTTTCAAATATCGAGTGGAATTTCAGGCGAATCCCTCAACAGATGCCTCATCTAAGGCAAGGATCTAACAAACAGCTTAGTATGTTGTGCCGCTTTCGTCAGGAGCTTGTAACTGTCATGGACAATATTGAAGGCATGTTCCACCAGGTCTCCGTTAACCCACAGAGCATCGTAATTTTCTCTGCTGGCCACAACGACAGTGACCCAAAGGTCTATAGAAAAACGTGCCTTTTTTAGTGCTACTCCCTCTAAAGGCTGCGCTAACTTCGCCTTAAAGAAGGTGGCGAGTGACTACGGCTATCTATAAAGAGAAGGAGAAGCTAACTTCCTATATAACGATTTCTATTTGGATAATAGCTTGAAATCTCTAGTTTGATGTAATATTAAAGCTTGTTGTTATAGTTGTTGTTATGTTATAAACAGTGAACGCAGCACCCTATTGGTTTCCGCTAGTAGCTCCTTATGTTTCGTCAAACCACGCATATGTGCACAGTGCATATGTCGCAGTAAACGTTAAGAAACTCAATCACAGGCAGATTCCTGTTAACCCCAGTGAGCTGATTGTCGAGTTTCCCCTTTAAGCCTTCAACATCGATATTCTCGTCCGTAAGTCTCCTGTCTAATCATTTGCACACGTGATAACCTTTTAAGAATAACACTGCAAATTCAAAATCGTTTATTACAGCCAGGCGTTCATTTATTACAACAGCTGCGATTCTCCAGAACAAGATTTCGACAACTGGAATTTAAAAAAGGTTTCAGTTATGTCTATGATACAGTGTCTTCAAAGCCAAGTGTTTGGTAATATTTACAACTTCGTTTACAAATGTACTCCATGCAGCCTCCATACTCCAGTGATATTACTCCTTTCGTGGTATTGGGTTTACTATTATACTCTCAATACACTCAAACACGGTGTGTATATCTTGATCAGCATTGATGTGCTCCCCAGTCCCCTCGTAGTACTCTCCGATTTCCTCAATGTAGGCCTGGTACTCGGCCATCCGGTGGTTAACCGCTGATTCTACGTCTTTTGGGCTCTGAATCGAAACAGAACAGAAAGTTGTCCAAGCGCCAGTTGTTCAAAAGGCGGATAGCGCTACCCACCGGATAAATCACTATCCACTGGATAACGCAACTAGTTTTCCTCAGGAGTTTTCCTAATAGTTATCCACTGTTAAATCCACTGTACTGGATAGTGATTTACCTATTTTCTGAACAACTGGCCCATAACTAACAATTTTTTTTTGAAAATTTGATAAAAACAGAGTACTCACCGTTTGTAACCGTTGTTTAACTTCATTTGTTCGAGGTGGATTGTAAATCAAGTGATATCTAACAAGCCAAAAGAAGTGAATAATTATTTGACAAGCCCTTGAATAAAACGAACTCTCATAACACAGAATCTGTGACAATTAAAAGGGCATTGGAGGGCTTCATTTTATGCCTTCAAGGTTTAAAAGTCCTAAAACTTTAAGGACGTACAAAATTATAATCAACCTCAAATAGATCAATTTTAAAAAAATAATCACACAGTTTTCATATTTGCAGTACACCAACCACATAAAAAGAGCTCCTTGACGCAAGCTCATCAAACCCTTCTTCTATCCCTATCAACTATTTTCACACGTTTTAAAATAGTTATATTTTTGAGAGCGAAACTACTGAGGCATTATTATCTTTATCTCAAACAATTCGGGTGACGGTTTTCCGATATCCTTGTTAATAACGATCTAGTTAATGCCTAAACTTGGGAGGTATTGATGTATTGTAGGGGCGGCCCCTAAAAACGCTAATCGAGCCAGTTTAGACGCCGTTTACACGGGGTGGGGAAATTTGTGAACGGAAGAATTTTTTATCTGTGCAAACCCTTTACACGGAACCGTGCAAATTCTGTCACAGATTGTAGTGCTGTTTACACGAGTCCGTACTTCTGACCAGGTCAAAAGTTGTTCCGCCTGTCCCCGTGTAAACGAAAGGCGGATCGGTTCAAGTTTCTGGCTGTTGTCTGGACCCACCCGTGTAAACAGGGTCTAGATAACCCGGAATAACAGTAAACCGATTGAAAGTTAACGGCCCAGAATTGCTGGGTGAAACACTACAAAAGCGCTATATCCCAGTTAATCATAACTATAACAAAATTCTCAAATATGATTGGCTATCATCTGTCCTGATTTCAGCATTAAAAGAACAGTGTAATAGGACAGTACGCGTCATGCCTAAGTAATTGGACAGAACGCGCCATCGCACGCGTACACTTCAATGGCTTTTTTTACCGCTAACAAAAAACGCTTGGAATTTCATGTTTTTTAATTTAAAAATAGGTCAAAAATATCACAAATTTTGTTACAGTTATGAATAATTGGCAACAGAATTTCGTGTCGTCCAACTCGGTCTGTAACCATTCTCATGATCCCGCTACGCCGTCGCCCGATTATGTTAATCACTTGTATGATTACAGACCGAATTGGATTCCACTCAGTCCTTTTACCATTATCAACTAAGATATTCATGCTCGGGGCAAAACCAACAGTGAATATGTTTAAAGAGGTTACTTGAAGTCCCAATACTCACCTTTCCCCTGTAACTGGATCTACGCTTCTCAAGGTTAGTCTCTCAACGATAGTGTCTGTTGGTACGTCCATAAACACCACCCTTAAAACAGTCAACAACACTGATGAGTAATCACATAATGTCCTCATATGTGCTTAAGTAAGACTCGCAAATTTTACTGACTACCAAGCCTCGTTTTGAAATTTTCAACTTAGAAAGGTTTCACAACAACGAATTCTCAGGACAGTTTAATGAAAAAGAATACTCACGCCCCAACAGTGCAAATGCAAAAGAAAAAAAATCAAGCTGTCCACAAACGATGCACGTCGGGGATAAAACTTGAACTCTGGCGTCAACATGCATAAGGCTTTTACAGTTTTAGGTCATTTTCTGTAGCTCCCCCTTAACTATGGCATGCTCTGCTTCTGGACATTCGATGCCACTGCAATTTAAATGAATTTTAAAGAAAACTTGCCATGTCTCTTTTAAGAAAAGCGCCATTTTTAATAGTTAATTTAGTTAATTGCGATGCTCTGGAATTCGTTGTAGCTTTAATTCATAGTCAACTTAAGGTCCAAAGAGGACACTGTTGCGATAATCGAGGCGTAATATAAGAAAAGCATCCATTTAACAATTCTACATACAGCTATGTGACCACTGTATATTCTGTTATAAGATTGAGCGAACGTATTCAGGCTTGTGTACCTATTGGGTTCATAGCCAGCTTTCGTCAACGACTCTGCTTGCTCCCTGGTTTTGGGGAAGCCGTGTATTACCCAGCCTTTTGTGACAGCGTCAAGCTGTGCCAGGCGATTTCGTAGCAACTGAAGAACTAAGTCATCGGGGACTAGGAAGTAAAGGAAAAGAAAATGAAACATTTAGTGGCTGTATCTTTGAAGACGACTACGGAAAGATTTCGACAATATTCAAGAGACGCCACCTCTAGTTTCCCCGCCATATAAGGTCTGAGGAACAATCGCCATAACTCCGTACTGACGACGTGTCACCGTCCAGATCTGCGCACTGCTTAACTGGTTAGACTGCAAAACAGTCCATATTTTTGCGTATTCAGGCACGCGCCAACGGTCAAACAAACGGTCTGAAACGAGGCTGAAAACAGAGAGCGAGACTAGGGAGAGACGGTAAAAATACGTTTTTTCCCTCTCGCATCACACGCCCGAGGGTCGCGCCCTTCGCGCGCGTAACTCTTACGCCACGCTTTACAGACTTCTTTACTGATTTTGAGAAAAAAACCCGACTGTTTTGCAGTCCCGCTTATGGTAGGTTAAAGCAAATTTCCCTGGCAGAATCACCAATCAGAAACACTACCCATACCTGGCTTTTGGCTAGTGACACGTCATCAGTAAGGAACTTCTGCGCTCGTTCCTCAGACGACATTTCGCGGGGAAACCAGTGTGCGTTCGTCGGCTATTTTCTCAGGCTGGCGACCACAAGAAGGATCACTTTACGGCCTTCACTCGTACCTTATGTGTACTGAAATCAATTGAACAAAAGGAGGGTGTTATCTTCTTACCTAGCATTTTTCGCTCCACATATGGTCTCACAGCCTCGCCAAGCTTTGAATCATCCACAAGGGACTGTTTAATCAGCTCTGTACAAGAAACTAAAAGGAAACAAACACAACGTCGTTATTTTGAATTTCACATGTGATGCATGGTATCCATATAGGTAACTTGCGTGGAGAGCATAGTGTTTCATAATGTCTACTGCATATTACAATACATGTAGCTAAATTATTCCTTGCTTTGAGGGTAACATAAATGTACCTTGTGAGTCAACCATGCATTTGCAGAGATCGATAGCCCTTTACTAACGCCATAACAAGGTAAAGACCATAGGCAGCGACATTAGTAAACGAAGTCACTTTAAGGTACATTTTGAAAATTCATATTCAACTGCTTCGCGTTTTTACTACAACTGTTTTTAAAGATCAAGTCATACTTTTTGCCAATCTAACGTTCAAATCTGTGTATGAAATTCTATGGTGTTACCATTCAAATGAAACCTCTCTAGCAGTGCAATCATATACTGTACTGTTATTCATTTCGTATGTTGTTCTAACTTTTGAGTCTTTGGACGAAAACTTATTATGTTACCACTCAACTGAAACCTCTTTCGCAGACCTTTTGCATAGCACTATTTGTTTCTTAGGGTTTTACAACATAAAAAACTTACTGGTTTTTACTTTGGTCACTTTTATGACTGAAAGGGTTTTAAAAGTGTCTGAAATGAAGTCGAAATATTTAGAAAACTGAAAACTGACGTGCACTTGCCAACCCAATCTCACAACCAAAAGGAGTTTTACATGGCAGCTTGAAGATTGACAAACGAGGGACTACAATTTTTAGCGCAAAAAGAGGCGTCGTGCACAGCACAACGAAGGGCCATAAATTAAATATGTTTGCTCATAAACTTTTTGTGTTAACTTACCATTCACCAGTCCGTATTTGCTGGCCAGAAGTTCAGCCTGTACACTCTTACCACACCCAGTAGGACCCAAAAGAATGAGTCTGGGAGTATGAGGAGCGCTATCTCGGTGATTCATCTTTAGGTAGGCCATCACTACAACAGTCAGATAGACACGCTTGTTGTCATATGCGCAGGTTCCCTAACTATGTTTAAAGTACACTAGAACGAAATTCAAGCAGCAGTTTCACCATTATGCATCAGCGAGCGTAACCAAATTCTAGTTTTGCCTGCATCAAATCTTGGGAAAATTTTCATGATACAGCACTTTTAAGCACCGTCAAGTTATAGTATCCCTTGGCTTGGAGTTGCCTTTGTTCTAATAGCGGTATCTTCTTCTTTGAATCAGGCCGCACTGCTTTTAGACTACCGAGTAGACACTCATTTTCCTGAGGGATAGTTGAGCGGACGCAACATGCGGGCTCGCGTGAAAAACCCTGCGCGCGAGGAGAGGCGAGACGCGGAGGAAGGAGAGAAAATTCCTTCCGCGTGTCATCTTCCTCACGGGTGGCGATTACGCGCACTTGGGTAATTCGCCCGCTTCTCGGTCTACTATCCATGAGAAAATGAGGCACTTTTTGTAGTCTACGCCACTTTCTTTTTACGCGTTATACGGGTCGCGTGACGCGTGGCGCGAACAGGCTGGACGCAATGAAACATGCCGAAAGGTGAAAAATGCTCACTCGTGGGAAAGACTTGATTTTTGTGAAGTCGCCGCTGAGCGTGTGACTTATAAAAATATCTGTGTCCCCGACTGGATTTGCGCTCCTGAAAGTTTCCCCGAGGTAGATTGATCTTGTAAATCAAATACATTCATTCATTGATTTAGCTTTTATTATTAGTAATTATTCGATTGACCATGTTAAGGAAGCTACTTTTCTTGGTGTAATTTTGGATGAACATTTAACATGGAAATCACATATACATAATGTTGCTAGGAAAGTGTCTAAAGCCATAGGTATAATTTATAAATCAAGTTTTTGCCTTAATAATTCCTCCTTACGGATGCTTTATTTTAGCCTTATCTACCCATACTTATTCTACTGCGTGAGCGTCTGGGCATCGACCTACCCATCAAACCTCAGAAGATTAATCACACTTCAAAAACGGGTCGTAAGAATAATGTCGAGGAGTGCTTTCGATGCTCACACTGACCCCTTATTTAAAAATTTAAAAATTCTGAATCTTGAGAGTATCTACAAACTTCAAATAGGAAAATTTATGTATCAATACAGATCTGGCTTACTTCCTTATAGCTTCAATAACATGTTTCTGGTGACACGCCAGGTGCATTCTTATGGCACTAGAAGTTCGGAGCATTTTTATTTACCACAATGCAGGACTAATAACGGCTTGGAAACTAAAATTTCGAGGACGTTTTAGGACTTTTTACATTTAGGGCATGAATTTTTCGTCATTTCAGGCCATGGAACCTAAAAATGATCCTAGCTAGCTGTAAAAAGGGGCAATACGGAGGCAATACGTCCTAGCCGGCATGATCACATGCTGTTTACGGAAAATTCCCTCATCCATGTCAGGAAATTCTGTATTTTAAAGCCTCCCCTAGGGCATGACTCAGCAATTGAGGACATTTCTGCTATGTTTTCATTGTTGGTTAGCATGCAAGGATTTTTCGCGTGCCTATCGTCAATGATTTGCTCACTGGTAATAGAGGGGGTGGCCCCAGAGTGGTTTTGCATTGAAATTGGCATGCAACAGAATTTCGCATGCCCTGTAAGCATAATTTGAGGTTCTGTGACCTTCTCACCCAGGCCGCGAGAAGCCTAGGTTCTAGTAATAAGTAATTCATACCCAGCAAAATCTCCGGCATGCCGGGCATGCCAAATTTTCTGACATGCCCGGCATGCTAAATTCTCTGGAATGCCGGGCGTGCCATAATCTGGGTCATGCCGGGCATGCCAAAATTGGTCTCTGGCATGCTCTCAACGCACAGGTTATAATTCCTTGAATCTACAGATATTTTAAGCCTGGCTAAAAACAAAAAAAAACTAAACAGATCACAGTGCTTATCTTTTGATGTACGGTTACACGATGACGTCATTGCTATTCCTTTCATTTTCATAGATTTGGTTGTCCCAGAGAACTTTAAATAACAAAAGCTCTAATTTTCACAAGCAAGTAAAACCCTGAGGGATTCGTCCGTAGTAATAAAACAGCGTCATCGTGGAGATGACCCGTTGGGGATTGTAAAAACTCCACCCCTTTTAATGACTCTTTAATAGGATTCCCATTTCACATTGGGAATAAAATGGAATTGACTGAAATCAGTAAAAAGAGAGACAGAGACTATTTTCATTGTATAATAAAATGCATCTATGTTCCATGAAAGCTTTTAAAAATACAAGGTTATAGAATATCTTTCAAAGTTCATTACAAACTGAGCTAAGCCCCAAAATCATTGTTCATTATTCAGTAAATTATGATGTTTGACAATGCAATGTGCTTGAATATAACGTTGCAATTACAAATCTCTCTAACGCAATTTTCCCTACGTTAGAAAAGCTGTTAGAAAGTCTGAGTTCCTCTTTCTTGTTTTGTAGGCTTGCCAGGGATTAATGTTTTTGTGTCATTACCAGTGTCTGTGTTCTTTGTTTTTAACTCAAAGTAAGTCAGTAATAACTGACAGTATCAAAGAATTGCTCTCTAGAAAAGTAATTATCTCCTCGTCATGTCTGGAAGTTACCTGTAACAAAAAAGAAATGGAATGTTAACACATGCAAGGGCAATATGAAAAAAAAGAAATAAAACATGTAGACTCAGCTTCTCTTAACATATTTTCATACTGGCTTGTTGAGTCTGTTAAAGGTTGCAACTAATTGTCTGAGGCTAATTTCAGAAGAGTGTGCAATTGAGATAAATGCATGGTAAATAAAGTGAAAGAAACGTGGTTTCACATTAGCTAATTTACATTGCGTTGTTCGATGATGTTTACACGCTTTTCTACTGCGAAATAAACCTTTGCATTTGGATTTGCAAGTCAAGATTATACCGAGTTTGACTGACACTTAATAGAACAACAGTTTCATTTTTAAACAGGTAAGGTGTAGACCCATATAAAGCCGGAATATGTGAAGGAAACTCAGCGAAAACTTTTTCGCATCTTTTTGTGACGATATTCTCTCACGGCCGGTCAACTGATTAGGGGTTGCGAAGAAAAAATAAATTAGGACCAAAGGTTAAAGCCTGTCCGGTTACACCATTTCGTATGTTACCTAGTGTTCTAATAAATAGGTCATAAAACAGGATTTAACGAGTGCGAATTTGTTTCTCAATCGGTGTATAAAAAAGTGAGGCTATCAAATGAGAAGTTTATAGAGCATCAAAATTATTAAATTAAAAGCTCACATAATTAGGAAAATTCCTATACGAAAATAATGCTAGTGACATTAAATTGATCAGATAAAATTCTCAGAAAATATGTCGAATAAAAGCCTCATTGTTTGCTTTTGTTTTTGCGTAAAGGTAAATTTTTCGGCCCACAAAGCAAAGTTGAAAAAGCGACTAAATCTTAGTTTTTACATTGAACATGTTTATTAGCTTAGTTTTCGTCCGTTTTAAAAAGCTTTATAACCCAATCATAATTTAATCATAAAATAGTACAAAATCATTTCAAAAACCATGTTCATTGAAAGTAGAGCCGGCAAACGTGAACATTTTGTAATTCAAAAGTCGGACCCAGCCAGGTTGTTTAAGCTTAGAATTATTTGCATTTTAGCGTCCTATAAATTTACCAGAATCGCCTCTCAGAGGCTTACTGTAGCAAAGCAATTTGTAGTACACTCGTAGACAAGCAATGTAAGCCTTAAGTCTTTGCTTGGATGAGATGTCCAAAAAAAAATTAGTTTTGTGGACCTAAACGCACATTCACAGACTGCTTATATTGAGTTGTTTACAACTTTGCATTGACACACGCGGCATGTTCATTTTTTAAAGCGAAATCCAAATCTGATTTTGGCATTTGATTTACGGATATTTTATTTTGTCTCCAAAAGTGATTGTAATATCCGTTTGATTGCCTTTCAAACAACAGTCAAACTATGCAGCAAAAAATAAGTAACTTTACCAGTACAGTGAAAAAAATATGACCGTAGGTGCCAAAAATAATTATACTCGAGCTATAAAATTAGATCTGACTTTTTTTTTTTTGGTTTCTTATTATTGAAGTTTTCTCTAGTCTTCTTAGCAGCAGAAGAAGATTACAAGACATACAAACAGAAACAATCCGAAGTGAACGAGATGACAACCACTTATGCCGGAGTTCTTAGGCATGTTCAACAGCAAGATAAACTGAATGCCTAAAGGCTAATTCACGGGATTTGTTCAATATTCAGGCTTTTTCTTTACCAAATTAATACTAAATTTGTACTTACAGTCTCTCGCAGAGTCCATTTCTTGTTCAGCATTCACCAACATCTCAACCATGCACCGCAGAAAAAAAAGACAAACAAGTGCGAAGAGACATGACGACATCGTGACGCGACAACTGCCACGCTACAACAAACTAGATTCATCGTCATCCGAAAAAACTTCTGCGGAAATTCGGCCCATTTCGTGCGTGCTCGGGGTATCTTCGGATGACGCAGATGACGTTGCTCAAAGGACTATCGTCAGCAAGGAGTAAAACAGTTTGCGAGATTCGCATAGCCGACAAGGAGCGCACTGAAAAACTAAGCAAAATCTCTCTGAGAAGGCAGTCCAAATTCACCAAATCAGAACGTCTTTGCAGTATTAACGTCGTACTCTCGTACTGACTTGAAAGACCTGGTAAGCTTAATTTTCACCAGTCTTTTAATGCTGTCGGCCGGGAAACATTCCGACGCCATAAAACTTAAGCATGGATAAGTTCATACTGAGAAGATTTGTTATCTTATTGTTTAAGACGCTTTTCCGCGATCAAATTTAAATCTGGACCCAGAAATGTCAGTATCGGTTTGAAATAAAAGGATTGATCTTTGATTGCAAGTTAAGTATTCTATTTTATTCATGAATAATGTTGTTTTGTTGTGCTTTTTATTTATAAATCCAGGCTTCTGTCTTCAGTTTTGCCAGTCGATCCCGTGACACACATTGTGACAAACATGACTTTTTTGTTATAATCTGCATTTATTGCCAGGATTGAAAGCTGTAACTTCAAGCTCCCTAAGATATATTTGGCGATTATATGTGATTCTCAGGATATGATGCTGAAGCGAAAATCAAAATCAGTCTCGCTGGGCATGCCAATTTCTTGCCTGGCATGCCGGGCATGCCAAAACCAAGTGGCTTCACCATCGGCATGCCCGGCATGCCAAACCAGAGGAGCAAAAACTGGGAATGAATGATCAACCCGGCGAGAGATCTGGGACCTAAGGTTGGCTGGGTCAATTTTGGGCTGCGAGGGCATGAACCCATTTTTTTCATGCCTATGAGATGTTATTTCTAAGTACCAATGTTCCCTTGAATTTTGTCATGCCTAAATATATAAAATTTTCCCTCTCTCATTAATCCTCAGACTGGATGCGATTTTTACGCTCGCTAGGCATGTTCAACTGAAAATCATGCCCATACCCTTATTCAAAACAAAATGCTATCAAATTTTAGTTTCCAAGCCGTTTAATATAAGAAAGTTCTCCATCAGTTTCCAAGGTCCTAAATTTTTTAACTCTCTTAGTTTTGAAATTTGAAATGCAACAAGTACCGCTTCCTTTTGCTGTAAGCTGAAAGCATTCCTCTTATCATAAATAGTAATTTATATATATATATATATATATATATATATGTCTTTTTTGAAATTTTTTTTTCTTCCTTTGCTCTTTTATTTTCTTTTGTTTTGTTTTGTTTAGTTTTTTTCTTTTTGTCATTTCGCTTTTTTTAGCCTAGAACTATGATTAGTACGACTATCTACTATACTTATTTTAAGATTTACTGTAGCTCTGCCATTGATTTTCCCGTGTGTAATTATGATAATATTTTGTTCTAATTATCTAACTGAGGGAGCCCATTCCTTATAAGCCCGGTGGCTTCTCTTGGGCTTCCTCGCCATGAGAGTTAAGGTAATTAGATTTATTTGATTTGTATAATTTTTGGCAAACAAAACAATAAACAATAAACAATAAACAATGTTCATATTATAAGTCCTGGATAGGAAATGTTCATTATATAATGTGACGTTATACCTCAATAAATCAAAAACAATATCGATCACCTTGTGAAAAGACATCTGTTTTTGGCTGATCAACATTGACAGATTTATAAATCTTCTCATAACACATTAAAATGCCATCAATATGTCTGCGTAAAAATTCATAAAAATAGCTATGCATTAGTTGTTTACACAATTTTGGCTGTTCAGTGGGGCTCAAGGGGAAAACAAAGACTACCCTGGGTGGCGGACGCGCGGAGGTGGTAGTACTCCACGAAATTTTTGGTGTTCCTTAGAGACTCACATTGTAACGAACGTCACTTACATTGTTGATTTATAACTCTACCTTAATACAAAGTAGCCTGTAGAACAGGAGAGAAAGAGGAAACTGGTTGCGCAAGGGAGGGGGAAGGGAGGATGGAAGAGTTTCCTTCCCATCCTCCTTACCTCATGCCCCATTTGCATTCTTGCGAACACAATTTCTCTGATCTGTCCCCTTCAAACCCATATCACACGGGCTAACCAGACAGTTAAAAAATATGAGTCATTTCATTTGTTTCAATTCATATCATTTCCACCATCGGGAATATTAAGAACTCACAATAGCCTGCTTTCCAGTTGACTTGGTTAGCTTAATGGATAGAGTGTTGCATCCGGTCATCGCAAAGGCCAGGGTTCCATTCCCGGTCTAGCTTGAACTTTTTTGCGGTTCTTTTTCAACCATCTAGGTTGTTTCTTTTTTCCACTTTCATGAAACCTCTTGTGTTTCTCCCTTGCTGCTTTCATGTTTGAATATCAGCTGAAGCAGGCCTCAATACAATCACTGCTTACCTGTGGTACTCCATCAGTCTTTCAATCATAACTTTCTCAGAGGACTTGGGATCAGGAACAAGGCGCTGAACTACAGCAGCATCAGTAGGAGGGTCAAATGTTGAATGATACACATCTGGAAAAAATATATCATTATCTTTACAGCTGTTCTACTGTGCATTTTGCTTCTAAGGAATTCACTGGAAACTCTATAACAGACAGTTCTTTTGGTCCAGTTCAAAGATACTAATCTTTATAGACATACATTTCCAACCTCTAAACTAAGCAGCTGAACAAGGACAGATGGGTCCGTTCCTTTTGTTGTCTCTATCTATTACCGAGGTTTAACTGCGTGTACCTAATCATTTACCCTTTAACTCAGGTGGTCAACTATGAACACTTAATTTGTAGTTTTAAAACATTTGAAAGAGTTCCTTTGGTTTGGCCTCTATTTTACTATTGTTAGCATAATTGTATATGAATAAATTATTTGGACTTTGGGCATTCTAAAGAGTGGAAGCTCTGTCCAAAAGTTAGAGACCCTTTGCCCAGGGGAGTGGAAATCACCATTGAACATGAGAGCATCAAAATGTCCATTGCAGAAACGAGTGAGGAGAGATGGCTGTATTCACAGGCTAATTGTGTATTTGAGGGCAAATGCGAAATAAAAGCTTCAGGGACATGTGTTGAGAAGACGAAGAGGCATTTTGATGTTTGAATTTGGGGAATACAACTGTGGTCGGAGGGCTTATTTTGAGACTTTTATGGTGTAACAACCAAATAATTCTCTAGAATAACTGTAAGTAACTTTATGGTCATCTTGTTATAAATAATTACTGTCGTAATAAATAATAATATCCTACCTCCAGTATCAGGGTCAATTCTTTTGCCCATCACCCTTTCTATCAGGACTGTGTCTCGAGCCTCAAGAAGCACTAAAAATAATCACAATGCACGTTTTTTAAAAATTATAAATATCCATTCAAAGTAGATTATACTTTCTGACAGCTAATGCATCACTGCTTGATGAAATGGTAAGGAACTTTAAGAACACATGAAAAAGTTATCAATTAAAATTTAACCATTTACCATTTTAGAACCAAAAGCAACCTCACTCGGACCAGTGGCGAGTAGGAGAGGACCCTGGGAATGAGGTTGCTTGTGGTTCTTAAATGGTAAATAGTTAAACTCATGAAAATGGTGAAATAATTCACTTTGAGTGTAGAATCTAGAAAATTCTACTCTGCAAATCAATGAGCCCTTATGATGGTAATTTAAGTAAAGAAGAAATAATCTCATATTTAACTTGTCTGTTTAGAGAAGGGCTTGTCTCTTTTTAGTTTAGAAACCAAAGAGAAAGTATTGAAAAAAGAGCAAGTTATCAAACCTTACCAAAATGTTTTGGCATCATTCCCTCTGCTTGTAGTGCTTGAGCCTAGAGATAGTAACAATGAAAAATAGAACTTGTTTAAATCTCACATGGACAAATGTATGAAAAGTTACATGTGAAAACCAATAGCTTTGGGGAGGGGTAGGTGGGCAGTTTCCCAGAAACATAATTAGAATGATCCACTCCAGTGAGGTTAGCCTTTTTTTTATTTCAATCCTTTTACATTCGTAGACTACACAAACAACTGTTTTTTCTCCCATACAAATCCTTATATTCTGAACGTTATACAACAGTGCTGATGGTCATATTTTGAGCTTGGGCCACCTGTGGTTCCACTGGACACTTAAAAAATTCAAACTCCCACTTTAACAAACCAAATGCAATAATAAACTGCTAGCCCCTACCCCCACCCAGAAAAAATAATAATAATAAAAAAATCATTTGTGTATTTACAAGTCTTTTCCAGGGTAACATTAAAAAAACAATCCCATGCAAATACCATATTATTTAAATAAAAGAAAATAATGTTATAAAAGCCCTATACTTATAAACTAAGTTCAGAAGAAAAACTGCATAAGAAACCTGTTCTCTTGTTTGTGGAAAAGCTTCAAGCAACCAGCCCTGCAAAAAAAGAGGCAAAAATCAGAGTCCCCTGTGAGAAGTTCTAAATATTATAATGTGCCATTGGTTCTCTTTGCCCCAGGACAACAGATTTTTCTATGTTTTGAGCTCAAGCTAACTCAATGATTACTATTTTGTTTCTGTACAGTCAGCCATGAAAAATGCACTTTATTATGTGAACCATAAAGAGGAGACCTTCAGTGCACTAGTCTGACTCTAGAAAAGTGAAATACATATACATGTAGAGTCAAACCTCTGTTAATGTCCACCTTTCTACGACGGCCACTTTTTTTCATCCCAGCGGACAAAAATCCATACACTGACTTTTGTTTAAAACCTCTCTACAATGGCCACCTCTCTACAATGAGTATACTTTCTTCTGTCCCCAAGGTGGCCATTGTAGAGAGGTTCAACTGTACCGGTAATTGTATTGCATGTATACAAAGGTCCCAATTATGTTGAGTTTGAGTCCAGACTGATTTGTTCGTGGAATCCCAACTTTAATAATTCCTTGAAAGGTCATGCTTGTTCTCTTAATTTTGGAAATCAGAATTTTCTACAATTTAATGAAACTACATGTATTTGAGTGGACTGCCTGAAAACAAGTCGGTGTAGCAAAGTGCATGTACTTTCACCATACACCAAGGGTTATTTAATTATGTTTCTTTCAGAACTGTTTATGTACATACATTAGTATATAGCATACCTTACTGATGCAGTCTTCTTTGGAAAGTCTTTCTTTGATCAAGGTGACCCAAACATGAGTGGGAACTGACTGAAAATGAAATATTTGGCTCTCATTAGTTTTGTGCAAAATGATCATGAAAAGGAAAATTGAAACTAAAAAGAAAGAGAAATAACATCATAAATTATGGGTAATTAAAACTAAAAGTAAACAGCTATATTCACCCTGTAAATGCTGGGTAATTTCAGTGAAACCGGTTGTTCGTTTGCGCACCACTTTGCAATATTGTCACCCAATGTTGGTATTTTGATTGGCAGTTTGCTTCGAGCAAGTTGCGATTCAAATTTCAATTTGCTGCCTGAGCAAACGGTTTTTCATATTGGAATAGTTGACTGCGATGGAAAGCAACATTACCTCTGTTTCAAAGAGGGAAAAAGTAATTTCTCTGGTCGTCGGGCTAAAACAACTGTTCTTTCTTAGAATCCTTCCAGTTGAAAGTGCTAGCCAGCTCTGACTCATGACAATCATCAGATGGTGTGAAAAGTGTTTCGGTTCGAGTTTCGATTCCGCGACGCTCGGTTTCGTGTGCTCAGTTTCTTGTGGTAGTGGCTGTGAGCTTCGAGAACTTTTCAGGAGAAATGGTGAGTCACTTTCCCTGACTTTCAGGTGCACTCGCCTGTAAGAGTCAGAACCACAAGGAAATGCGTTTCGGAAAGTTTCTTGCAAGTGCAGCTGTTCATGTGAATCGATGTTTACAAAAATCCCCAACTGTACATCCTTGTACGAGATCCTGATTTGGTAGTCTGGGATAAATTTGAGAACAGGAACCGCTTTCTTCACTCGCTCTAGTAATTCCGTGAAATCGGTAATTGGGTTTTGTACATAAAAACTGGCGTATTTACCTGTCTTCAAAGTACTGCAACAGTACCCGAAACATCCCGCTTTTACTAGCAAGTTGAAATTTGAGCTCGCAACTTGCTCGGAGCAAACTGCCAATCAAAATACCAACATTGCGTGACAATATTGCAAAGTGGCGTGCAAACGAACAACCGGTTTCACTGTAATGAACAAAACTTTAACAATGAGTATTGGATTTTTTTATGTATTTGTGAATTGAATGTAGTAATTATGTTACCTCTTTGGCTGACATATACTCTTGAGCCTATAAAATATACATTGAAAATTATCAAATTAAAAAAAACACATTTTTGCTCAAATACTGATATAAAGACATAAACTAAAACCAGAAGCAAATTAAGATCTAGTTTATTTGCTCATGCAAAATGGAAGTTACAAGCGTGCTTTTATTCAATCAAGAATCAATACATTTAGCATGACAATTATTAACTGAGGAAGTTCCTTTTATCTCTACCCCTGGAGACAACACCACATTTTCTAATAAGTGGTCATCAGAGCCTTGCCAAGGTTTAGCTACTTGCATAAAAAGGGAAACGGGAGTAACTACTTTTTCAGTTATTTTGATGCTTTCACTTTTAGACCATAATATGGCCAGAATATTTGTCAATCTAACTTTTACACCTATGTGCAATTAATCCATGGTGTTACCTTTTAACTGAAACCTCTTTGAAATCTACATTTTTGCAGAAAGGAAATTTTGAATGTTGGCAATGCCACTATCAGACAAAAAGGGTTTACGCCAGGGCAAAAATCGAAATTTTTATTGACAGGAGACGAACCAAATTGTAATTTGGGTCAACTTAAAATAAATAAGTTTAAGTAAGTCCGTTGGGTCTGATGCAAGCTTGAATGATACATGACGGACCAATCAGACATAATTATCTGAAGCAGTCAGATAGAATGAGTCGGTCAATCATAACACATTCAAACAAATTAAACTTAACTAACACAGACATGAAACTTTTCATTAATAACCCTGCCAGATTGGTTCATTTCCTCTGGCCTTGGCCAGCCTTAGTTGCATGAATTGAACCCAGCAAGACTGTCTTCTCTTTAGACCAATGCTTTATCAACTGAAGAGCCAACAGTGTGGCTTAAGATAATACAGTTGTACAGTACATTAGGCTTATTACTACTTGTACCTTTTTGGCTGCTTTTGAATCTGATTCTACCACAAGATTATCAGGTGTAATATGGACACAATTGAAATGCTTGGCGACCATCACAGACTGCAATGAAACCATCAAGAACTTGTCATCTTCACAAATCGGGTTTACTAGAATGGCACAGCCCTTTTCATGGTATAATGTCTCTGTTTATGTTGCACTTTAAGAGAAACTCAACGGGGATGTAAAGCATTCTTTGGCATTTATTTGGTTGTTTGTGGCTTAAATTGCCTTTCATCCACAATGAATCTTCCTGTAATAGGCCGTTTGCACGATGATGTCTTTCTACTACTAAGACCAGAATTAATTTTATTTTTACTTTAATATTTAAATTTGGTAAATCCTGAAGGATTCTGGTAGTAATAGTAAAATGATGCCATCGAGCAAATTAATGGTCTGTTGCAAACGAAAAAATAAGTTACCATAAATTAAGAGTAATGGCCAAAAAGCAAAGCAGTATATCTTGATTCACACTATTTACTACAAAATGAAATTACCATAGTTCTTTTTCCTGCTGCTGGAGGTCCATGAATTATAATCTGTGGAACTAGTATTAATAGTAACAAAAATTATTTAGCATCCTGTTTAGTTCTTAAACTTTCATGAAAGATTGAAAAGAAATATGTGTATAAAAAATGTTTCATCTACAGCAGTATAAATAATAATTACCAGTTATGGTCTAGGCTTTAAAGGTTTTACAATAACACAAAACCTGCATAGATTACTGTACATTTTTTCCTTTATGTGGAAGGCATTCAGTGGTAAGTGACTTACGGCAAGGGTTTTGGCCACTAAGAGTTGTACAGCCTCATGTTTAAAGACATGAAGTAGGTTCCTTTATTTGAGGGACCTAGATATTATAGCTAAGAGCCAGGGAAAATACCCGTATTAGATTTTTGAACTATTTATTCATGTTTTTTGGGCGATAAAAATGTCAAGCACTCTGACTTAACAGAAAACAAAACAGAGGTACTAAACAAAGAACACCTTGCTAAAATTTGACATTGTGAAACGAAACTGCAAACATGTAACTGCAAATTGCAGTTTGCGGTTACCCGTGAAAAACCTGATGCTATTAGGTCTCTATTAGATTTGTTACACCTGGTGGTTTAGCCCGCAAAAACATTCCGTTTCTCCTCGCTCTTCTCCACTGGGGATGTTTTGCGCGAAGGAACGTCTGCGACTCAGAGATAGAAATTCCATACTGATGACGTAAAATCTCTCCGGAATCCGGTCAGAAGCTTTGATTGGTTGATGGAGTAGTTACATTGTTTTAGTTACTGTTTACGAATGACAGACAAAAGACCACATGCGAAACGTCCCCAGCGGAGAAGAGCGAGGAGAAACAGATGTTTTCGCAGGCTACTGGTGGTTCTTCTACATACATTTGAGTCACAATTTGTCGAACCTTAGCCTGAGAAAACAGCCAACATTTCGCAACGCCACTACTGGTTTCCCCACGAAATGACATCTGAGAAATGAACGCAGAAATTCCATACTGATGATGTGTCTTTACCCAGATTGGTTGAAGCAAATTCCCCTTGTGGCACTACCAAAAAATTTGACCTGAAAGATCCCTCTCCATCTTGAAAATTTCCATGACACTCCAAGTAACAAATCTAATATCTCCGTGTAACAAATCTAATATCTGGCAGTTAGATTGCAACTAGGGTACTGACTTTCGACTTGGTGGGGACCTAATCTTCCTCTAAGGATGGAGATCTGCATAAAAATATGATTGACTTGATTTCTAAATTAAATTTGCAATCTTACCACTGCCATCTTGGCCCAAAAGTCCTATCAAGTAAGACAAAGGATCTGCAGGTTGTTCTATAACTAGCTTGGTCAAGAGCGACTGCAAAAACAAAGACAAAAATTATGAAATAAATGTAAGCTTAAATTGTCCTTGAGGATTTCACAGTCAGTTATTAAAAATTATCATGACATGGTTACTCACTTCTTGTCAACTTCATCAATTGTCTGTAAAAATCACATTATATTTAGAATACTCTAATTGCAGACCTCTGAAAGCTTAAAGCGGTCAAACTAAGTTTTACGGTCCAGCAGCTTTTTAGCTTTTACAGGCGGCTGAGAATTAATAATTTGTAAAGAGCCATCTCATTTGCCAGCGCACACTTCGACCCATAAGTAAAAGTGCATTAAAATATCACCTCATAAATCTGAAAAATTCCATGTTTCTCTGCATAGTTTGAGAATTCTGGGGGTATTAACAATGGTTTCTTCGTTGCGTCCATCTTGAATTTTCCCTCGCAGTTGCTACGATAAACACGAGCCTGCATTGACTTTGACCAGTTGCAAAGTCTTGGTGTCCATGGCAACTTTACAGGACATCCACACACTGTAGTTGTAAAACGGACGCGTCATGAATAGGAGTGAATTTTGAAATTATTTGACGCGATTTTATTTTAAGGAAATCGTTACCCTGTAAGTAAGGTAAGTAAAACCCCAGTATTAAACCGCGAAAAGGTATAACTGTAAAAAAATCTCGTTGATTTGTGTGATCCTATCATATTACGAGCGCGCGTTGTCGCGCGACGATTGTTGCTTCTTGAGGCAGAGATTTGAGTTTCTTTTATCATAGAAAGTCTGTAGCGATTGGATTAGTTTGATCAAATATCTCAAATGTGAAATAAATGTACCCGAAATAGCCGAGATTGAAAACGCGATGTTAAAAATGATAAAAATACTAACATCTTGGGAGATCATGTTTCATTTTATGTATACAACACAGAACGGGGTATTCACTTGTTGTTGTCTAAGTAAAATGCTTTAACGCTTTCTTTAGCATTTTTAACAGTCACAAGTGGTATCAATATATCTTTAGGATAAACCGGTAGCAACGTTTTAGCAGGATGGCAGGTGCCTGGTTGTGTCGGTCTGAAGGATGTTCCCTCAATGGAATTTAAATCTGTCGGACAATGCGATATTCTCGCAGATGTTTTTTTCCCTGTTGAATTTCCTTGCATTTACTATTTACAGACAGGAAGAGTAGTGTAAAAAGAAAAAGCGTAAATAATTTCAAGATGAGCAAGGAGCATGTCACGCTGGGTGTCCAAAGGGAATCGCTTCTAAACAACCCTCTTCTACAAAAGGTAAATAAACGCCTTGAATTTTTCTATACCCTTTGCAAATAAATCAGAAGATATTTTTCTGTGAGATTTGACAACCTTTACATTACTATATCCCATGCCCCCTTCTTCCAAGATGAATTTCCTTTGATGGGCAGCAAGGTGGGATTGCATGACCAGGGTTTGGACAGGAGCCAGGCCGGGGGCTCTGCCATATATGGGCCATATAGGTATGTGCCGCTGTGAGGGGTATGGTTTTCAAGCAGTTTACTCTAGGATAGGGTATATAAATCAGAGCGTTTTGGTCGAGAATAGGGTATCATTTTTCAGGAAACTGATCAGTTGGTTGAAGATTTTATTTAGACGAGGGACTGTGGTATAAGGTTTTGTTTTGGCTAGACTGTGCTAGTGACCTCAGTAGTTTCTAGGATCAGCTACTCCAGGATAGGGGGATTTGGGGAGTTTACTCTAGTATAGGGTAGCAAAATTCAGCTGAACTAGCTCTGGTATAGGTTAAGGGTTCCAGGGTCCCAGCAGCACATCCCCATCCAGAAATTCCCGAAGTACCTCCCCCCCCCCAGGAAGCCAGGTTAGCCTGCACACGTGACTGAGTGTCAAGCCTTAGGTTAAGTAGAAAACACTGCAGGCATAAAGGTGGGTACACACTACATATCATTCCGTGTGTACAGGTCAAGCGACTAGTTGCAGCAACATGTTGTGGCGACACATCGCATCAACAAATTGCTTTCTGTGTACTGGAGAAATTTTGTGAAAAGCTATGTCTCTACTACAGAATTTTGTTGCGGCAACAAGTCACACAAGTTCTGTCTGATTTAGTTTTTTGCAACATGTTGCTGTGACAAAATTCTCCAGTGCATGCTAAGCAATTTGTTGCTGTGATGTGTCGTCGCGAGATGCTGCTGCAACTTGTCACCTCATGTGTACCGACCTTAAAACCTTGACCCTGTTTCTTTTTCAATTGCAGTAATTTTAGGTTTCTCATGTGAATTCTAATTTGTGATTCTTTCTAGTCTGAACTTGGAAGACCACTTAGACGCTGTTTTACCCTACCCCATGATGGCTTCACCTATGGAAAGGCAAACGAAGGAAAAGACAGCGGTGCTGCTGATGGTAAGATTGAACAATTTTTCCTGAACTGGGAAGGATCTCCCTGGCCCCTTGCCAAAATTCTGTCATTCACTATTTGCAAATCTCCCTCAAAACAACTTGTTTGCCCCACCCCATCGCCCCCCAAAAAGAAGTGCATAAGCATTGTCTTTGATTTACCTTAGGACAACCTAATACCCAAGAAAAATTGAAAACAAAGGTAGTGCAAACACTGACAGCAGATAAGGAGATATTAGGGGGCTTAAGCAAAGACCTTTTTGAGCAACGCATGCCAAACAGAAGTGAGGCCTTCTGCCTTTTTATATGCCTTGACGCTAACAAATTTGTATTACTAAGTTTCTTTTCTCTTACAAAGACGATTTACTGGCAAGTTTCAACCAAACCACTACCCAATGGCACAAAAAGTCCACTTCCGGTTGACATCCATCCTCCCTATTGATATTTTGTAAGCTACTGCAGTTGATCCCTGGTGTTAATATTTTTTAAGCTAAGTGATCATGGCATGATGTATGCTTTTGAATTTCAGCCCTTGTATGGAGATCAGCTCCTCCAGCTCAATTACTGTATCTCAAAGCGAAAAAAGCTCCAAGAGACTTTATTGGTTTAAATAAGGCAGCTGTGCAGGCAGGGCTTACAACAGCACAAGAACATTTCCAGTACCGTGCAACTCATGATATGAGAAGAAAAGACTCCGGGAATGAGAAAACATCACTCAAAGTTAAAAGAATTCCACCAACAATGGTGTTTGGAATTCCAACAAAGTAAGTACATCTGCTTCTAATCATCTCAGGTGGATTATTAGATCCGCCTTATCACTACAACTGCATTTAAATCACTTTTTAGAAAATTTGTCAGTCACAGTACATTAAAGTGTTAGAAAATCTAGTCCATTTTGTTGCATGACTTTGTTGCTTAATGTTGTGACTTCTTCACGCAAAAAAGTCAACTTTTGGGCAAGTCTAGGAATGTGCTGAAAGGTTACCTTTTATTACCAAGGTCTCTACTGAGAAAAAAATCACCTATTTTTCAATCTAGACCTTCTACACCAGTTTATAACCTTCTGGGACATAAATACCAGGACGTATGGTTAGAGGAGAGACGTAAGGCAGAGGAAGCTACGAGGGCCAGACAGGAGCAAAAGGTATTCTTAAAAATAATATTACCAATAGTGTACATGTAGTACTGCAGTGCTAGTATCATACTGCTCATCTCCCTGTGGTGGTAAATTTAATCCCTCTTTTAGATTTTAAAAGCAATTCCTGTAACTTATTTTACCCACAGAGACATGTTGATAAGACCATCTATGAGACAAGGACTTCACGACTCAGAAAATTTCAACCTCCAGTTGATTCTGCACCACTGTGGCACATGCCCAAGTTTGAAAAGGTATTACATTATTGACATAATAATATTATTTTTGTAAAGTTACAGTGAACATAATTCTGAAATAGCTGAAACCTTTCAATGGTTCTTTAAAAAAACTACCAGTAGTGGTGCTTATTGCATATATGACAGTTATTGCTTTTGGAGTTTTTGTTGCGTTGCACTCAGTTGGAGGTTTACCTTACACAGGGTGCAAGACAATTATAGGGGTCTTTTTAAGCTTAAATTCAGCCTTTCCATTACCTTTTAGTTACCGGTAACCTTGAATAGCCCAGCATAATATAATAATAAATTATATATCCCATTCATGGGGAAGTAGCGGTTAGAGAGGAACAATAATAGAGTTAGCTCTCCGGGGATAGAAAAGAGACCCATCGGGTCATCTGGGACAAGTAGTTTTTCTTGCAGGGAAAGTAGCTGTTAATTTAAAATCACTTGCCTGATGTTCCAGGCAAGTCAACTAAATCAAAACTGCTGAAACAAGCAAGTGTAGGTGCCCTGGGTTAGCAAAACATGAGAGATGCTTGCCCGAGAGACTAGCTACATGTAGGGTTCAAGTTTTTTTTAGCACTGCTCCCGATGTGTAGACCACAGATGTAATTACTCCTTACAAGTGTATATATCAGGCTCCAAATTAATGCTGCTGTAATTTTTCTTCACAGGTCCCTGCTTATCTCAGCACATTCAGATCTGACAAAGCAAAAGATGCTGCCTTTAAACATCACGCCACAGACAGTACTTCACGGCAAGGAGCCTTTGGTCATGGAATATATGAACCTGCAAAAAGCTAAATAATTTTGCTAAAGATTGACATAATGTTTTTAAGTTAAGAGTGTAAAAAAAGAAAGTTTACTAATACATTGCAATTATTTCTTCACAATTAGATTAATTTTGTTCCTCTAACATAATGGTTTTTTTGGCACATTTATTTTTTCCTTTGCATCTCCTATCAACACTCAAAATTTAATACAGCCTAACTCTTTTTAATCTGTTGATTGCGCTTGTTCATTTTAGAGTGCAGCGATTCATAATGTTAAACCTGCTAATTTGATTGTAAACAGTATACTGAGCAACAACAAACAGATGTGGAAGAGGCTGCTTTCAGAACTATTAAAATATCCAATTATATTTTTTTTCAAATCTTCATTACTCAGTTACAGCTAGCTGTAATGATTTAATTTAAACCCAACTCTTTATTCAGAAACCTGTTAAGCAAGTGTAAATAATAAGATAACTTAGTGAATGAAAAAATAAAACTCAAGAAACAAAACTGAATAAAGTTAATTTATTGACTAAACCTTGAAAACTTTACTGGAAAAGTATCATGCATTACTGTACCCTATTTGTCCAATATTTTGTGTGCTTTATTCAACTAAACCATATAGCTACTATGTAGAGAAACCACTAAAAAATATGGAAAAGCAGAGTGCTTTCTTAATACATGATTTTTTAACCTTAAGTTTTGATAATGTTATTTTTTAACATACAATTTTGAAATACCTAGGGTTCATACAGATTTTTGGATCCAAAATTGAAGACTTTTTTTCAGACTTTTTTCAAATCAATAATTCTTTTTCAAGACAAAGCTTTTTTCATCATGTAAGTTTGCAATGCAAGGATGAGATTGAATAAGATTTGACCAAAACAACAAAAAAATTTCACACATTAAGTCGGCTTGTTGTAGCTTTGAAAAAAACTCAAGACTCTTTACCATTTTTCCAGACTTGATCTCTAATTTCCAGACTTTTTCCAGGAAAAAGTCTGGAAAGTCTAGAAAATTGCTGGGCAAATGTCAAGACCTTTTCAAGAATACAAGACTCTGTTTGAACTCTAAATTACATCACAGTTAAAATTTCCATCACATGTACAGTGAATACCCCCATCTACAAATAAGTATCTGTAACTTAGAGTAAATTTTAATTTTTTATGGGATCTTACAGCAAAGACAAATTAACACCCCCACACACACATCCCCTCCCCCCCTGAAAAGAAAAGAGCCAACTGCCAGAAGTTGCTCAAGCAAAGGAGGGAAACCTCTAGCTGCTTGTTTGCTCCCTCTTGTGTGCCTAAACAGATTGTTTTTTCAACAAACAACTGGATGGTGTTTAATTGAATAACATGTTGAGGAAGCCAGTGGTTTCTCCCCATAGTAAGTAGCCTGCAGTGCAGGCGTATTTTGGGCGGGCGAAACCTTGTTCGTGTTCGTATTGTTGTAGCTGCCATCTTTGATTTTATGACAGAGGAAGATTGGGGAGTGAAATAGTAACCCTTAGGGTCGCCCCATTTCCTCCTCTCTTCGAGAAGTTTCAACATGGCGCTTTCGCGAGCAAATTGCGCGCTCAAAGAAAACGCCTGCACTGCAGGCTACATAGTAAGTTAGCCCCTCATTAGTTAGCAATGTAAGAAATTGCATTCACCTCGTAGTGAATAAGCCCTGTAAAGAGACAGCCCCATGAAATGTTCAGAATGAACACTACGATGATCCATCAATCATTTTGATTTTAACTGCTGCACACACTTTGTGCCAAAGATCGCTTCGATTTCAACCACATGGCATTCCGTCCTTTACATACTTTGCCAATATTTTGCACTTGCAGTGTGGAAAGGTTCAATGTTTCAAGATGGTCAAAATTGACCAAAATGAGCTTTTTACCTTTCGATATGAATGTCTAAATGTGAATTTGGAGATATAACACCATGGGGTGATCTGGAAAAGTAGGGGGCAAACTTGAAGGATCTAATTCACTAAGGGAAAACACTCTAATATTAATGTTTGTGATAAGGCAATATGGAAATATGTGTACCTCACTCCTACTGTTAAACAGTTTAAAGTACATTGAAGCAAGTTTTTGGGTGTATACCTTATCAATTAATTTTTAAGTTATTTTCCCTGAAATTTTGTTTTCTTTGGTAATGGCTCTTCTCTTGAAGTTTTTTCTTCCTTCTTGGGTGACCTTCTGAAGTATGAAAGGAGAGTCCCAGCAACTGGCTTCTCCTTTTGTTTGGATCTGAAAGTAAATTGTATTTCCTAATATTAAAAATTAATATGTGAATCATGGATTATTTTCTTGTTAAAAAAAACCCTACAGTGTCTACAGTGCTTGTAAAGATGATAGCTATACTGGCTATAGGGCTCAAAATAATGGAAGGTTAACTGACAACATCAATAATGTCTAGCAAGAATGGTAACTTGACTGGCAAAAAACTTCACTCGCTGGTCATGTTCACCGGCCATGGACACCCTTATTCTAGGAAAAATAACCAAATCCTCACTTGTAAATCCTAGATTTTGTCTCTGTAAAAATACAGTCACGTTCACAAATAGAAAATCACACATAGGTTTGTTTACTTTTTTCCCAATCTGATATTTTGACCATTCAGAAACGAGATTTGACCAAACCAGAATTTCTTTGAGATTTGACCAAACAAAAATTTCTTTGTGTCCGACCACTGTCCGAAAATCATTTTGAGCCTAGGGCTTCATGGGTCAAGGTTTTTACTGCAGTGTGCCCTACATTTGTGGGAAGACTGAGAGCATCACCCAAGACAGGTCTCCTCTGTCTTTCCTGGAGTACCGGTTTTAAGGTGCCAGAGACACATCTGCCACACCTGCCAGTGGAAGCATGCAGGCCCACTGCAAGCAGGTCAGGGAGGGCTTTGCTGTTGGGAATAATGTATTGGCTACTCTACAAGCACATTTTTAGGGAACAAGAGCTCATTCTGACCACTACCCCCAGCCTGAAGTATACAATTAACAGCGCTGGGATTCAGTTGTTGTTTAATACAGTCAACTCTCTCTCTCTCTCTGAGATTAAAATCACTGAGGCTACCACTATGTTGTACCTTAGAGATGTGCTATAGAGGTTTTCCTTTAAGAGTGAGAGAGGGGATTGTATGCTTACACAGCTAAATTCATATTGACCTCAAGGATTAGTAGTAAACAGTCAAAGCTCCCTTATTCTATGGACACCTCTGGGAGTTATGAAAAGTGGTCATGGATGTAAAGAAAGGGAAGTGAATAGTAAAGTCCAAGTTGCAGAGAGTCTAAGACCTACCTTAGAAAGTAAAGACTTTTCTGCATAATTTTTTGCAGGGGGGGCGGGGAGGGAGGCAAAACACATAAAGTTAAAAAATCTGAACTCAAGGAAATTCACAAAAACAAAACTTTGCGACTCAAAAATGTTGGTAAGCTTTAGAGATCTGATCAGATGTAAATTACTTTCCAAGTCCCATACTATTGAAATGTGACATTTTTTGTCAAATATATCGCACATTTCTAGGTTGGAAGAAAACAATGTCTCTCACCCACATTGTTCTCAGATATTGACAATCCAGTGGTGAAAGAGAAGCAACCAATATAGGATGAAAAGTGGAGGTAAGAGGGCAAAGTAACCTAGAAGGGCTATCAAAAGACCAAAAAGGGCAGTTTTTGTCCCCAGTAACAGAATATGAGGACAACTTTGCAAAAGACAGCTGTGATCTAGAAAAGATGAGCATCATGTAATTGACACCAATGACTGCAAGCCACTGAAACAGTCTCCTCACCCAATACTACCCTATAGAGAAGAAGTTATCACTCGGTAGCTGGAAGAGTTACTAGCTACAGGCTGGATTGAACCATTTCAAAGTCCTTGGAGCAATCTTTTGGTAAATTCTGGGAAACACAACAGGACATACCATACATGCAATGACTTAGTTGACAAAAAAGGATGACATACTACTACCTTGGAGAAATGGTATGTTAGAGCCCTTGGATGGAGGCTCAGTGATTTGGCCTGGATTTGGCCTTTGGGTACTGGCCGATGCAGGTGAATCTAGGACAGGTTTAAGACTGCCTTCTCAACTCCTCAGAACTCAGTTAATGAAATAATGGCACTCAATGGTTTTACCATTTAAAAGTCCATGGAACTGTTCTTTGGTACTTCCCAGGGAACACATCAGGGCATACTATATGAGAATTGGCTACTGCAACTTAATCAGTTGACAAAGAGGGATGCCATACCACTACCTTGGACCGATGACATGTTACACGTCTTTGGTGAGAGCACATTTGCTTTCCAGCCTGGGTACTGGCAGGTGCAAGTAAAAGCAGATGATGGGCAGAAGACTGTTTTCTCTACTCATCAGACACAATACCAATGGAAAGTAATGCCTTTTGGATTGACAAACTGACCTGTAAGGATGCCATACCACTAGCTTGGACCAGTGACATGTTAGAGGTCTTAGGTGGGGGCCCAATTGTTTGCTAGCCTGGATTTGGCCTTTGGATACTGGCAGACGCACGTGAAAGTAGATGATGGGCTAGAATGCCTTCTCTACTAATAAGGCACATACCAATGGAGAGTAATGCCCTTCGGATTAACAAATGGACCTGAAGGCTTCACTCAGTTAATGAATTTGGTGCTAAATAGCCTTACCAGGACCCATTGTCTAGTGTATTTGGATGACATCATCACCTGGGCGATAACCTTTAACCCATTCGCCCCTGGGAATTTTGCCAACAAACGTGTTTTGAAGTTAGTTGAGCAATTTTCTAGTCATTGTCTGGCCATTAAGAGCTAAAACTTACCAGAAAGCTGTTTGCAGGTCATTAATTTTGCGGCCCTCTGATCCACATGCAAAATATCAGCTTGTGGGCATGCGCAGAAAGTAAAATTTCGAGATTTCGAGTTCTTGGGTTTAAAAGTGACAGAGCAGTTTTGACTTTTTCTGTTCACTTTCTTTCCTCCCCCCTTCCCTCTCTTTTTGTTGCCTTATTTTTTCACAAGCTCGGCACGCAGTAGGCTTCATTTTGGTGGGAAAAGTTTTCAGAAAAGCTGTTAGGATTTTGGGATTAGATGAAAACGTAGGTGGGTAGTGAGCGAAGTCTTCATGGAAATTTCTGGGTCAATGTTACATGGTTTTTTGCCTTTTTCTCCAGTATCCTTGACTGAATCGTGCTCATTCTGGCATGGTTTAAAAGATCTCTTCACCCTGCACAAGTTAGCAGACAAAGTTGTTCTTAGCCTTTAAAACTGATGACGTCACAGCCAGTAGAAGGGACCTGGATCTGCACAAGCGGTTATGGGCATTTCGGGGGCGAATGGGTTAAAGACAACACCTATTGACTACAGTTAGTGTTTGATTATGTTAGGACTGCTGTTTTGAAGCAGGGGCCTAATAAAATTAATGTCACTTCCTTAAAAGAGAAGTTACCTTTCTTAGACATGTTGTGTTGTCTGATGGTATGAAGAATGATCTTGATAAAGCCATCAAAAACATGGCCAGTACTACTTAATGTGTAAGAGCTTCATAGTTCACTTACATAGTTCATCTTTGAATTTTCCATTATTACTGAACCCCTCTATAGACTGTGTAGGAAAAAGTACCATTTTGTTGGCAACAGAAACAACAAGCTGCATTTGGGAAGCTGGAGGATCTCCTGCTGAGCATACCAGTACCAGCAATTTCAGTCAGTGATAGGGTCTTTCACAGTTGATACCAATGCAGGCCATTTGCCTCAGCAGCAACCTTGACTGAACATGAAGACAACTATTGCACCACTTGGTTGGGAATGCTCATATAGCTCTCATGGGAGAACTTGAACAAGGTGATTAATGTGATCAGGAAGTAGCCAGGTTAGATACGGAAGGAGGTGGACTAACAGAAGATTTTCAAAGTGGTTACACAAGCAGTGAAGAGAAAACAGAAGACACACAAGAGGCTGGAGAAGAACAGCCAGCTGCTCAGAGCAAAAGACTAGTACACCTGTATGCATGAGGAAACCTTTAGACTATCATGCTGAATGCATTCTAAGTAGTGTACAGCAGATATAGGACTGCTTAAAGATGTTGGAGGAAGCACCAAGAATGGAAAAGGAGCAGATAAACTAAGTTCAAAATTGCCTAAAATAGCTCGAACACTGTCGGGACTTTAAAACTGACAATTCTCTCAGTCTAGAGAGATAAACCTTCGAGAGTTTTTGTTTAGAGACTATAGATTCACTTTATTTTGCTTTATTACTTGGTGCAGTGGTGAATCAGAAGGTTCCTTCCTTAAGGGAGGGGACAGTGTAATGTGACACATTGTGCTAGATAGATAGCCTAGGATAAGGTCAGAAGAAAACGTGGTTGTAAGTGTCAGTGCTTGGTATTCCTTCATTCTCGGCCATCTAATAACACATTTCCATGCAACATTTAATGAGGCTAAATAGCAATTTAGGCATGGTTAACCTCAAGACAACACTAGCAGGTCAACGGTTGAGCCCCAGGCACGCAGGCTTGTGTGGGGTGATTGCTTGGTTTGCAGGGGCTGACATGTGATTGCATATTTCAGCTCTGCTTTGTTTTGCTTTGGGGATCTTTGCGGGTCATTGCTATTCTCGGTTTGTGTAATCCACTTGACAACCCTCAAAGGTAAATAATACAGTTCCTAGACAGTCAGATATCCCTATAAATTATCTGGACACTCAGTTTTGTCATTTCAGTATGGTTCAACTCATACTTTTTTAAGACCTCCAATGTAGCCACTACTATACTGACTAATCTCTTTTGAAGGCCTGTATTTTAAGACAAGGAGTGACAGGAGTGAAAAAAAATACTTACAGATCAATTGGTTGGATACACTCTGGGGATTTATTTCTAGAGTTGTTAACAACCGAAGAGACTGGATGCCATTCTAAACAATCTTTGGGTTTAACAAGCTCCAGTGCCTATAAACAAACATAAGATTACTTGCAGCTCCACATTTAAATGAACAAGCTACAAAAAGCAGGTAAAATAATGGCCGTTTTTATACTAGAGGACGCCTTATCCGTCCAGACGCATAATGCGTCTATGGCCGTTTTTATACTAAGGACGCATTATCCGACCGGACGAACTTGGGCAAACATTTGTAGTTCGTCTTGTTATGCGTCTCTAGTATAAAGACGGGCACAAGACGCATTATGCTTTTGGACGAACTTTCCTTAGAAATACGTCTTGAACGACGCACTACGAAAGTTAGTTCGTTTGGACGCATAATGCGTCTCGTGCCCGTCTTTATACTAGAGACGCATAACCCAGACGAACTACAAAATGTTTGCCCAAGTTCGTCCAGATGGATAATGCATCCTTAGTATAAAAACGGCCATTACCTGCAATGCAAAATAGTAAATTATTAAGACGGAATCCACCAGGACATTGAGTAATTTTGATTTTCAGTGGACAAAAAATCTTGTAGCAGAATAATATTTAAAGCATATTGCATTCTTTCTTACATTTTTCAAGGGCTAAAGATGTAATAAATCATCTGTAGTAACACCAAAACAAATTTCTCAGGGGAGCCTGAGAAAATGAATGTCAAATTTCACAAAATTACACCTTACACATGAAATTTTTAGAATTTTACCTGTATAATGACAATTCTTGTGAAATTTGACATTTATTTTCTCAAACTTCCATGAGAAATTTTCTTTTGTGTTACTACGGATGATTTATTACATCTTTAGCCCTTGAAAAATGTAAAAGAGAATGCAACATTCTTTAAATTTTTCTGGTACAAGATTTTTGTCCACTGAAAATTAAAGTTACTCAATTCCTGATGGATTCCGTCTCAACGTGTTTTTAAAATGTGTCAACACTCAGACAAGAACTTAAAAGATTTTACAACAAATGTACCTTTTTCCAAGGAACTTCTCCATAATCTAACCACTGACGCACCTCCTCTTCACCATCTAAAATAGCCTATACATTACAATAAAGAAATAACAACTTCCAGTAAGAAAAAGTTAGACAAGAACTACTGTTTGTTTGTTAGTGCTTAGAAAATTAAAGTCAAGCCAGGACAAGCCTACCCCATAAGTTTTCATAAATGTATTAATTATTTTAAAACTGAATCTGTTAATGGTAAGGTTGTAGATTTTAGATTCACCTCTGCATCCCTGTATGCCTACATAATTATGAGCAGTGAATTCACAGATGAGGTAGTGAGGGAATTAATAAACAGGACTTGGAGTGAGATGAAAAATCTTGCTCAAAAGTAAGAGAAAATAATTATAACTCTATAGAAGTTTTATCAATGTATAAAGGCTTACCGGCATTCGATCATGAAGCCAGTCAAGTGATGAAGATGAATTCACTGTGATGATTGTATAGGAAAACAGATCTCTGACTTCACCTGAAATATCCTGAAAATTTTACAAAAGACAGAACAATCAAAGGAACTCTTCCTTTGAGAATGTATCAGGACACAGTTGAGTTGGGTGCAATTAGTTCATTTCATGATTCAAGTGACCAGTCACAGGGTTTGTACACCACCGTTTTAGAATTACTTTCATAGTAATTTCCTTATACACGTAAGACAAACTTGACCTGGAAATATGACCTGTGAGAGTCAGACAAACTCTGTCAGCAAATGAGTGTGAGACAGTAGTAGTTAAGAGGGTAAGAAAACTATGGTTGAAGGAATCAGGTCAAAGGATAGGAGCAGGAACTCCAACATTAAATCTACTAAGACTGGTAATCAACCCTTTGACATTTATGCAAAGTTGCTGTCAAAATTATCACCATAGTTTTCACCATAGTGATGAACTCATGTTGTAACTGCTGGGACAATTTAATTGCATACAGATTATATAGTGATTTCATTATGTACAAAAACTACTTTATAAAACCCATAGTGCGCTAGGGAGGGGAAATTCTCCAACAGGGGTACAGACAGTATAAAGGTTACACTACTAATCCCCTCTCTTAAAGAACACTGCTCATAGTGTGAGAAGGTGCTGACATGAACAGATACAAATACCCATTGACAATTGGTAGTCTGCCTGGTTTTCTAATAAATGGCCAGCACTAGGCCCGCAACAAATGAGAAACTTATACTAAGAAAATGTCACAGAAGCATAAGAAAACTTGTACAGCTTTCAAGCTAAAATTTTCAATGTCCGTGTTACTGAAAGGTTATGCCCAGTCACCATGACGATTTGGAGATTTTCTTCCTCTTCCAAAGCAGCTTCTTGCAGTCTGTGAAGGATGTTCATGGGAAGGTTTCCTTTTATCTCTCTCTGTCTCATTGGGTTGAGTAGATTGTAAGGCACAAGGCAACACCTTTTCATCATCACTTGTACCAACTTCAGCCTTAACATCATCCATGCCACTTGAACCAACTTCAGGTTGAACATAATCTGCAACACTCATGCCAACTCCAACATCATCTGAATCAGATCTGCCCTCTTCAATCAATGCGACTGGAACAGGATTAACAAAAAATGTTTTCCCTAAAAAGGTTACCAATTGAAACAACCACCAAGTGAGTCTTTTGTAGAAGTAAAACAACATGATACATTTTTGCATCAAGTGGAAACTTGGAAAAAAATCTGAGCCCCAGATGGGATTCTAACCCACGACCTTCCGTGATCTAGTCACAAATACAAGATTCTAGGGTAGATCTGCATGAGCAGAAAATGTTTTTTTTTTTGCATATAATTAAGGAAATGGAAAAATTTCTGGTAACCACTTTATGCTATGTGGCAACCAAAAATTTTTATTAAGTCGCCAGATGGCACCTGCATCAAAACTTATTTTCAGACCCAGATGAATCACCTTTGATATCACTCTTCATCTCATACACAATGAGGTCACCTAAATAAATCAAGCACCAGGTTTAAAACCTGAGTCTTGTCAATAGCAGTTCCACTAATTGCTAAAAAGTACCTGGTGATTACATAAAGGGCATAACGGTCCATACATACAGTCCTGATGTGGTCACAAAGGCAGTTTTGCCAATACCCTGAAGCCAGATCTAACCTGCTGAACCAATCTGCTGCGGAGAACACGCTGTCATTGCATGGTGGGGGATAAGCGTCTTTGACTGTAGTCACTGCAGCCACTTGTCTGTAATCAACACAGGATATTTAGGAACTATCCTTCTTTGTCACCACTACCACACTTCTACCATGGGAGACAACCACAGACTGATTGATTTCTTGACAATACCTCACTGCTCTGTACATGTTTTGATGGTGAGGCAGTGAGGTGGGGTGGGAATCCTGTTTGAAAGATCTCACATTTTTCGTTTCAGTGTAGTGTCTTATCACATTGGTCCTGCCCAGAGCTTGCATACATCTTTGTATCAGGGCATCTCCTTAGCGCCTGCCTGACTCTTCTTGGGTCAACTGTTCTTAACTATAGTGCTGGCAATTAAAGCTCTTTGAGAGGATCTGGTAACATTTCTCCACTCTCGTATCCATCCTTGTGTACTCTGTGAACTGCACTTTAAGAGCAATCTGAGGTCTGCTCAGACACCTCCAACTCTGGTCACTGGTTTCACCACAGCTACACAGTTTACACACCAATGGTTTGTGACTTGTCCAGTATAATTGCACAGGAACAAGGCCAACCCCTTCTGCAGACACTAGATTTCTGCAAGCTGTTCTCTTGAAGATGGATAATGTTAGGTTCCATGATTCACAGCCCTCTATTAGCAGTTGCAGGTGATGACTTACAATAAGATGCACCAGTGATACTGCCTCACATTCTATCACAACAAAATGTTCACGTTCTATCACAACAAGATGGTGCATTATACATCGGAGGCTTAGTTGCTGATTGCTATCCCTACAACAGTCAATCTCCTCCCCATTAATAGCAAGTTGTTATTGGATTAGATCCATCTTTGCAATAAATGTCCAACAAGAAATCCATGCTTAAAATCGTAGAATACTCAATATCAGCTACTAACACACTTATGCCAATATAATGGCTCCCAATCCTCACAGATGATCATGACTCCCCTCTACCATACCTAATAGTTTGGCGCCAATATGCTATGCAAACAGTTGTGAACCATCCTCATGCAAAGGAAATTTTAAGCATTCAGGCAATCTCTTGCAGCACTCAAAGGATAACATGTTTTGAACAGTGGTGTAATGATTAATAGAATTCTCAGTTAATCGCGATTATGACCGTTTGGCTCGATTCACGATTCTTTGCTTCCACGCTTCGACTTTGTTTCCATTTTTGCATAACTTTTCGAGGGTGCCCTCAGTGAGTTATTATATTGTAAAATCAGAATCCAGAACTCTTTGAAATATGCAGTTCTGATTGTCGAGCAAAGGCGATTGCAATTCATGCACCATTTTCTGTTGCCTGGTAAAAATGCTGTCCTTCAACCACCCCTTGAGAATTTGCAAATAAGGCAAACCAGGTGCGACATGCTCTTTGTCAGGTTCTCACACATGGTGACGAACTACAAACAACTGTGAATTCTCATGTCCCTGTTAATATTCTCAAATAATTTGAGGGTTTAGGTTTGCATGTTGTTTACAATGTTATGTTATTCAAATTAAAAAACACTTTACATAATCAAATCAAAATAATCGGAATCGAAAGGCGATAATCAAAATCTAATCAAATCGCAAGGAAGATGAATCGTTACACCCCTAGTTTTGAACAACACCACTATCAACTAACCAGTACAGTCATGGAAAGCTTACATTGACCGATAAATCCAACAACATAGTTTCTATGGACGGGATTTCTGATGAGGTGCACGGAAGTCACTTTTTCAGCCCTTTCACAGGCGTTAATATCAGTGTCTTTGACTTGAGTCTCCTTGACATTCAGGCATCCTACTGGGCCCTCAAGGACACCCTGTTCCCCTTGCTCTTTTCCCATGTGCCCTCCTTTTTTTACAGTTCCAGCAGACCCATCCTCCCTTCCTTTGGGTACCCCATAACTCTTGATTTACAGGAAGATTTGAGACGACATCTTAAAATCTACTCATCTACTGATGTAACTCAGGTTACATTACTAATATTGTAACCTGGGTGCAAATTCATGAGAAAATCTAAAGACTGGATTTTGCGTAAACCTACCGAATTGATGATTTTAGGCTTGTTTTAAACCATCCATGTTGCCATGGCAATGATCAAAATCTTACATTTAACCTAATAAACGTAATGTCTTACAAATACATTTTGTCCATGCGAAATTTGAGCTTTACACCTTCAACAAGTCTTTAAGGTATCATCCACCCTCAAGCACCCTCCTCGCGTTGATCGTCGCTAGCGCTTTTGCTTTTAATAAATACCCCCATAAACCGTACATTTTCTGAAAGATTAATAGTTCCAGATTACTGCTTATTGCTTTTAAAAGATCAAAATATTAACCCGATTTAGAAATGAGAAGCTTTTTGTGAAAGTGGGTGTCACTGTAAATTTAAGTCCAGGCCAGCCAAAAATAAACGGAAGAAGCCAATTAAGATCACATTTGCTTCTTAACACGTTTGACTAAAAAAACATGTCTCAGATTCTTGTCAAGTGCGTTTGTTCTTTTGTTATAAGCAGTTGAAGTTAGGGATAGCAAATCATTAGCACTAGCTGTGAAAAAACTACTCTAACTCGAAAACGAAAAAAGAAATCACAATTCGCCGACACGCTTTTTTAGAAAAACTATCCGACAGTAAGTTGGCCAAATTTCAGCCAAATTGGTTCACGGGTTGCCGACTTGGAGTTTAAAACCTACCCTCAATTTGCCCTGATTTTCATTTCGAGAAACCAGTGGAAAAAGAGTTTTGGCGGCATATTACCCGTGGTGAGATTACAACAGATTATATGTTGATGCATACCAGAGAAGGGACAACAATAGTGACACAGCAGGAAAGGGTTGAAAACGAAACCCGACAACAATTTATTTCAAAGGCTCTGCTCTGTTCGATCCTTTCTGTTGTCTAGAAAGCATCATTACTTATTTGCGATGGACAGTTTTCATTTTCGCACTGGGCAAGCTAAGTTGAGCTAAGCCCACTTTTACCCGATACATTTTCTAAAAGTTTGACACTTCCCTGGAAAAATTGATGACAAACCGCTTCCTGGAGTTTTTCTTGAAGCTTCTCTCCCGCAACAATAGACTTTCAAAACAGTCCTTCGTCCGATTTTTATATGGCGCGAGACCTCTCGCGACTTCGTCGCCTGCCTGACCGCTTCGGGGCCAAAAAAGCTTGCCCCGCTCGCTAAGAAACTCGTTAAACTCGATTCCGTGGGAGTTTCAATGGTTCTTCAGGAGCTTTGTCATCTTTTAGCCATTTTTCTTGATTGTAGTAGTAGCCCCTGTCGCTCTCTGCCAATTTCGAAGCCCACTCTTTGCAAAACGATTTTGTCGTCTTCTTTCATCTTGGAGTCGTGTATGAAAACGGACAAGCTCTTTTTTTTCTTTGGAGGCATTAACCACGATTTCTGTCAAATTGCGTGATTCGCTTGGTTCAACAGCGCCATGCGTATCAAGTATGACAGGACTTGTCAACGATCAATTAAAATAATTAGTATAGAAAAAACTTTTGCGCTCCATAAGTCTGCACAGAAAAAACATCTTTCCCTGGAATTTTTTTTAAAAGAAAGCTCTTGATTAGCTTTATTTAATCATTTAAAAATTGCAAATTTCGAAAAATTATGATTTTTTTTCCTGGATGATACCTTAATAACACCTAACTGAATAGTAATGACTCATAACCTAACAAACTGTGTTCAGCCACCTTTATCTTTCAATATGATGGCCACACATCCACACTTGATCAAAACTATCTGTACTAAGTTGGCCTGCTGATCTAAGTTTAACAATAGATTTGTTTCCCTAACCTAGCTATAAGATTTTCATTAGAAAATATAATAAAAAATACATACTTTTGGTGCTTTCCAATGGTCAAACAGACCAGCCATTGTTAAAAGTCGCTTATCTCCCCATTTTGCTGTGTCGTCTTTTTTCATTGAAGCCAGCTCCTTATCTTCTGTATCATCTTCAGAGACATTTCCTTCCTCTTTTGGTTTCACTATTCCATCTCCTTTGAAATAGATATAATAAGGTTGTTTCTTTCCTTTCTTAACAGTTTCCCACTCAAAGAACCTGTAAGTAAACATATAACTATTAAATAAAAAAGTGTAGTTCTGTTAACAACAATGCCCCTGACCAAATTTTAGGTAGGTGGCCTGGGGAAATGGGAAAAGAATTTGACAATTTTTGTAATGCCAAAGTAGCCACTGTTCAAATTGATCACAGCCTCACAAAATATGCCACCCTTGGCCCTTCATGGTAGCCTGATGACTTAGTTTGCAATCATATTTTACCAAACTTTGTTACAATTGCTTTTTATTACTCAGCTTATTGATTTGTATGAAAATAATGTCACGTATTAACAGATAGCCACAGGGCTGTCCTCAAGTAGCAGCTGGTGTTCCCTAGCAACTTACAGCAAATGGAAAATGGAAAGGTCATGCCTTTTCCCTCTTCCCATTGTCCACTGAGCATTTACTATTTTTAATTATAGCTTTTTTATTGTGTAATACCCAGTAAGAGCCCCTGCAGAGGAGATCCCTAGGGCATAACGGACATCTTTGTCTTTGTGTACAATTTCTATGTCAGGCAGCATTGAGTTCATAGGATCAGAACTAATTTTGGGCTCTTTTCCAATATTGTCTCAAAGCAAAGTCCTGGATAGGTGGCTTAAAATCAATAAAATCAATAAACTGTTCTATAAAAATACCTCCAAATCATGAATTACATATCTTAAAATAAATGCTTTACCCTTCTGCCAAGATGACGCATCTTTTGCCTGTCTCAAGAGGAGTTCGAAAAGATTTCTTGTCCAACAAAGAATCACTTCGGGCATTGCTCATGTTATAGCTAAACTCTTTGGGATTTCCATGAAACCAGGAGGGGATTAATCCCCAGCGCATAGGCTGTAGGACTCTTTCAGGCACAGCCTCTGAGGCCACATCATTGAAATGTTGGCTGGATAAGAGTACTGGACTAAAAATAACATGCATATATGAATAATGATTAAGTAAAGAAATTTGAAAATGTACTTGTATTTTACTTTTCTAAAAGTTTTTTCCATTACTTTTGATATTTTCTCATGGTGCTTTTTGGCTTCAGTTTTGGAACAGTTTTATTATCATCCCCAGCAAGCAGAGGCCTGGGGTGCTTTTTGACAGAAAATTTCGGAAATTCAGGATGGATGGTAAATGGTAAGGTCATTTTTCGGAAATTCCAAGAGAAAATTGTTGAGTACGTTTTGAGGTAGTCCGTTCATTCCGGTTGGTACAAACCAAACAGAATGCTGCTTACCATTTACCAATTTCTCAGTTCCAGACGCATTCTCCCCCTTTTTTGATTCAAACCATAACGGATGTGACACTTCTGTGGTAAACTAGTAAATCGCTTACCATTATGCTTTCGACACCCCAGCCAGATTTGTCTGTCAAATGGTAAGCACCCCTGGGGAAGTTTGCCTACAAAAGTATGTGCTGCCCAACAGGGTATAATTTTTTACCTCTTGACTCTAAATACATAATACAATTTCCTGGGTGCAAATAAAGTCAGTTTTACAGCCTGCCATTCGGGCAAGCTGTAGCTAGCATGTACTTGCCCACAAGTCATTCCAACTAATAATAATGATAATAAGTTTATTTGTATAGCGGTACATACAAAAGCTCTATATCGCTTTACAATAAAAAAAAAAGAAAATAACTAACTAACAATAGCACTAACACAAAAAGTCAATTGAAAGCGAGTCTAAAAAGATAAGTTTTCAATCTAGATTTAAAAACATCAACTGATCCACTTAATTTAATGTCTAAGGGAATATCATTCCAGTGCTTTGGGGCAGCGACCGAAAAGGCCCTGTCCCCATAGCTCTTCAGGCGCACATTCGGTACTTCTAATAAATGTTTGCTAGCTGACCTAAGATTTCTTGTAGGGTTATATGGGACTATAAGTTGACTTAAATACGGAGGCGCCAGATTATTGAGAGCTTTAAAAGTTAACAGTAATACTTTAAAGGTAATTTGCTGCTCCACAGGTAACCAGTGCAGCTCCTTAAGGACGGGGCGAATGTGCGCAGCCCTAGGTTGCCCAGCTAAAAGGCGTGCAGCGCAATTTTGAACGCGCTGGAGCTTCTGAATAATATACTCCGGTGACCCGAGGAGCAACGAGTTACAATTGTCCAGTCGACAAGTAACATAACCATGGACGAGGGTCTCTGTGCTCTCAGAAGTCAGATACATTCTAATCTTCGCGATATTCCGAAGATGAAATAAAGCAGATTTACAAACGGAACTCACATGCTTATCCAGTGACAAGGTCTCATCAAAAACAACTCCTATGTTCCTAGCTTTGTCAAACTGCTCTACACGATAATCACCAACCACGATACTATCTAAAGATGGGCGTGGCCGATATTTTGAACTGATTACTTAACGAGCAGTTCCGTCTTGTCCCTATACAACTTAAGTTTGTTACAAGACATCCAACAGTCGATATCTCTAACACAAGATTCAACCTGAGAGACAGAATAAGCTTGATCATCTCCACTGAGAGAATTGAAGGACATATACAACTGAGTATCATCAGCATAGAAATGATAGCCCATGTTGTATTGTCTGACAATATCCCCCAATGGGGAGGTATAGAGCAGATATAAAATCGGTCCAAGCACGGAGCCCTGTGGTACTCCGCACGACAGCGAACGTGTGACAGACCGCGCACCACGAATGCTCACAAAATGAGTTCTGTCGCTCAGGTATGATTTAAACCAGGCCAGAGCTAGATCGCAAAGACCGAAGCGGTTTGCTAATCTCTCAATCAGTATAGTGTGATCAACCGTATCTAAAGCGGCCGATAGATCTAATAAAAGTAAGATAACAGTCCTATTCCTATCAACATCTAGGATAATATCATTAAAAACTTTGACTAAAGCTGTTTCGGTACTATGAAATTGTTTATATGCAGATTGTAGTATTTCATCAAGTCTATTAATAGAAATGTGATGAATCAACTGAGATGCCACCACCTTCTCAGTAAGTTTAGACATGAACATCAAATTTGAAATAGGACGAAAATTCGAAAAAACTTCAACATCAAGTGTGGGCTTTTTGAGAAGAGGATTCAACAATGCAAGCTTAAAACAGTCTGGAAAAACAGCTAGACATAAAGACTGATTTACAATTTGAGTCATAACAGGCACAAGAACTGATGTAAACTAGCCCCAAAACCCTTTTTGATTAGCAGGATTGATTACAATCCTTCTGTAATTTGAATTTCCCCAAAAAACAGTACTTGCCTGTCGGGAAGTTAAGAACAAAAATCACTAGCCTGATAGAAAAATCAACTAGTCCTGGGCTATCGGACACAACTTTCTTTGCACGCTGAATTTCACTATTTAGTGCCTTCAACAGAGTGTCTTTGTTCATGGGAAGCCTTGAACAGGGTGTGAACATTGATCGTGTGCAATCCACATGTGAGGTACCGACATTTGTTTTTTCAAACCTTATTCAGTCTATGATATCGAAACTGTGTGCAAAATGAGATCAGTCTTACAAAGGGTGACAAAAAGGCAAGATGTCTTTAAACGGTCAGAGATTAAAGGCGTCAGGGACACACGTAAAAACCATCCCCGGAAGCTAGTTATAAAAGTTCTAATAGTTCAGTTTCTGCTTCCAAAAACTAATCTTTCATGAGACTGGACGGCCTTGTCGATCAAATAAAAGCGACAAAATAAATATGAAGCTAAACAGAAAATTGTATGCACATTTATATCTTTTGACCAGAGACTTGAAATGAGGAATCACGTATTGTTTGCCAGACGAGAGAATGGTACAACGAAGTCACGTATGAGTTCAGGAAAAACTTGAGAGAGCAAGATATCGCGGGGGATTACTGGATGTATTACGCTTAAACGTGTTTATTGAGAGCAAGGAAATTGAGTGAACTTCCATTTTCCATTTTTTTTTCGCCATGTCACACCACAAATTTCCTCTTGACTGCAAACATTCCTAACATTTCTGAACCATGGAATTTTTGCAAAGCACCCAACCAACAAATGAAACGCAAAATACACACTCCACGACTGTACATACAAACTCACGTAAAAGATTGCGGACTAATGTTATGTGAAGGATAATATGTTGCTCCACTTCCACCATCCCTCCATTGTGGTTCTTGTGTTTTTCCGTCCTTTCCTTTGTATCTGCATGCCTTGGGGATTTCATCAGGCGCTAGCGTACTGAATAACAACAAAGACAAATAATTGCTGATAAAACAAAAACGCTTTTTAAAGTTTACATGTTGGGATTTCGAGTTGCTATTTTCGGTGATGTGTCATACCAAGCCGTTCTCCCACACATTTTCAAGTTTAAATCACTCTAAGCAAAGGTAATAACTCCCTATACAGCCTTGGAGATATGTTTTAGAGTACCAAATATAAAAGTAGGAGCGCTGGTGAAAATGAATTTGCAGAGCAAGCTATTTTCACCACGATCGAACTCAATTTTGGCGCCTTTTGGACAGCGGTCAATGTGCTCATTGTTGGCTCTTGTCACCGTTTAAATTAAACATCCCAGACAAATCCTATTTTGTTTAATAAGATGTGTAGGAAACAACTCTCGTTAATTCATTTGTGCCGAAATTTTTGGCAGGATACAATAAAAGTAATGAAACATCACATAAATACCGCGAAATTCGCCAAATATTTCTGCAATGCACTCAGGTCACGTGCTCAAAGTTCGCCTTCCCAGCGGCCCAATCGCCCGTCGTGAACAAGCTTCTTCGGTTGTCATCGGCTATCTTTCGTGGGACTTGGAAAGGTTCTTTTCTATGTTTGCTCGTTTTTTTGTATTCCTTAGTTTATTAGGACAGTAAAAATTATTCCCTACAATAAGTAGTGTCGGATCCTAACCTAGCGAGTTTTTCTGGACCATAAGTTGGTCCCCAAGCCGTTGTATCTTTGTTTACTTTGGCTGTTTCCGACTAGGCTATGGCCGGTCATGGTTGAGTTCAAAAACTTTGCTGAGAACTGTTACGGATTAACCGGCACTTGTTCTACTCCATCGGCGTAGAATGCAGCACGGAGGAGTCATAATGGTAAGATCGTAGTATATGTCGACAAAACTAAGCAATGCTCATCCTATATCGTTAATGTTCAGTGTAAGCTAAGTGATGCTCAATTTATACTCTGCAGTACGATGGAAATAGAACAAGACGATCAAGTCGGAACGATGACCTCCACTCTAAAATGCAACGAGCTGGCTCTGAAACGCTTTTAAAGACAGACCTCGAACAGTCCAAGGAGGCAATAAAAATTGAAATTCGCAAACAGCTTAAACTAAAAGAGGGCGCCGAAAACCTGAAGAAAGTAGCAACTGACAAGAAAACTCTGGCACAGTGTAACACGATTTTAAAAGAGGCAACTGCAAAACTTCAAGATCTGCATGATGAACTTCAAGACCTTAATGCTCGAGTGTCAGAGGATATGCCTTGTAAGTATCTATATTGTTTGTGATAACTGAAGATAAAAGTGCAAGTCGATTGTATAGTTTATTCCCAGCTAATGAGCGGCTCGTCGATTTTCGAGTCGAAAATATTCACTTTTTCAGTGTACCGTTGACACTGTATACTGTATGTGATTAGATTCATCGGTACTAATTGCACCTTTCAAATTACATTTTAGTAGATGTTTAAGGTCAGTGGCTTAAAACTGGATTGACAAACTTTTTTATCGTCATCACTAATAGTCGATAATTTTGTGGTGCGGCAACTCTAGGCTATTAATTGCGATCGAACAAGCTGTGAAGTTAAACTCTTTCTAATTAATGGTCTTGGCTACCATAATCACTTATGGCTATGAGTTTGCCTGCACTTGGCATTTACTCCTCTTTTGTAAAGGTGTACTCATTCAGTCACGAACGATCCGTTGTTCACCAAAGTATACAACTTGTTTTTTTACTATCCCAAGAATGATCTTTGTTAATACTAGCTTGAGTACTTAAAATTGAAGCTTGTCATTTTCTAAAACATGATGTCCATTGAGTATTAGTTGACTTTTTTTAAATTTTTACAAGTTGAGAGTTTCGGAGCGTTCAAAAAAGCACAAAATTATATACACGAGTTAATTGCTTGGTAGCGAATCGAATATGCTAGATGGTGCGTATCGCCGCACATTCTTAAATATTGAAATCGTCACCCTCCGGGACTGCTAATTTGTCATGTTATATCGCCTTATATTTTAAACTATTAGCAAAAGTTGCTGCTGGGTTATAAGGATTTCTTTTGTTAGTCGAAGAATCGTTAAGGCACGAAGCTGCTTCCTCGATGCTTTAGGTCAACTAATATTTAAATCCTTTTGCTTGTGTTTGTGACAACAACGGTGGACTGTTTACATTTTGATGTAAGGAAAATCCTTTGTTTGCACTTCGCTGCCTGTGGCGAGTTTTTCTCTGCGTTCTTTTACCCTACTGTGATCGATCCAGGAATTATATTGATATATTCTTTTTGCTAGAATATGTGTACAAGTTATACTGAACAAATGTTTAATCAATCTTTCCTTGTTGCTCTAAGCCATTTGTTTCTGCAAGACTCATTTTAGTAAAAGGAGCTGATGTACGTTTAACAAAATTTTAATGAATAAGTTTGGTTTGATTGATCAAGAGTTTAGACACAACCTGTATTGTTCGTCTTGAACTTGTTAAGCTAATTTGGATTAAAATTGTTTGCACCTGGTCTTCCAACTCCATTACATTTACAGGTGTAACTGACAGCTAGATGCCTGCTGCTAGTGCAGTCCAATATAATGTCAATATTCAAGTCATTTTTTTCTGAATGCATTTCTCTGCATCACTTCTAACAGGAACAGTCACTACTGGACCTGTACTGTAGTCTTAAATGAAATAAAACCTGGAGGTTACAGCATATAAAGACAGTGACAGTAACAGTTTAAGACGATAATAAGTTACAAAAACAAAGCTGACTATAAATATATTACTTGATCAACATACAATAAAGATGAGATGTTAATTGTGTAAAAGGTGAATTATACAGAATTCATAAGTGATACACAGGTTTCTTAGATTGTAGGAATTTAAATGAGTCATGTGGATAAAGAAAGTAAAAGCTATTTGCAGGCTCTTAAAAAGATAAGGCTGATATTTTACCAACTGATCAGCACTGATTGCTAATCACCTAATTGCACTGAATTTTGATAGGAACTTTTTATTGGATGATACAATTTAATTGGTGGTAATCATGGGATATTTGACCTGTAAATTCTCTCAGCTATAGTTGTATAGAAGTAGTGATGAAATAAATGTGATAAAGGTAGAAGAAAAAATATTGTGGAAAACTGAAAACTTCCCAAACTAATGTCTCTTCAATATTGCACAAAGAGATTAGTAAGTTTGTTTCATATTTTTCTCTTGGTAAAAACCCTGTGAAGGCCAAAGATGGCAAGAATGCTCTTCCAGTAGACTTTTCTTTTAGAAAAGATAAACTGCTTATTGTTTTCTATTTTGGTGACGCTCAAAATATCAACTATTCAGTCTCAAATTCTTGAAAAAGTATTGAAATTTGCAAACCAGTTTTCCAGACATGGAAATTGTGTGCAGATTAAAGCTAACTCTCTTATGACTGTGTTGTACCGGGGTAACTGTAAGTTTGCAGTACATCAGGGGAAAAGCTTTTGCTGCTGCATTTGTCAAGGTTTCTATCTATTCCTTAATTGATAGTCTTGAGTCTGGAGAAGGTCTTGAATTCTACATGTACATCCCCAAATCTATAAAAGCCCCAGCATTTTGCTCTCTCTGTGGTGGTGAGTTGATCAATAAAACTAAAACTTGTTGTCATCATGCAATACATATGATATTTCCCCTGCACCCCAAGTATTGAGTTTGGCTTACTGTAGTCTGTTTTTCTTTTTTCTTTCTTTCTTTATTTATGAATTCCCCGAAATCCCAAGCTACACTAAGCCATAGTTTATGTAGGAAATTTGACCTGTAAGATATATGCCTTGTTCTAAAGTAACCCTCTTTGTTTTGTTCATTTGCAACCAAGTTAGTGGGATTTGACTGTCATACAATGCTCTCTGTAACTTGGTCTTGGTGTTTCTGCTGCAGTGGAAATCTCTCTTTCTCTGTTGTTATTGCCTGTATCTATGTGACTGATACTTCCCCTTGCTTTGCAGCTGAAAACACTGATGGACTTTCTCCTGATAGAACAGATGGAGTGTCAAATGACTCGTCAGGAAATAGTAAAATTGAATCGTTACAGAAGCAAATTGCTGTAGAGATGAAAGTCAAGCAAGGTGCTGAAAATATGTTAGCAACTTACAATGCAAGCGGATCAAAGAAAAAAGACAGTAAACTTATTGCTGAGGCTCAACAAATGCTTGAGGACTCAAAAACAAAGATTGAAATTATTCGAATGGCATTACTTAGAGAGCAGCAAATGTCAACAGGAAGGGAAGATGGTGTTTTAGCAGGTGGAGGGAAAGAGAATGCCGCTCCAGGCTTGGGACTTTCACCTTTAGAATTAAGAATAGAGGATGTTCGACATCATATTGAAATTGAATCTAGAGTTATACAGGGTGCAAAAAACATGATCAAGTTTTTGTCCAAGGCTGGTCAAGATAAGAAAGGTTTAGTAGAGGTAAGCATTGACTGAAGAACAGAAACATCAACATTTGTTGTCATTGTGAATAATAATTATTACAGGAAGCAAGGAAAATATTGCCCTGGTAATGATCTTGGAAAGAGGCCATTTAATTTAACTTAGCAGCACTTAGCAGCTACAATCCGGGACAAAAGTTCTTGGAACGGTAATGCAGTATTCATAACCTTCTGTAATTTCTTGGTTCCCTAAAAAAGTATTGCATACTTTTTGAAATTTTCTCGCAGTTTTCCCTCCCCTTGTCCTGTGCAAATTTGAAACTTGGAGAAAATTCTGGATACACTCATCCAACGTTGTTTGTGGGGTGACAGGAGGGGCTGGCATGTATGAATTGGAAAATGCCCCACAAATGCAAAAGTGTCCCAAGACTTTTGCCCATGATTGTAGCTTTTTTATGCCTGATGTCATTATAACAAAACTTTTACACGGGTAATTTACAAGTGCAGCCATTGTTTTAGAGTCTGAAAACAATAGCCCAATTACACTTGTAAAAGTTCTATTAAATTGACACCTGTATTGGCTTCCTCTTGGCACTTAACCTGCATTTAGATTAGAAACTGACATTCCCAGATATGATCTTGAGGGATTCCGGGATTGACATGGAGGCTCTTGCAAACGCAATACTGGACTTGAATGTGTGGAATAAGACTGTTCTGAGAATGCCAATCGGGTGGGCCGAATGATGATTATAAGGTGATAATGAATAAAATTGGCAATGTGGAGGGAGGTAGTTATTTTGCAAAATGTGGGTAACACCCATCATCTTGATGATCAATAAATGAAAAGTTGTGTAGGTTTGGCAAACACTCATCGATGTAAAAAAATTTTCAGTTTTATTGCCTTATCTAAACGATAAAAGGTTACTACCTCTGCCAGGCTAGAAAAAGAGGTTTAACTGTACTGTACATGTAGGTAGTTTGATTGTCTTCTTACAATGTTGTTAGAACTCTAGTCAATCATTCCTTGACACTGTTTTTATTAAGCGTCATTGGTCTCAGATTTTGCCTGGCTACAATGTTATGTTTTCTTTCCCTCATTGTCATCTCCATTTTTTCAGGCTGAAAGAAGATTCCATGAGTCGAGTCAAAAGCTAGATTTACTACAGTGTTCACTTACGAGACTTATGGGAGAACTATCTCCTGAGCAAGCTGCTGTAGGAATTTTCAAAGATTACATGACTACGCCACCATCTTACGCTGATCGTAAGGCAGTTGGTTTAGGAAAACAGCAGTATACAGCTATCACAAAACCAGCAGCTCTTACTGGCGAGTTATATGTGAGTACTGAGAGTTTCAGTGGATTTTGTGTTTTAAGCAAACAATGCAAGAATAAACTTACGTACAAGCATGAGCTAAGGATGTTAACACATGTATGTGTCTCATTTGTTACTTGATCAAGATGTCAACATTGCTGTGCAGACTTTTATTTGTGTAGTATCTAATGAATGTTTAGGACAAATCCACAATGTTATGACAATGTTAAAGTTATCTTCTTGCTTGAAGGCCCATGCCACTGCGGCAGTTCTAATAAAAGGTCTTAAGGATAAATTATGGCTCTATGGGCAGTACTGTGTTTTTTCTGTTTTCAGTCCACCAAGTTGTTAAATTTAGGCTAAAAACCATTTAATAACATTCACAATAATGCTATTTGGTGCACTGTACGCGATAATTTAATAGATCCTTTGATGGTTTTTTCAAGTTTTGCTAAACACCAGTCAGCAAATATCCATTGATGCTGGTGGAAAGAGCGCCTTAAAAAGGTGATACCTGTATGTTAAAAGCAAGTGAAGATATTGGTCCACGAAGTTGCAATATTATACTGTAGACATTTGTATGGTGGAGGTTACAAACTTGTCCCCACCACACAAATGTCTGTGAAATTTGTTGTATTCAGGTTCACATTCTTGGTGCTGATAGACTTCTAGCAGTGGTACCTAACCGAGATCCTAGGAAAACTATAAGTCTAGCAATGGTGAGCCCGGATGGAAAGCTTGGAGATCGTACAGGATCTAGCAAAAGAAAAAGTGGTTACAATAGGTGGAATGCAGAAGAAAATTTATCGGGTAAATATAAAATATGCTGTCTTAACATCTTAGCCAATGAATTTAATACCCATGAGAATATTATGAGGAGTAGTCATTTTATTTCAATATTGAGTCTGAAAAAAAGAGGTAAATATTGGGAAAAGGATAGAAATGTTGGATTGTACACACTCACCCAAATGTGTTGGAACCTGAGTTTAATTTGCCTTTTCTAGTTAAGGTGGGCGCTGGTGCCTACAAGGTTGGTGGAGCCACGCAGTGCTCTTGCACAAGGAAGGAGGTATCCATGGCAACCCTGTGAGCGACCCTCACCAGGCACTATCACACTGAACTGTTCCAACCAATTCTTACCTATCCCTAAAAGAAAGAGGGAGGGAAGGTTGAGAAAAAAAAAGCACAAAAATGGCAAGCAAGCAAGAAAGCTATAGCAAAGACACTTTGCGAAGAACTGCAAGGAATTAACTGTGTATACAAGTCATAAGATGCCCCTGCTAGAGGCATCAGGCCAACCCCAGCATAGTTCTCAAAACTGCTGACCACTATTGGTACAAAGTTAATTTTGCCTAAATTACATTTAGTCACATTTTAACTTATTACCAATAGATGATCTTGGGTGCTGGTGCCTACAAGGTTGGTAGAGCCAGGGAATGCTCTAGCATGAGGGAGGTATCTCTGGCAACCCTTCAAGTGCCCCCCCCCCTCCCCATCCAAACATTTACCTCCATTGGTGGAGGGGCCAGCAAACAGAAGGAAATGGGACCTCTAACTCCAACACTTATAATAAACATTTTTGTTGTTGTTTGTTTGACACATTATGTTTCATCCAAAGCATGAAAAGGGTTTTTTATTCCAACTTATTTTTCATTAAATAAAGCTTACATTCTTCCTTTTGTTGTGGATTTTAAGTTGAAGTGTGTGCCGTTCTTAAGTTGGACAACTGCTATGTTGGACAAAGTATGTGGAAACCTTTAGGAACAGAATGTTGGTCTCAACAGTTTCATATTGACTTGGACAAGGTATTACAAGTTTAGATTAATGGGTGTGAGTTTTTATTCTAAATGGCACTGAGGTGTTTAAATAATTACATTTTTCAATTTGTCAATGTGGCACTCGCTTGCAAAATTTTCATTTGTGAGGATTGGTAGCTAGTACTTAGTATTTCTTTCTTTTTCTTTAATTTGTTCAAAAAAATGACAACAATGGCACAGTATGGTCCACAGAATAGAACAAAAGTTAGTTCTTAAAGTCTATATGTGACCCTATTTGGGAAAAGCGGGCTTAACGAAAATTGCGTTGAGCCGTTTTTTATCGCAACGCATTTGGAAACGTTGGAATGCATTGGCGAACATTCTTAATGCATTTGAAAGCGTTGGAAATGTTCTCCAACAGAACTAAGAAACGTTCAGTATCGTTTCAAAATCATTTCAAAACATTTGGAAAACGTTTTCGAACGTTGAAAATGCGTTAAATGGAACATCATTAATTTGTTGCAACGGGAAACATTCACCAAACATTCTAACATTGTCAACGACTGAGTTACAAAAGCTCCGAACTGTCAGGCATCTCCTCGCTCCATCATTCGACAATTTAAAGCCACGGTCATAAATGAAGTGATAAAACGTTTAAAACTTCACAGCGTGAGAAATGTTCGATCCGAGGAATCAATAATTTGTTCCATTTTCAGTTTTTAAGTCTGTGTTATTAAAGAGGGCAAAAAAGAGGGGAATTAAATTTGAAAGCACGCGTTGTCGAAAGTGTTATAGGTCTGAATTTATTTTATGCTGTTCTTTCAGTGTTACGGCGGTGTGTGTGTTTCCCGTTTTTTTGCTCGGGGATTCAACAAATTCAACCAGTTCAGTCACGGAACGCCCTGGCAAACGCTAGACATTGTATCCTTTAAAAGCGAAAACCTGAAAACGTGACATTCTTCACAAAAAATTCATGGTTTTTATCTGTACCAGTCAGCTGCTATGAAGATGTCAAAATTTATGATCACGAATATTTTCTGATCAAAGCTTGTTGCGTGACACTATCGTCATCGCGGCTCATCAAGGGTTCGGAAAGGTCAACGCGGTAATGTTTTCCGTATTACTGTTTGATTTTTATGGTGTTTTTTTTTTCACTGATTCTTCAATGGACTGCATGGCTCGCATGACTCGCTGGCTCTCATTTTATACACGTAAAGCACACTTTTTGGCAGATTTCTTTGCCATCATCGCTCGATTAACGTTGTCAAGCAAGCGCGCAATGTGGTCGTCGCTTTTAATCTCTAAAATCTTCTGCTTGCGATCGTCGCGACTTCAATTTCGTCGGAATTACTGAAGTACTATTTTTCTCACCTTTGGTCTCGCTCTCTCCCAATTTTTTCGTCTTGTATCTTTTCTCCGAGGGATTTTGGAGGCGAAACGGATTAATTTTGAAAGGGATGTGAGAATTCACCGGCTGCAAGCAGTCTAGCACGCCGCTGACGAAGGTAGAAAAGGGCAAATAATTGGCAACCCCAAAATTCTGTCAGCCAGCTACGTACAAAAAGAAATGCACGACCTCAACAGTCAGCCTTACAGTTTTAAGAAACTTCTCAAAAACTTCTCTCCTTTATTTCCAGATTTGAAAGTCCAAGAAAGTAATTTCATGCTTTTCTCAATTACCTCTTGCCATGTTACAACCTGAAACAACATCAAACACACGCAATGTCACAAAGATCGAAGTTCTATGCAAATTGATTTGAACCGATCGAGAACAAAAAGTAAAAGCCTTTGTTTTCCATTGCGAATTCATGTCGTTATTCCCATTGATATTACTGTTATATGGAGGTATCATTACTGTTCCTGAAAAAAAGTTGTATTTTCAAAGAACGTTCTCAAGCGTATCGATGTCTAATCATCAGTGGCTTCAATTAATGATAATTTTTCGCATCCTGGGTTGAACTTCAGGGACTAATTTTATCGATAAAAAAAAAACGTTTGGAAGCATTGCCAATGCATTGAACAACGTTGAAAAAACATTCTAAAACGTTGGAAAAACATTTTAAAACGTTGAAAACAATTGCCTGCGTTTGAAGGAAAACGTTGTAAATGCGTTGAGAATCATTGGAATCCGTTTCAATGCATTGTAATGCATTCAAAATGCGTTGAAATGCTTTTCAACGCAAATTTCATTAAGCCCGGTTTTCCCAAATAGGGTCACATATCCATTCTAGATCCAAATGAAATAGTTGCAATCACAACAGTAAAAAGCATCGTTGTCGCTAGCAACAATGGGTGTGCTGCTCCTACGATGTAAATAATTGAATAATTAAGGCTATAAAATAAAGTTCGTCCTTAATCAATTTAGGTCATCATTATCAGTTATCATCATCCTCAGTTCTTGAAATGCCAAGCAGCACATAGGGTATCAACAAATTTCCTCCATTCCTGTCAGTCCTCTGTAAGCTTATGATGCTTACTCTTGGTCAAGATGTTCACATTTAGATTCCTGAGGTCTGCCCTACGATCCAGGCAGATTTGGGATAGCCTCCCTCCACATTCCATTTGAGATCAACCTTACTTTGAAGCATGTGAACCATAGAGTTCTATCTTCTTCCATTATATCCTGTTAAAAAGTTCAGTGATTGAAATCCAAGTAAATCGATGCAGGTATTTTAGAGACTTTTTTGTGAAAAGGCTAACATTTGCCCTTAAAAATGTTTTTTTTGGCCTCCTTTCCATTACCCCTTAGTAAGATTAGGCCCTAATTTTTTTACGTAGGGAAGAGAAAAAAGACCGACATGCACAAGGTTAACTACTTTAGAAATGAATGAATAAATGAATGTCTCTTTTTCTTTTTTAACATTTTAAAGCTTAACCTACATGTACAGCTAAGTTTCTTTCTTATCTTATTTTGCAGTCAAGAGAACTGGAAGTCGGAGTATATTGGCGAGATCACAGATCTCTCTGTGGAGTAGCATTCCTTAGATTAGAAGAGTTTCTGGATAACCAGCGACATCAAATTCAAGTCCCTCTTGAGCCACAAGGCTGCCTGTTTGCTGAGGTTTGACTGCTTTATATTTCTATTCTTAAATGTAATGATTATTTTTTCCTGTTTTTGTGCATTTAATCCTTCATAATGAGCTGATTACCACTTCGTCAAAAAAAATTCCATTTCATTATTTTGCCAGATCTAGAGAGTTGATAATTCCTATAGAGAAAAGAAATACCCAATCAAACTACAGTTTTGCAGCAGGGCTAACTTTTGAATTTATGAAGAAAATCCTATGGTGTTACCATAAGAACGAAACGTTCTTAGTTCAGGTTTTGCATTGTACCTCTTAGGATTTCAGACAGAGAATTTCAGTTTGGCCACTGTTAGGAATGAAAGGTTTAATTTATTTCTTTTAGAAGAATGCACAAAATAAATTTTACTTTGGCAAAGATCTCAAAAATAATATCTATGTAGTAGTCTCTGGGTGCTTTCCATTCACCGCTAATTCCGGTTTTAAATTTTGGAAATTTCACATGCCCAGTGGAATGGTACATTCCAGTTGCACAGACCTGACCCATGACCCAAACTACCACGTATTTAGTTTTTGTTCTGTAAGCAGGCTACTAAAGAGCGTTACTCAGAGCACCCTCTATCAGCCAGTTCTGTAATATCAAACACTAAAAATTAGACTTTTAATGTATGTGTCAATTTAAATTCATTATTTGTACACTGATTTACTGTTGCTTTACATTTTACATGTAGTTTTACATGTATTATTATTCACTCATGTGTTTTACTGACCTTTTAAGGTGTTATTGTAATACTTTAAGTGGCAGTATGTTTTGTGCTTCTGTACGAAACCACCATTTCTCATGCATACTTTTTGGAGTAATAAATACTTCACTAGACAAAAAGATAACATTGCGAGAATCTAGTTAGCATTATTCTCTGCCCTTTGGACACTTTTTGTCAGATTAATGTGTGTTTGTATCTACGTAGCCCATTTTTTATAGCAACAAAATTTGAATTTAGTATTCTGTTTTTGTTACCAACTGTCAAGGTTAAGGATTTAAAGATGCACATTCCATATTATTGTTATCGTTTTATGAAACTAAATCAGTGATTACATTGAGTCTGACAACCAACATTTATTTCAATAATTCATTTCTAAAATCTACAGAGGATAGATGTGAGCTAAAAGAAACATGAACATTATGTTTGTCTGACCAAGGGAGTGTGATCTTCTTATATATTTAATCCTTCTAATTTTGTTTTTCTAGTTGATTTTTAAGCTTATTTAATTTTTCCAAGCTTTAACATAAACAAATGGAAGAAATTGAACTGTTATTTTTTCTAACCATTGCTGAAACCAATCCCTGCCCTGTTATTGTGCACAAAATCTCAAGTTTTATAAAGGCCAAAATTTGTATTTTTCGTTTTCTTTGGTATTAAAAGTCGTGATGCCAGTGTGCTGTATAGGCAGATATTTTCTATCTGTTTTTAAAAGTGTATATTAAATGCCCTGAGTTTCTCTCTAATACTTAACCCAGCAAAAATTACTCGTAGATCTTATACATTAGAAATATATTTTTCCCTTCTTAAAGGGTTTATGAGGGTGTTCAACTGGTATACAGTAGTCATGCTTTGCTGTTTCCAGTATTAATGTACATTATATTCATTTCCTTCTTCAATAATTCATTAACCCTAAGGAAATTCAATACCTCTTTCCATTTTACATCGTTGTTTGATTACTTATACTCTGTGTAAGGTCTAAAAAAGTTAATAAAACTTGTAGTACAACAGTCCATTTTTAATCCTGTTTTCATGTTCATATAACCATGAATTATCACTCAGTAATTTTTAAAACTTGTAAAATAAGTTTTGTAACATTTTATGTAAGAGGATGTTGCCTTGTTTTGAAATGCTTCATTGGTTTAAGGTTTTTGTTAACTGGTCCATGAACAACATTTGGCAATGTCTGTATCAAGTCTTCCTGAAATGTCATTTTCACAGCGTATTTATTTTTCTGATTAATGGGCATAAATTCTTGATGAAAAATATATTTTGCATTAAAATATTTGAATGTAAGTTTTGTTTAGAAAAATATTTCCAGACAAGTATTATCCATATTGTAGTAATTATTATTTTCATCTTCTGACAGATCTGTTTGAGCAAATGTGCATACATTTTATGCTCTGTGATTTCATCTGACTGGGTTAAATGAAATGTGAAGAAAAATAAGAAGCAGTATGTTTAGAAATGGGAACTTTATTGTGAACTTAATTAATCTTGGGCTTTTGACTTGAAACCCTACACTCATACACTGTACATGTGAAAACCAAATTTCATGTTTTTTACAAAATCAAATTCATAATCTTTCAATTTACTTTTGACACCCTGAATATTTAACTGTTATCACTCTAAGACCACAGAGATAAAGTATGGGCTTTCTTGCTAAGAAGCGTGTTGTTTATACTGTTAGTGATTTGTGTTTCACAAGAGATTTACATACTTTGCAGACATGACAGGTGCTTCTTTTATAATATTTATTTTTTTGTTTGCTTCTGGGACCAATGAAGTCTTACTATGAGGCAGGTCTTGGCAGGTGAAGAACTGTTATTGGCTGGTAACATGATGAAAAATACTCAGAAGCAATTAAGAAGGTACCAAGTGAATCCACTGTGAATCCCATGGCTTCATTGGCTTGTGAATGTGGCAAAACCCATTTAAATTGTCTCCCCTGCTTCCATGGCTACTGTGATGGTCTTTGTGATGTTTATTCATGATCTTTTCTGTGCTTACAGTCTTATTACTGAGTCTGAGGGATCTGTTTGTGTCAGGTTATGTCCTGATCTTTGATCAGCTAAGCCATGCAGGTGAATTCAACACAGATATAGCTCCTTTTTGTGTTGTCAAGCAGACAAAGATGGATTAATGCCAGTGATTGGGATGAACTGTAATGTTTTGGCCTCTGGCACATCAAGGGAGAGCCTGTACTGAAAAGCTTCCTGTTGAATTGTCTGTTGATAAATGTACTATTTCCCATAAAATGCATTATTCACTAATTTGAAAGGTGAGAAAGAGACCCAACCAAAAGCCATGTATGGAAGAAAATAATTAAGACTGATTGAAATTCAGATTATGTGTGCCATGAATGTTAGTGAGGATAGAGGAGCAGTGACCATCAAGCAAAATGGCTTCCAATATCAGACAAGGCTTGGAATCACCAGCAAGAATATTGAGAAAATTTATGAGCAGTGGAGCAAGGAATTGTCTAAACAGGAGTATGGAAGTGTGAAATTGGGGGAGTGTGAGAAATCTACGGATGAAATAGAATGCAAATCCTCAAGAAAGGGAAACATCTGTGTGAATACTAATGAGGATGATATTATGAGCAGAAAAAGCTATCGGCCGGCTGAATATGCGGCTAAATATTCTGAAGAAAACAAAAAGCTGCCACCCTTTCGTGCTGGAAAATATATTCCCAAAGATAATGTGTATTCTTGTAGCTCATGCCTTCAGAATGAGAAAACTACTGCTTCGTCTTCAAAACCAAAGGAAAGCTCAAACAAAATGGTGTCTTGTTTGGGTTCACCACCACCATTTAGAACAGGGAAATACACACCAAATGATAGTGGAATCTATGTGAAGAGCTCTGATAAATTTCCCTCACAATCTGCCTCTCCAACACAGGGGTCCCCGAAACACAAAGGAAGAAAACAGTCTGTTGAGAGAATAATAAACACACTCGATGAAATGTGTCTTAATGGTAGACGATCTCCAAGTTCACCGAAGAGAAGATCTCACGGAGTTTCTTCTACTGATGGAAGTAAAGCCTCATCGCTTGAACAAATTGGTTGTTGCAGCTCTGCAAGGAAGAGCTCAATGCTTCCAGGACTGAGAAATCAGATGAGTCATAGTGCAGATGCAGTAAACAAAAATTTAAAGACTCGCCCAAAAAGTGCAGCCATGGAAAATTATGCTAAATCTCGATCAAGAACAAAAAGTGAAAATATGCTAACCATAACAACCACTCCACGGCCCAAAAGCTCAGTATTAGAAAATAGCGCTACAAACTTTAGAACAATCGTAAAAGACATAGATATAGGATCTCCTGAAAAATTTAAAGTAAGAAAAACTGTTCAGAATAGACCCCGAAGTGCTGTCTTAGAAAATGGACTTTCAAGCCGTTTGCCAATGAAAATTGTTACAAATCCTAAAAATCAATTATCTGTGGGAAAAACTTTAGATAGGACACCAAGTCGTGAGTCTAACAGATTTCTGAGGAAAGGGTCAGATTCTTCTGAACGAGGGCACCAGCGATCAAAGACGACTACCTCAATTAGCAGCAGCTGTAGTGAGCGAAGTTACAAAGCTATGAAAACTAAAAAGCCAAGACGAGAATTACAAAGAAATGCTGCTTATGTTAAACCAAGGATAAACAGGAACTATAAACATGGGGATAGAAAAAAAGGATCAAGCCGGAAAAAAGCTCCCTTGGGCCCTAGACAAGAAAAAATTTCAACAGACAAAGTAGATAGCTGCATTCCTGAAAAACCATCTGCTGCTGAAAAGCCTGTTGTTTTCTCTTTATTCATGGACAAATTTTGTGTTCGCACCCAAGACTGGAATGGGCAATTTAGAATCCCTGCACTCAAGAGATATCGGGTGATGGCTTGGAAGATAAAGAGAATTTCTTACCTCCTTTATGAAAAGGTGTCTATTGTTTTTTATTCCATTTTCCTTGCATTACTCATGCCAGGTTTAATTTGTTCAAAATATTGGGCCATAACAGGCAGAATCAGATCTTTTTGGCATCCTGTAATTTTATAGAATTAAATTTAGTTGTTAGAGCAATTCATTTCCCCCAGGGAACCTTCATCTGTTAAACTTAGTCAGTTGCTGCTTTATTGGTTTGTTCATGACAGCTCTAAACATTGATTCCTGATGGAGAATTTTTTTTATCTGTGTTATGTGACGCATTCTGAGTTATATTATTTTATTCATTACTTAGTTTTACTTCCAATTTATTTTTGAATATCCCCTTTTCTCAGCATGGGAAATTATTGTTATTTTATAGAAATATGGCCACATGCTTCACTCAATCAAAGCTAATTCAGCATGCTCAGCTTTTGAATTCATAGGAAAGGCAAAGAAGCATAATAATAATATTTTGTAGTTCTCATATGTCAAGTGCAGTCATGATCAAAATGAATAATTTTGTAATAATTTCTTGTCAGTGTTGCTGTAGAAGAAACTTTTTTATCTTATTATTTTTTGAATTTGAATTTTTACTTGAAGCTGTTTTTTTTATAGCTCGAATTAATGCTGCAGTAAATTAGAAATGCAACAAAATCTATTTGTCTACAGTACATTGCCACTAAATCATTTCTTTTGTTGAAAATTGAATGCTTTCAAGTGTATGCCATTATTTTGTTCCATTTTTATCAATTGATTGTAAGCTACTTTTTGCGTTTTTAAATATAAGTTGAAAATTTGGCCAGTGCCAGTTTTTTGTTTTTTTCTTTTTTTGGCTAAAACCATTGATTTTAAAGGTGTGCATGTATTCTCACAAAAACAAACGTAAATGTCAACATTTAGCCAAGCAGCTGTTGTTGGAAGTTTTTTTCATTTCATTTCAGTTCATTTGCTGAAGCATTTTAATTAACCCTTGTCAGCACAGACAGTCTGTTTCTGAATGTTTCTTTTTTTTATTAAACAAAAGATCTAATGTTTCTGTATGAGAAGGTTTTATATTTTCATAATCCCAAATGCTGCCAGTAGACTGCAGACTGTTATAATCACACACACCTATTTCAGTACTATTTACTTCCAGCCATGGCAAGAAATCATTATTATTTTTCTCTAGTTCACTTTAGAGATGGACTGTGTAAAGTGATATTTTCTCAGGTGAAACGTGTTGGTTTTTGTGCTACTTTCACAGTGAAATTTCCTCAACTCTTTGCACTGAACATAATCATCAGTTGAGAAGGAAATTTCTACTTATCATGATTTCACTGTGTTGTTATATTTCCACAGTTTTTGTCTTTGTGGTGGTGAAGAATATAGCATGTTTTCAGACAACCACCTGTTGAATCATAGTTATAAATATTTTATATTTTGAAAGGAAAAACTAAAGGCTTGTTGTATGGAGCTTATCCATATCCTGCGTTTTTGTCAAGAATGCTTCTAAGCTGTACTATGTTTGTGTTTCCTTTCAAATGTGTTAATCAGGTGACATTTCTAAATCCCATGGTGACAAAGAAACCAAGGCTACAGCGACAAAAGAAGCTATTTCACATTCAAAAAGGTGAGAGATTTAGTTTCTAAACTGACAATAGCAATCCTAGCACTGGTGTTGTTAATGTTGTTTTAGTGATATCTATGGTCAATCAGAATGTAGTGATGAATTTTCAACTCTCTCCCATCTTCTTGCTATAGTAAATTTCAATCAAGATGTTAAATAAATACGTGTAGCTTCCTGATCTAAGTTCACTAGACCCTATATATGGTGATAAAAATGTTATGATTTGCATTATATGTAAATTATCTTGGTGTTATGGTATTTTGCTGGAGTAATAGAAGATTTCCTTATTGAAATTGTCTTAAGAAATCAAGGTGAATCTATCAAGTGAGGGAACAGCAGATTATAATATTTACAAAATAGTGTTATTGTGTTATTCACAGTGGATCATAGATTCAAGTGTACTGTTCAGGGTGCAAAGAAAGTCATTTTCACAGCTTGCCATTCGGGCAAGCTGAAGCTAGCATTTACTAGCCCAAACATCATTTCAACTAGCCCCCAAAATTTTTTGATGAGCAGAATTGATTTCACGGTTCCTCTGTAAGTTAAATTCCTTAAAATACTTCACTTGCCCATCGGGCAAGTTAAGAACAGAATTCACTATCATGGTAGCACAATCCACTAGCCCTGGGCTATCGGACACTACTTTCCTTGCACGCTGCTGTTTCATGCTATGAACATGTCCCTTATCTCAAGCTACAGGGTTATTTTGAATAATTTATTTTATTGGCTACTGATGCAAGCATGAAAGGAAACTGTAGAATTTGAAAGCGGTTGTCTAATTAACACACGTATGCCACCTTAAAACGATATATTTACTAACCTTTTTTATTCCACTTGATCATCTTGGGAACAAATTGGAAAGGGGAGAGTAAAAAAATTAAATTTCTGTTCTCATTCAAAAGAAACTTCCTCTAATTTTCAAACAATAAGGTTTACACTTGACCTCTTCTTAGCCCTTTAATTCCAAAAGTTATCAACATCACTTTTCTCCCTACATTAATAATACATAATCAAAAGAAACGTTTATGAGAATTTATCAGGTGATCACCTACAAGAAAATGCCTTGATCTTTAGTTAAATTCTTCCAACTAATTCTTGAAAAAAAATATGATATCATTTTACGCAATTTGTATGAGGATATTCGCCACTTTGTGTGAGGATATTCGCCAATTTGTATGAGGATTTTCGCCACTTTGTGTGAGGATATTCGCCACTTTGTATGAAGATATTCACCACTTTGTATGAGGATATTCGCCTCTTTGTATGAAGATATTCGCCAATTTGTATGAAGATATTCGCCACTTTGTATGAGGATATTCGCCACCTTAAAGACAAGAAGGAAACTGGGCCAAGTAAGCTTTCGCAAGCTAAAGACGTCTGGGATCATTACTGGGAAAGTGCTTTTCAGCTATTTGCCCATTTGTTTTCCCTGTCTCCAATATCAAAAACAGTCTCAGAAGTCTTTTGTTAAGTTAACTCAGCCCATGAGAAATGATGTAATGAACATGCCAGGAGCATGGGACAAAGACAAAATCTGAGTAGAATTGAGCCTATGACCTTCCGTACTCTAGTCAGGTGTTCTAACCACTTAGCTGCAAAGGACTCGTGGCAAGCTGGGCCATATAAAAATAATTTAAAAATTTATGATCTTTATTTATTTATTTATTTATTTATTTAACTCCGCCCAGTTACCTTTTTGCTTCCAAAATGGTGATTGGAGGCTTAAAGGGTTAAATGTGAGCGGTTTTGAAATTTTGAAATGGCCTATAGCGACTTTGTTTTGTCTTCTGTTCATGTAGCTCACTGTTTAATTTTTCTGGCATTGACCACTTTCGCTTTGCCCATAATAGAACTTGTTTACCCTGAAATTTTGCATAAGCATTGCTTCCAATTTCTCCTGGATCTGACAGTCATCCCAAGGGAAAGCGAAAACAATGCTCATGCAAAATTTTTGGGGGTAATTCAAGAATGATTGATTTTCAGGAAAAAATTTTCTTCGTGCTGGACAAATGAACACAAATGTTGCCACTTGGGCCAGATTACTAAAGAGAGCAGCTCCACCAAACTGTGCAACAGAAAACACAACTCTAAGTCCTAATTCTACACCTCAATATCCAAGGCAAGTTTACCTTCTACATGTAGTAATGCAGGTCTGTTGTAAAAATGATCATGATGCAGGGTTGTCACTGAGATTTCAAGTTGCTGGGTATATTCAGTTAGTAGGCAGGAAATTGAACAGCTTTGAAGTTCTAGTATCTTTTATTTCCCTTTTGTTTCCTCGCAACGTAGTTGGGGGTTGTCTTCACAGAAGCTGGGGAAATCTCTGGCCCCTGGCTCTTAGTGACAGCGCTGTGATGATAATTTCAGTTCTTTTGACATGACATCGTATTTAAAAGCTTTTAGCCAGGAATTGCCAAGTGGCCGTCCACAAATTGATATGGCCCCATTCCACTAGGTATGGGGGGATTCTGAAGGCATCCCCCCCAGAAAATATTAGCCTTCTTAGGTGCATTTTCAGCAATTTTCAGCCGATAAACTTGGACAATTCAGAGTTAAATGTTAAATGTATCTTTTCTTGGCAAAAACCTAAAAATGGACTGAATTTGTACCTGCTGGCCATACTAAATGCATCAGTTGTGTTAAACCACTTCCAAGCTTGACGTTTATAATTTTGTTTGTCTGGCGTTGATCTTTGGCAGCCATCTTGGGGGAAGTTGAAAACTGGAAACAGTGTGTAGGGATTGGACTGTGGGAGGGTGGCTGGGAATTATTATTTTTTGTAACGACAAAAGCGGACTAATATAGGACGGAAAATGAAAATGTGTTATTGCGTTCCTTTTAATGTTAAAGTTGTACCTGTTCTAGCTGTGCAGACACATTTCCAGCCATTAGGAAAAGTATGATTCTGAACATTATGTCGTTTACACAAGTTACTACTTCATGTAGCCATCAACAAGCACTCCCCAGTAGGAAAGCTTCTTCCTGGCTACATGAGGTTCCTTTCCATGAAATCAGTCCTGTAATGTGCACCATGCTCTGCATTCATATAAATGGGAAAAAATAGCCCAATATTGGCGTATGAAGGAACCTCAGGAAAGTAAAGTAGAAATAAGGTGGTGGTGAGGTTGTGTGTGAAGTTTCTCCAGTATCACAAAAGAATCAAGTGATTTTTTTTAAATATTATGAAATCACTGACTGAGAATCAACAAGATTATTGTTATATTATTTTCTCCCAAAAAATGGCCATCCACTGGAGGGCCACCTGGCTAAAAGCTTGCTGATACCCACTGGTCAAGGGCCCAGAGAAGGCATCTTCTAACTTTTTCAGGAACTAAGAACATGGTGAAACAGCATGCAAGCAAATTTGAGACCTGCTTGTCCTGAGGACATAAGGTCCTTATTTACTGGATTTCAACTTTTATTCAAGAATAAGATCAGGTCTAGAAGTTTAGCTGCATTCACGCACACACTCACACATCTACAGAACAAGCAAAAACAAACACTTGTTACAGAAAGAAAAAAGAAAACATGACATAAAAGACACGTTTCTCCTCGCTCATCGCCGCTGAGGGAAGTTTCGCCAGGAGGAACGTGTGCGACTCAGCGACAGAAATTCCATACTGATGACGAAAAATCTGTCCGAAATCCGGTCAGAAGCGCTAATTGGTTGACAGAGTAGTTTCATTGTTTTAGCTATTGTTTACGAATGAGAGATAAAAGACAAAAGGCTGCAAAGGTCAAATGTAAACGTGATGAATCTCTAACAAAACAGCCAATATTTGTGGAATATCATCTTCTCTAGCTAGAAGGATTTGAGTTTTGCTGGAGCTCACTCGTAGATTAACACAACGCTTTTACCAAAATCGACTAGGAGAAACGTAAAATTGAACAAATTTGCATTTGGAGCCCCATGACTACCAGATTTATTATGTAAACATTGATTTACGTCATCAGTGTGGAATTTCTGTCGCTGAGTCGCAGACGTTCCTCCTCGCGAAACGTCCCTCAGCGGCGATGAGAGAGGAGAAATGTCTGCCGTTCGCAGGCTAGTTCTATCCATAACTAGCAAATATTGTATGTGAAGGGAACACTAAATAGAAAGAGAAAGAAACTCTGTGTAACATTGATTTTCTGATGTGTTTTTTAGCACTCAACCAAGAACACAAACACCTCCTAGACAACCTGATTTTAATAGTACTACCCCTAGTAAAAACCAGAAGACTACAAATAACAGTGGTGTGCCAGCTGGTACGAGTTCGAAGAAAACCGTCAATGAAAATGAAGTCCAGGTAATTCTCCTCTTTTAAGTAGGTGGAATATGATCGTTTTGGCAAGTGTAGTCCTGAATATGACTGTTGTTGATAGTGACTGACGTTTTGACTACCTGTGCAGTAGTCATATTCAGACACTAAAGATCTCATTGGTTGTCAAAATGTCAGCCACTGTCAACAACAGTCCTATTCAAGACTACACTTACCCAGATGATCATATTCCTCCTTACTGGGTTCCACATAATTGGCTGCATCATCTCAATCACCTTGAGCATCCAAAAAGTGTTTTGGCTTTTTTTTGTTTTTGTTTTTGTTTTTGCAATTGTTACGGGCAAGAGGATTCATTTGTTTAACACACTGGTAGAAACCTATAATGTAGATCAATATTATGAGAAAAATTTTATTCTTGAATTCCAGTAACTTTGAAAACTAATAAAAACTTTCAACCTCAACTGAAACCTTGTTCACTTCTGCACTGGCAGGTGTCTTGTGCGCCGCATAACGTGAGAAGATTAGTTCTCAATATTATCTGAATTTTAAGTTTAAAAATTTGCTCATAGTTTAAATTTACTGGACAGATGAATGTACACAAGTCTAGATCAATATTGCCTCTGTTGTTCAGATCATCCTTCAATGCACCTGAGGTGTTTCCATGTGATCCTGGGTCAGCTCGATTGCTGGAGCACATTCTGAGACAACATGGACAATCAAGGCAATCTGGACAGTTTATTATTAAACCAAGGCTTTTGCTTAAGTCAGGTCTTTTATCAGTGGCTGCAAACTGTAAATTTTCCTTTCTTTCCTCGCCTTTTTGGTAGTAAAATGATAAAAGGCAAATCCCAGTTCCTCTCCTGCTTTCTTAAAAATGAAGTGACAGCTGTGTTTGTGACAGTTTAGATCAGTGTTGGTTAACTGAATTTTGTGATTAATTTTTCTAGGATGCTCTTTCAGCATTTGGTTTCCTTGATAGTCCACAAAGACAAGAACTTCAGCCTTCTCCACCAAGACCAACACCTCCTGTTAGAAGAAAGTAAGCTTGAATTACAGAATGATGACAGTCATTTCTTTGTTTTTTTAGGATAGTATTTGTTAGCTCATATTTGGATTCATATTGTTTTAGACCTCCATCTCCTCCTACGAGTTCAACAAGCCACATGAACATTGACAGCTTTCGTTGCATCAGTGTATTAGGCAGAGGGCATTTTGGGAAGGTAAAATTTGCAAACTGTCGTATATTGATAAATAATAATGATCATCAATTTTTTTGATTTGCTGTATATTATTGTTTTCTGAAATTTATATTATTGAGCAGCTTAAACCCGATAAAATAATATCAAATTGCCACTTGAAGATCAAATTCAATGAAAAAGCAGCATTTCTATTTTTTTTTCTAACTTCAAAGCTAATTACTTGGACATACTGTAACTGGATTATTTTTGGGTGATGAAGGGGTGTTTAATCTCATACCCAAATTTCTTGACAGCAAGAGATCTGAGTAAGAAAATGGACATGTTTTTTTGTTGTTGTTCTAGGTGATTTTAGCTGAATACAGAAACACTAACGAGCTGTTTGCCATCAAGGCATTGAAAAAGGGTGATATTATTTCAAGAGAAGAAGTTGAAAGGTAGATTATGATATCCTTATCCTTAACCCAGTATTTATCCTAGATCCCTGCCCAGTCTGCTGTGATAACTCGTGAGCTGTTTGCTATCGATATGGTTTATGATAGTCAGTTTAGTTAATCAGTGGTAAGAGTTTTTGCTAGTTTTGATTTTTCGTTATTTCTATTTTCACAGTCTTTTGTCTGAGAAAAGAATATTTTTAACAGCAAACAAGATGAGACATCCATTCCTTGTTAACTTATTTGCTTGCTTCCAAACACGGGTAAGATTTTGCAGACTGGTGTCTTGTTTAAACTAATGAGCTACTTTCTTTTCAAAGGATTTCAGTTTTTGCTATCTCTGAAAAGCCCTGGAATGTTATGACAGACTTGTCCATGAATCCTTGAAAATAAATGAATTTTGCCATAAAAATAGGATGTGATAGAGTGGAGATCACCATAATCCCATTTTTTCTTGTAGCTAGCCCTCATGTGGTGCAATTAAAGAGGCTATGTCACGAGGATATTGTATTGCTGTATTAGGTCAATACTGTGCTGAATTCATTACTTAGTAAAGCCTTTACCCAACAAAAAAATGCCCTTGTAGAGTTATAAAGAAGATACCAAACAAATTTCATCAAAGAGCACTAACCAAAATATTTTTTTAGTGATTTTGCAGGCAGAGCATTAAAACTTGAAAAAGATGGCCCAACGTTTTCAAGTTTTAATCCATGTTTTTCCTTTCTATCTGTAGCAATAAATGGCAGGAAACAGTGTCAATGCTTGAATGTAGTCTTAAAAAACGAAAGTGGGCCCAACAGCGTTCCCAGGGCTCTCTCCTACCCATCCCTGCAGAGCGAGAAAGAGAGAACCTGGGAACGAGGTTGAACTGGATCATTATTTTTGGAATTTAATTGATGAAAAGCCATGTTTTAGCTTTTTAAAAAAATAGCAAATAGCATGACATGGCGTGACATAGCCCCTTTAATGTAATATAAAAAAGCACATGTGGCACCAAGGCTTAGGGTTGCAGAAAAAATACCTCATTGTTATTTGCCTCTCATTGAATAGAAAAAGAATAACCAAATAGCACATTGGTTACATGCTGTACATATTCTTTGAAGCACTGAATTAATTTTCTGCAATCTCTCAGAGTCATTGCACTGGAAAGGGTCAATGTGTAACTTGGTATGATTTCTTGGTGTTGCTGTAGGAACATGTTTGTTTCGTAATGGAGTATGCTCCTGGTGGTGATCTTATGATGCACATACATGCAGATGTCTTCTCAGAACCTAGGACTGTGTAAGTTAACATTCATATGAGTAGCCCATGTTTTTAGTCGCTTGAAAATCTCTTACCCACCCACTAGTTGTTTCATTCAACACTTTTCAGCTCACTTGTTTTCTCTCTCTCCCCTTTTTTTCCCACAAAAGCACTGTGAGCACAGACAAATGAACCAAATTTTTAGCTGAATTTGCTTGTAGATTTTGAATTTGTGTACTTTAACATAAGTTGGCATTGTAGCAAAACTACCAGACACCTTGCCTTGGTATTAATTTTTGATAAAATTAATAATTACAGTAAAAAATCTGAACAAACATCGCCAGTTTACACTTCAATTTTCTTATCCTCCATTTAGATTTTACACATCATGTGTGGTGTTAGGTCTGCAGTATCTTCACGAACATGAAATCGTTTACAGGCAAGTACTTTGATATATTATATATTTGAAGTGTGTATATCAACACATTTTCCTTTGCAAATCATCATTTTTTATGCAGTTACATCCCTCTATTCCCTCAGTGCCATTTGAGACCCCCTACCCCCCGGTTGCTGCCAGCTTAGCCATATATTTGAAGTCAGTCTCAGCAGTGAATTGCTATGAAAAAATTGTTTCATGTATAATATAACACTGAAACTCTGCATTATTTACTAAGAAAATTTGTTTTCAGGTAAACGAAATATAGTCTAAGACACGAATTAACAAGTAGTGCAAACAATTCAGCAAGTTTCCACGAAAAGCCAAAACATTTTGAGTTGTTTGATTTCATTTGCTCCTCGAAATATATTATTATCCAAGTGTTAACAGGATAACTCCCTGTAATTTCAAAAGTTAAATTCCTTGGTTTGGTCTTTTTTTCAGGGATTTAAAGCTTGACAATTTACTGTTGGATTCTGAGGGTTATGTCAAGATTGCCGACTTTGGCCTGTGTAAAGAAGGAATGGGTTATGGAGCAAGAACGGGGACCTTCTGTGGTACACCGGAGTTTTTAGCCCCAGAGGTTAGTAACTATAAGGCAGCTGTGCAAGTTTGTATTGTGTTAAAAATAGAGCACCAACAGCCCACTTGGATGTTTCGTGGAAAGCTAATGTTGTTATTTCCTATGGCCCTGGTTGATCAAAATCTGGATAGGGTTATCCACCAGACAAAATGATATTCAATGGATGAGTATTTGGGAAACCATTTCCATTATCCAGTTGTGAGAGAGTTATCCAGTTGGTAGACGTAGTGTTATCCACATTTTTAACAACAGGGCCAGATTAGTATTGTTGGTGTACCTGTGGTACCCCAGAAGCTAAACTGATGGGCGTTTTACTTATTTGGCTTAATGAGCCCTGAGAATTTTTTTTTTTTGAGGGGGATGGGGGGAGGATTTATTTGAGTGTGTCACTGTGTACAATGTCACTAAGATTTGAACAGCAGTAATTCTAGCACCTATTGTGCTGTGCTTTCAGTTTAGGTAAAATGCTCTGTTATCAATTATCCTACGCATTGTTTGATGTATTGTCTTGTTATTGCTTTGCATTGCTGCCCCCTGTATACTTGGAGCAGTTTGGGTATAATGTGGCCTTTGAAATGCTGCATAATATTTTTTTGTGTGCTAATGAATAACGCGGGTTTGTAGGTTTTAACAGAAACGTCGTATACACGTGCTGTGGACTGGTGGGGACTGGGTGTCCTTATATTTGAAATGCTTGTAGGAGAGGTGAGTGAGTAACCAACTGACTAAGTCAAAAGACACCTAATTACTTTCACCGTTAAAATAAACACCACCATAAAAGTGTTGCTGAAGAGGTTTCATTTGAATGGTAACGCGTTAGTATTTCACCCGCAGACTCAAAAGTTCGAACTGCTTACTAAATAAATAACAGCATGTAAAAGTACTGCTAAAGAGGTTTCATTTAAATGGTCACACTAGAGGATTTCATCCACAGTCTCAAATGTTAGAAGTGCAAACTAAACGAGTAGCCATAAGTAACAGACTCCCAATACAATTTTCGTTCTAACATTGTTCTTGTTTTATGTTACCTTTTTAGTCTCCATTTCCTGGAGATGATGAAGAAGAAGTCTTTGATTCCATTGTAAATGATGAAGTTCGTTATCCAAGGTTTCTTTCAACAGAAGCAATTGCTATCATGAGAAGGGTGAGAGTCTCACTCGCTGAACTTCTTCTTTTTTATTCTTCTTTACAGCTTTAGATACAGTGAAACTTCTTTAAAGGTGATGTCGCAGGGAGTGATGTGCAACGACCACTTTTAGGGCAACAGTGTTGGAACAGTGTATTAACAATCAGTTTCTGTAACAATTCGAAAAAAAATCACTTAATTTTGGTGTCAATGTATTTAGCACTAGAGCAATATTACAATGGACGACAGTATTTTTACGTCTCCTACTAAAGAAGGGACCGCCATTTTACGTGGTCATCCGAGCCATGCGAAGGTCTAGCCTTTTGCAGGGCAAAGGCAGTACTTTCCCTACTTTCTCAGTTATTTTAAGACCCTGAGTATTGGTCTAACCCCGGGAATCAAACCCGCGATCTCCTGGTCTGGAGTTAAGCGATCTATCGACTGACCTAATCCTACCGCGGTAGCAGCAATGTCCTAACAATATTGCATCAAATTAGGTTGTTGTAAGTTGCAAAAAGTTGTTGCAGAAAGTAGAGAGTAGTTCTACTTTTTGCAACTAAATCTTTACATGTTGCGCGTTTTACCGGCCCAAGGCAAACTTGTTTTGCACCATTTGACGTAAATCCAGCGTATGGCGTGACTCCCTCGTAATTTTATCCAATCAGAAGTCAGTATTCACGAAACCTGAAGCAACCTGATTTGTTGCCAGACAGGTTTGAACGTTGGTGGTAAAACGTGCAACATCTCTTTTCAGCTAGTTTTGTAGCAATGTTTCGAAACAAATTGCACCTATTTTCTGCCTGTTTTACCGTAGCTGAACAGAACTGTTTGTGGCAACGGAAATCGGCTAAAAGGGGGCTTGTCTTACTAAGAGTTGCTATGCTAGTGCATGAAGACTGTTAAAAAGAGTCAGTAACTCTTGTTTCTGATTGGTATTTTGTTTTGACTTTCCTACAGTTACTAAGACGGAACCCAGAAAGACGGTTAGGAGCCAGCGAAAAAGATGCAGAGGATGTTAGAAAACAGCCTTTCTTTAGGGTAAGTAAATCCACAATTTAGCGGGATTTAACCTTGAAGAAGTGGCCACCAAATTGAGGTGGATGCAAATAAAAAAGAAGGCATGGATGGTCCAAATTGACCATGATTGAAACGGTTTACATTTGGGGGGTTTTGAATATTGTTCAGCCTGTATGATTTTCAAATATATTTTGTGTTCGTTACTTTAAATTTGAATTCCCAGGAGACATTTATTTTTCAAAAAGGTGTGATTGTTATTTAGCGGTACAGTCGAAGCTCTCTTTGCTCTACTCTCGTAAGCGACCAGCTCTATTCACGACCACATTTGTGAAACCCCGTTTGAACTGCATGTGCCTTCAACTTTGTAATGAAAAGCTGTCGTAAACGACCGCGACCACCTTTGGGATTACCCAACTGGACTATTCCATTGTTTTTATGCTCTCGTAAGCCACCAGTCCGAGTCTTCTTCATAATTTCGACGCTTCAATGAAACTGCACACTGCCCTAATGGTCTTTAAAAATTGGACGTCAAGTTAAGCTGTGTCTATATCAGTCATAAAGACACTCATTAAACATTAATTTCTTTCGTTTTTTATGAATTATTAATGAGTTTCTGCAGCTCTCGTAAGCAACGACCCTCTAATGTTTTACTATTCGGTCGCTTATGAGAGCTCATTCTCGTACGCGACCAGCTCTAGTTACGACCACCTTTTTTAATTTCCGAGATGGTCGCTTTCGAGAGTTTCGACTGTAATTTAGTAATTGACGATAAGTTTCACAATCATTAATTTTGGCAAAATTAAGCAAAGTGGCCAAAACAGTGACTCAATAGACAGTCCTTTGAACTCATCAAGTGCCATAGCCGGCTAGTAGTGAGGGACCTCAAAAGTGTCTTTTTATAATCGCTCAGGGTGTCGCTAATTTTTTTCCCTTCTTTTCTTTTTAGGACATGAATTGGGATGACCTTCTCGCGAGAAAAGTTCGACCTCCTTTCGTCCCTAGCGTGGTAAGTTTCTCTTTGCTTACGCTTTCCTGTTACCTTAGAAGCTTTTCCCGACGTTAGAATTCTCCTTAAGGAAGTACATGTACATATTTAAGAAACATTGCAATTTTTAAGCTCTGTTTTACAAGACATAGGGAAAATCCTATATCGATCTTTCGACCTGACCTGCGGAGCAAGCCCTTACCCAAGGTTCAGTCATTTTACCCTCGTCCTTAACAATGCTAGGATCAGCAAAGTCAAGAGCTTACTCTATGGTAATAAATAAAGAAAGAAAGTAAATTTTAAGCTCGTTAGTGAAGTACATGTTATTTGCTTAATGGACTCTGTGACAACATCCTTGTAGACCTGCAATAAAACGTCAGATTCAGGTTTTTCTTTATCTTATAGTTAGGCTTATTTTGTAATTCGTATGATAATCTGCTTCGAGCTGTTCTCCTTAACTGGGTGGGGTTTCTTTCATCCCCTGCTGTGGTTACTCTGAATGCCCGTAACATAGGGTGTAAAGTCTATAGAAAATGATAATTAGTGTAACTTGTTGACGTTTTTTTGGCAGAAACATGCAGAGGATGTGAGTAATTTCGATGAAGAGTTTACATCGGAGGATCCAGTCCTTACCCCGCCCAAAGAAATTAGAACGCTGTCAGACGAAGAACAGGTACAGATATGCTGAATCTTACATCTGATCAACAATGTCCTTATTTTATCTGTATGGCCTTCGGGTTGCTTGTTCACAGAGGAATCTCAATGCAATTCCACTGTTTAAACGATATCTCAGTTACTTTAACGTCTCTTCTATTTCGCCATCAGTTCTGGCCTGATGCAAAAGTTTGAATTTGAAAAAGAACTCTAAACATGCGCAGGTTTAAGTCTGCTAGTTCGAAGGTTTTGAAGGTTTTGATTGGTCCCCAGTTCCCACTTCTTGCAATTGAAACTTGTCGCTGTCGCCAAGCGAGAGGAGTTTGCGACGATTAAATGAAACTGACCTCCAGCTAAGGTTGTCGTTTCCGCCTTCCTAACCGATTAAATTGATTGGACTTTGATGAAGCAAAATCAGTCTCGTTTTTCGTGAGGTGGAAATATGCGCGCCTGCCAATTACCTCATGCAACTATTCTCCCAAGAAAACTATTAATCTTGTTAATGTATCTTTGGTTGATCTAACGTCTCGCGCAATCCTCCCCAAAGTTGGTGCAGTGGGGAAGGAAGGCGCGACGAACCCCTAGGAAAGTCTGCGTGGGTGGCTATGGTTGATCCTAACCCGTTGTTACCTTTATTATTTTTCAGACACTGTTCGCGGATTTCAACTACACTGCTGACTGGTGCTGAGAAAAACCAAGAGGCAGAGAAAAATTTTATACGATTAGTGTAGCTAGAGAATGATTTTCATTTTTACAATGTCCAGGCGCTGGATCGAGCGCCTCCAATGTAAAGCGTTTTTATGAAAGAAAAAAATGCGGTGATTTTATTTTTATCATAGTGGGGTAGTAATTTTTCCCCTCCCCATTTATCTCCCACTTTCAAAGAAGATATGCATAAAGTAAAGACTAGTTTGGGATGTAAATACTATAAAATATTATGTTGTCTACGCCTTCTCTTTGAAGGGTGGTGCTTAAGTATGTAATATTCTTTGATATTAAGTACTCGTCCATTGTCTGCCCCACGCTGGGCCTCACAAGCGCCCCTGGAAACAAAGTTACTTTGCTGCTGACTTTTATATTGAACTCCTCTGATTGAACTCCCAGAAGAATTAATGGTGTCGTTGTTGAGTTCGTCATCATTTATTCTTCTATACAACAAATTGTTTTTATAGAAGTATTTTTCACTGTTAGGTATTTTCAGTGAAAGTAATAGCTCCGGCCGGGGTTGCTCTCAAAAGATGGTTATCTTTCACCCAGGTTTACTAAGAGTTGTTTTACACAAAATTGCCCTCGTTTAGATACATATAGCTAGAGCGTATTAAATATTGATGAGCCATAATTCAGAGACCCGGTCAATATGTTAACCCAAAATATACTATGATAGTCTGTGAGAAACTGAACCGAAACCCTTTCACTCCCGAACGTGGCGTAAGTCGAAACTAAGAAAAGAAAGAAAAAGTGCTATGCGCACGTACTGCTCGGTAGCTTTTATTTGAATGGTCACATCGTAGGATTTTGTCCACAGACTTGAAAGTTCGAACCACATTACAAGACTCCATTGTTCACTCTGGAAATGGAAGGGTTAACTCTATAACCTTGGGTTGGTGCTGACTGCCCTTCCTGAAAAAAGAACGAAAGCAAAGCAAAGGCCGTCTACTTTTCAAATGTTGAAGTGACAGTTTTTTTTTGTCTCCTTTTCTTTTTGTCGTTTTTCTTTTCTCGGTCCTCGATGAGTAAAAATTGAAATTACCCGCTCATGACTAAAATCTTGTGGCTGCGCAGAAACGTTAAGCGATGCAACCTAGCTATTTGTTTTTTACGAGTGTAAGTCTGACTAATGTTCAGATTGCACGAGCATACTTTCTTCTTGTTCATCGACCCTACTGAGTCTTTCTGTGCAAGAAGTTGGATGATAATCGAAACAGAGTTGAAGTCACAATTTGTCAGTATATCCCTTTGCTTTCGTAGAGTGCTTGTTAAAATTATGTTTTGCATTCCCTCGACTAGCCGAAGAGGAAGTCGAGTGAAATGAAACGTGATCTTATACTTGTAAATAATAGAGAAATTTTCTACCTCTACTCTGAGATTGTATATCATTTATTTTACAGCTTCAATTTGGAATTAAAACTTGATGGATTTGAGTTTAACTTTCAGAATATTTGATTGTTTAAAATTGCTGCTTTTCTCACGAACAGCCTCTCTGTTCTAGCAACAAATGTGTGTGACATTGGTCACGCCCTACCTGTGGATGTTCTCTGCATTTTAGAGACGTTTATTTAATAAACTCCGAATACCCTTTACGTACATGTGTGTCTTTCTGATCATCCTCTCCATGTGACGTCTTTGGGAGTAGACTGTTCACAGACCCCTATTTCTCCGTAAGATCGGGAAGATCGTCGAGATGCCTTCCCATACGGGCGGCCATCTTGGATTGAAAGCCAAGATACCGAGTCTAGCCAGGAGCCCATAAGCTGGAGCGAGCAACTCCCATACTAGGCCTATGTCACGGCATTTTTGCGGACCCGTTTATTTTTAGACACATTTTAAGGCACTTTTTCCCGCGAAAATAGAATCTCCACCCTGTCTATGAGCGCACTTGAAGTATAAGATAGCGAAAAGGAAAACTAAACGTTATTAAAAGGCACAAAATATCATTTTTAGGGCTGTAGGTCTTACTGACTGGTTTGTGGAATTTAAAAGATATTCAAAATTCGCGCCAAAACCGTTCTAAAAATAAACTGGTCCGTGAAAACGCCTTGACACGAGCTCATGGAAGTTCCTCGCTCCGGATTATGGGCTCCTGGTCTAGCTAGCTACACAGGGGGCGGAAGGGCGGGGGACGGTTTGGGTGGAGGCGCCTCCCTCCTCCGACCACTATAAACCCCGACACCCCACCCTCAGTACATTTGAAAACAAAGAAAAAAACAGACATCAAGTTTGCATCAGCGAATAAAGTGTTCTTTTGAAAACGTCATACAGCCGGATTAAATAGTTGTCTTTCTTTTTCTTGGTTTTTTTCCAACCTTTCCTCTCCAATAGAATTTATTTCTACCATTTTTCACTTTCTAAAATTTAACCAAGCAATGTTTAATAGCTTACCTTTCCCTCTTTATAACAAACGTGCATTTTCGTATAGGTAACCTAAGAAAGCAACCCAGTCCGGTGAAAAGTATCAATTCTCGTATAATATTTAATCTTCTTAAATAAATCGATATCAAATAAGTCAACGTCATATATTATATTCTTAATGCTGATTTGCGTTACTGATTTTCTTCAAAGTTTGTAGTGGGGTACAGCAAACGGACAATCGGTTGTGAGTGTGTTATAAGAAATAAAGGGGCACACTCGCGATCGTTTCTTGTAATTTGAGACTTCCACAATTGCTTCCCAGTCAAGCGTTCGCAACTTCACTAATTTTGAAGAAGCAGCATTATATAAGGAAACTTTAAGTATACCAGAACTACGTTAAATAATTGTACAGCAACAAATACATTCGTTGACAAAGGAATCCGATACAAGGGTGCCGTGTCTCGTATACCTTCTCCTTCGCGCCCGAGGCGTGCTCTGTGAATTTTGCTGAAAGTTCAAAGTGAGTTGAGAAATATCACTTTCGTTGCACTCTTCACCTTCACTGTGTGTGTGGTAACGAACGCTGCAGTTTGTGATAGCGCGCACGCGCTTTATTGAGTCTGTTGATGACATCATATCGGAGGAATAGCCACGGTTGTCATAGGCAACGTCAGGGTCTGTCGCTTCATTATGGTTAGGTTTAGCCAAAAATGACACTCGACGGAGTTGAGGGCTGACTGGACTAATCGATGAACTAGCATCAGATTTTGATTGTTCGTTGTTACTGAGAGACATGTAGGTGGGTCTTGCCATTTTTTCTGTTGTTATACCGTTGACGCATTCATTAGGAGAGTTGTCAAATGAAAGAAACAATTCGTCTCCAGGTTTTTCCTCTTGCTCTCCCTCGTGCAACCTGGCTTTTTCAGCACCTAAATCCGATACAGTTCTGCAGTCTTTTGTTTGGTCATCGTAAAATGAACTTATGCTCCGCACTCTTTCGTGCTCCTCACCTTCTCTAACTGGCGTGGTTGACCCAACAGCGCCGTATGTGCTTTCACTCTCTCCCTCTGTCATGATTTTCTAGTCACTGCAGCAGAAAAAGAAAGTGTAAATAGGCGTTCTACGGGCGGGGAACAAGGCGGGGAGGAAACTTTGCCAACATTGTTCCTAGGGTCTTTTGCTGCCTTCAGCAGAGTAGCCTGCGTAGCAGGCGCTTGGAAGTAGTGGGCGAGAGAGAAGAACGGGCGCGCGCGAGGGAGACACGCGTGTCTTCTTCTCGCGAGCCCGTTTTTTCCTGTGCCCACTACTTCCAAGCGCCTGAGCAGAGCAACCTGGGGGAGCTTTTCGTGACAGACAACTGAAAGAAATGTGTATGTGTTATAATATTTAAATGGAGCTTTCAAACTAACTAATCTAAATCAGTGGTTAGACCCTAATCACTATAATTCAGTGAAATCATAAACGCAGCTCTACTTTCTCACTTCTTACTTTTCCTGGTAACTAAGCTCTTCTTCCTCTTAGAAAGCAATGACGAATACGACATTGTCTAAACGTCATGAGGTGTCTGACCTCAGGTCTGAGGGATTTAACAGCTTTACATGAACTGAATTGCATTCCAAAAAAAGCGCGCCAACTAGAAAGGAAAGAGAATGTAGCCTTGCGGCATGTCCTTCTTAGAAGAGTTATTTTCCCTCTCGACCGTTCAGAGGGGAGGGAGGTCGACTGGAAACTGCAACTTCTCGTTAGGCCAAGAGAGGATAAAGATACCTGTTTCCCTTTTGCTATGGCCTATGGGCACAGGAAAACTTAGCCTGCGAACAGCAGACGTATTTCCGGTCGTCGCTTCTCTACCTCCGAAAGGGACGACCGGAAATACGTCTGCTGTTCGCAGGCTAAGGAGAACTCTGTACCAGTACATTTCCCCAACATCTCAGTCAAGCCGCAAATTGCACAATTATCATTTTACGTCGATCCCACAATTTGAAAACTTGCATAACTCCTTAGTCTGATCAAGTAAGACGTAAAACGAGAAAATAATGGGGGAGGGGCGAGAAAAAGACGGTCTCTCCGCCTTTTTCCCCGTACCCTCTCCCCCATCGTTTTCTCGATTGACCTGTGTTGCGCTTTCGAATGGCTTTGCCTTCTTCGCAGGCTGATGACTCCTCTAAGCGAAAGGGACGTCAGCATGCAGCTTATAGACTAAAACGTTATAAATGTTCTGGATCAAAGAGCTTCAGAAGCTAAATATCTGATGTGACACGATTTTACACAACGACAAGTGACGTTCTCAAGTGCAATTCCGGTCACATCACTCGTGACCGGAAGTACTTTCGCAGCGTGTTTTATGACGACCTATTTTAAACAACAAACGAGGAGTGGACGACGTCGTTCACCAAAATCATCTATCACGTTCGTTGCGAGAAAGTTATATGATGATGGCCGCAACAATTTGTTTTACCAGTGTTACGTACGGCCCTTAAACGAGCCATTCTTGGTAAACAAAAAGGAACCCCTTTGTGCGTGTATATAGGTCAAGTACCGTTTGGCACTTTAATAACTTCACACGTTCTAATTTTTGCCATTTTTTGTGGTCCCGAAAAATTTATCCGCGAAGAGTAACTCCAGTGTCACATTTACATATAAAACATCGCCATTTACGAGAAAAGATAATTGAACATGAATCAGATCCTGCCTGGACAGAAGCAATAAGCCACATTCAGCAATAAACTGTAATTAGTCTGTTGATAGAACCGAGAATGTTATTATATTTTCAATCATTCTTTCGCCGGTACATTGATACCCTGAGGATATTTCTTTCTTGACAGCATTTGCTCGAATTGGACCTATCGTGAAAAGGATAGATAGTTCCTGCGAAATATAAATACGCCCATCCGCAAAATTTTAACTCTCGCAAACGTAAAATAACTCATGGATTTGAATTGGTGTGTGCCAAAGTCTAGTCTTTTCTCGGTCAAGTGGTATCTTGTCAACTTTCTAATTTTATAAATACAACCTTTAATTTTTTGCGCTGTTACTAGTAATACAAAAACTTGTCATTCTAGGAAAACTTGCTTTAGCCTGCGAGCAAGCTCTCCAATTTGGGCTCTGCCCCTCGCGGCTTCGCCGCCCGCTCGCGCGTTCTCGCGAGACTTGCTTCACTCGCCCAAGTATTATGTATTCATTTAACATTTCACGGAACATTGATTTTCGCGAACCCTAACTTTTGTTTTTGCGGGTCCCCATTGCAATATTATTCTGCAAATTTATCCTAATACAAAAGGTTAAGAGTTCCAAAGCTGATTATCATATCAGATCACCAAATCTGGATACCAAAGGCAAACCGGTTTGCTTAATGCTCTGCTAGGAATGGCGCGTGCATTACGTTACAAAATTTCAAGCGAGTGGTTATTTGGCGCCTAAATGCTTGAAGTGCACATAAAAATAGAAAATGCCGTAGTATTAATAGACTCGGTTCCTACTAGAATATGGAACCTATGGCTTATTGAATGATCGTTGAGCCTTTTATCTAGAACTTGTTCGCGCTTTGGTATTTAATTTAACACAGACTACTGTTTATATTTTGAACGATGCAATTAGATACGTGTGTATATGCCTTGACCAACGACATTTAAACTCAAGGACTTACTTGGTTGGCTCTAAATTAGAGCAGATTTCTCCCAAAAGTGTTGTTAACCATGATCGTTCGGCGTAATGGCGAAGGTTCTCCTGCGGAAACTGATTACGAAATATTTACTTCCACGACTAGAACAATGTACTTTACTTGTGTCACGCAACACCAGCCAAATCTTGCGTCACATGCGCATGTGAAAGCACAGGCTCTCCATAATGAACTACTGACAGTACACAGGTACCCCACGTTCGCGATAAGAATCGTTGTTAATTACGCAACAAAAATATTATAAGGGTTTGTATGGGGATTTTAACGATCGTTCTCCTAAGCAGGGTCAGGGTTTCTAATCCTCAGAAGCTCACTTATACCCAAATACTGGCCGAGTATCCCCCGGGGTATAGCTCTGATTGACCCTTCGCCAAATGTGACTTTGTACAACAACACCTTAGTTGGTACCTTCAGCGGACTAAAACAAAAGCCAGACCCAGTCGAGTGTAATCGCCGAAGCTCGACGAAGCCGAAGGTTTCCGTCAAATTCGATCTTGACTCACCAAACCGGTGGGCAGAAAACCACACTGAAAACCGGGTGCTGGATGATTTCGCAGACATCGATCTTTTCATCTAGACCGCCAGCGGTCGTCCTTTTTTCCTTAGCCTGCGTAGCATGGTAGCCTGCAAAAACATCCGTTCAGCTCTTCGGCGCTGGGGACGTTTCGCGGGGAGGAAACGTCCCCAGCGGCGAAGAGCGTGGAGAAACGGATGTTTTCGCAGGCTAGTGGCATGGCGGTTTTGTCTGGCGCAGTACTGAGCTCGCGGTTTCTCTGCCCTCGGCCGCCTTTTTTACTTTGCGCACAAAACCAAAACCGCCATGCTACGCAGGCTATTCTTTCCTCATTTAGACTACGAGTAGTTCCCCATTTTTCCTCAGGGATAGTAGAGCGGGCGAAACGTGAGTGCGCGTGAAAATCACCCCACGCGAGAAAAGGTGACACGCGCTTGCGTTTCGCTCGTTCTACTATCCTTGAGGAAAAATGGGGGACAGTATTCGTAGTCTATTCCCCATTGCCATGGGCGGAGATCACGTGTTCTCGATCTCCGTGACTCAAAAGAAAAACGAGAGACTGCTCGCAGTTTACTGTTCATCCAGAACAGCAGAGCTTTTGTAGAACTGGCGTGGCAAAGCGCTGAATCGACACAGGTTATTTCTCTCCTGCATGTATAGTAAGTCCCGGAACGGTACCATTGTACTAACACAGAAGTAATAGGCTCCTGACCAACAGGAGGTTGTACGCCAGCGCGTGGAATTAAGTCCTGTTACTGAATGGGGTAATAATAATAACAATAATAATAATAATGATCGCTTATTCAGCCTTTTTGCAGGCGGATCTGATTAATTACATACAAATACTTCGGAATTGTTACACGTAAATATAACTGTCAATGTTAAGACATATCACATTTCGCTCCCTGATTCTGGTATTTGATGGTGCAAAAATTTCCAAATCTGTTAGTTCTTGAGGAGGCAGACACAGAAACAGATTCTCCTGTTCTAAGGGCATACGGGTCTTGTGTGTGCAACTCGCGGCACTAAGTTTCGTAGCAGGTCGGAAGAAGAGTAACTTCGCTTGAGAAGGCAAGCTCCCATAAGCGGACACTCTCAGGACGCGAAAGCTAACGGTTCGGAAAATGGTTCTCACTTTTCAAGACACGTTTTCGCATCTTCGTCGTCGCCTAGGTGGACACCGCCAACCGCTAGAAGATACTGATAGGAACGGTTCCATTATCGCGAAAGTCCTTTTCGATGGTAAGGCTTTTTACTTGATTGATTATGACATTTTAGTAAAAACCACTGAGTGGTCTATTATCAATGCTGCGTTCTGATTGGTTGAGCTACTACTAGGCTATATGTTATAGCCCACTAGTAACGAAAAGCCCGGCTTTTTGGTGGCAAAAAAGGATTAAAGTCTAGCTCTAAGTAGCTAAAACTTTCTTATTCTCGATGTTTTTGACCAACTAGTTGGATTTTACTGAAAACAATTATTCCTCTCGTCCTCATGGCCTCTGAGTTATAGCCCATTCGGCTGCTATTGACTCAGAGCCCGATCCGGGCTCGAGGAATAATTGTTAATTAGTCAACAGCGGAAAAGGCAAGGCTGATTATACAGTCGGGAGTATTAACGTTGGTCCTTACATCCTAAACTGAACTATATTTTAGTCAGTATGTTAAGATTCGATAAGATCCCTAGAAAAGTTTGCCAGTAAGTATTATCAACTAGATAATTAGTTTTCTATCTGACATCGTTTCCAGAGGGTCAATCCCCGGGGGCGGGGGTCAACCTCTGTGCGTAGGAGCGGGGCTCGGTTCCACTGTCTCGCCACAAGACCGAGACGAGAAGTCTATGCCCCTACATGAATGAGAGACTGTTTGTTAATTTTCAGCTTTGAACATAGAGATTTCTAGTTTGCTTAAGAATTCAGTACCTTAACATTTCCTTGTTAATTGGCATGGGAACAGATCTTTTTCTAAGACGGATAGTGTAGTAAAGTTTATGTTAGCCTGCAAGCAAGCTCTCCTATTTGGGCGAGCCTCGCGAGAACGCGTCGCTCGCTAGCTCGTTCTCGCGAGACTCGCTTCGCTCGCCCAAATAGGAGAGCTTGCTCGCAGGCTAAGTTTATGTTAAGTTCATGTTTATGTCAAGGCGACATTCTTGCGCTTCATGAAGGGAACCAGACTTGGACAATTCTAGAGAAGCATCACTGTACTGATTGGTTCTAGTAAGAAGCTTAGAGTACTCAATACGACTCACTTTAGGCCCTGCACCCCAATATGCAGGCAGCCTTTGGATTACATTTTCTATTTTAAACTAGAACCTCGAAAACTCAATAACTTGTCATGGAAAAAAAGCTTGTCAAGCTTTCAAGTTTACTACAACCCCTTTTCCTCGAAACGAAAACTTCTTACTGCATTAAGATGAATTTCGTTCATGTGTAGTTTCAGGTTTCGGACTAACTGGATATAAGTCTTTTCAGACGGACACTTCTTTATTCAGTTCCGAACGGCACAGTTTTACAATTCGTTTTAGACAGTATTATTTTTCAGCGCGGATGACACACATGTTAACGGAGAGGCTGTAAGCTTGCTTCTACATCATAATAACTCCCCACTTCCAGCCTCGCATTCGACGTTTTCAGGCCAATCACATACAAGAAGGCTTGGATTAAATGCAAGCCCTGCTGGGCAATCCATTTCGTGTGCATTACCAGCCACGTCGCACATAATGAAGCCGTAACAGTTGTCAGGGTCAGCGTGGTTTCCAGCTTCCTTATCTTTGCAGAAATCTACACAGGTACAAAAACCCACCCAATGAGTGCATGCAAGAGCCATAATGAGACAGACAGGGAATTTTAGGGCGTTGGCTGGGATATGTGAATTTCACTTAAGTTATTTTTAGGGTTAAAAAAAGTAAGCGACGGGCATCACACGACTTCTGCACTAAGTCTTATTGGAAGTAGTATGACCTTCAGAGCTTCGCTCTAACTAGTAGGTCCTCTTGGTCATGTAAATGTAACTGGGTGTATGTTATGATAACTGAGATAAATGATAAATTTGATAACTTAGTGATTTTATAGTTAGCATGAGAGGATTCTGGCACTGAGAGAAATTCTTATCTACTGAGAACACTGGCTGGGATTTGAGAATTTCACTGAAGTTTAATTTTATGACGTCGGCTAGCAGAGAAATCCGCAAACCTTAATTGTGACGTTATTTAAATTGAAAATCATATGTAGCTCCATAATTAGTGATTTAAAAATGAGCAAAAAAATGAACACCCCACAGTAAAGTCGACCAAAGCCTGAAAGAAATTGATTAATGAGTGTTCTGAATATCCCCGGCTGCGTATCAAACTTTGCCTATTGTTATGGTTGCATTTTTTCAAGGACAATAGCGCTTTTGTTCGTGACATTCTTTTGCGTTTTCAGAAACTGCACCCGACCTTCATTCGGTTATGATTAGCAAATTGTCCTTGATAACGTTCTGATACTAAGTAGGGGCTAGTAGGGAAATTAAGTGAGACACAAACGGGCAGTCACAGGGGGTTGAAAGTCAATGCATTGTATCGCAGTCCGAGGCATGCAATTAGACACACAATAAAGTGCTATCCGTTACAAATCAAAAGCTTTTCTCGTTGAGAACTTGAAGCTGCCTATAAAAATTATTCATTTAAGAATGGAGCTGCTTCAGTTAACTCATCGCTGGACCCGAAGCAGACTTAAATAAGACCAGTATTTTTTGGTCCTTGATTGCAAATTCCCCTCCAACGAAATTTGAAGTTCTGCCGATTGACTTGAAATTATCTTTTAAAAAAAAATTTACACGAAAAAAGGATTATCTCAGTTTTTAGTTTTTGTTGGGGTATAACATCCGTATTCCCAGATGATCTTGTTTTGGTTTCAATCTAATTGAATTATAATGCAACAGGTGCCAGTTTCAAATATAATTATGTCATTGAAATCGCCGAAGAGATCAATTGTGAAAAAAGCTGTTCTTTTCAAGATCGTCAAGACAATGTGGTCCCAGTAGGGGGTGTGGAGGAAATGTGTTGGTCGCAGAGTGCATGAATGATATTACGTCGCACTTAGCCAGCTGTCACTTGTCTGAGTTATTCTCTCTTGTTTTTTTCACTCCGGCCATGAAGAAAATAAAACTGACACGTTGACTGACAATCGACGTGCCTCCTATGCAATGACCAAGTTTGAAGCTGGGAAGGAACACTATACTTTGAATTAGATTTTTTTCACGATGGTTGCATTCTAATAAACGAAGTCCCCAGTTTGACATACCTGAATCTCTTTTCTCCAACAACCCAGACAATACACCTGTATTTCAAACGAAGAGAGAGAATGACAAATAGGTCAGTTTACATTTTAATTGCGTTAAGGATCTGTTGTATTCGGTTTTTGTTTGCAACTTTACTGTCACAATCATTTCTGCTTCGTGTTTCCAGCCTCTTGGAAAAACAGTAACGTTCTACTTTACATGCAACGTACTACTTTACCAAATAAAGCTTAGTAATAAAGGTTCATAGGCCATTGAACGGACCCGCGGTCATTCAAAACTGGACGACCAGAATTTATTATGTAACATAACAATTCAACTTTTTTCATACCTGAGTACTAATCTTGAGTACTCACTACCCTCCTTGCGGGCCTTTATTATTATTACTATTTTTAAATTTGCATTTGTGATATATAGTAATTGGATTTAACTGATTAAAACTCATTAGGACAACACTCGCGAGGGTTACCTGCACAAAATACATAGCAATACAATGTACCACTAATAATACTAGCACTTTTTCTATTGCTTCGAAGAGGTTGGTTATTCTCCATTGGGTCTCACGTATGCAGTTGTGGCACTATTAATGGAACAAGCGGCCACTCTCGGATAAGGGACGACTGGCCGCTTAGTAGAGAGTTCAACGCTCTTTAGTGTAGCAATTACGCAATAACAGTGGCAAAAGGCATTTACGAAAAAGTGGGAATTTACCTGAACTAAACAGAAGACAGATAATGGTTATAAAGAGCAAGTAAATCTTCATTATTTCACTGGCTGGTTGAGAATGTGTGTGACTTCGATGGAGTTCCTTTGAAACTCTTGTTAAGGATAAGCCTTAAACGAAAGTTAGTTTATTTTTTATATTTGATATATAATAGATAAGAAAACCAGCTGGAAAAGCTGAGAGTACATGAATGTCGGCCTGCCATTCTCAGCCACGACAACTAAACCTCAAGCAACAAAATGTAAAATAGAAAATCACACGAAAAGCAGTTGTTTAAACAAAACAAGGAACTGATGTGCTTTTCTTATTGGTTGTGCTTAAAATACCGGCCTTGAGAGCAGAGGTTTCCCAGTCTCCGACATGGCTACCCTGCGAGCAAGCTCTTGAGGCGCTCTGGCTTTTAGCATGCGCAGAATCGTCCGCATCGCTGCCCTGAGTAAGCGGAACTGCCTGAACATCAAAGAGGCGAAAGATTTCCCATAAATTAAATTAACTGACCATGCCGGAAAGAAATCTAAGTTAGGAGGGTAAGTTGAAAGTGCAAATAAAGAGTTAAAAAAGACGGCAAAAAGAAGAGAAAGCACTTATGTAATTTCACGTCAAAGTTTACTTTTTGGTAAGTTTTTTCTCATTTGAAATCAAGTATGGCTTAGGATTGAAGATGAGGAGAGGTGGAGACCTCATTTAGGGGGGGTAAAATGGGATCCGGATAAACTTGTGGCCCTCTGATCACACGGATAATAAAACGTTCCTTTCGTACGGTTTGTATGGGTAATAGCATGATTTGTAGTGATATTTGGCATAAATACCACGAGTGATATTTCAAAATTGTTATACGTAATGGCGAGTGAAATTTGAGACAATTTTGAAATGTCACGAGTGGTATTTATTCCAAAAATCACGCACAAATCATGCTATTATTTGTTTATACTACTACCCGCAAAGGTTTGTAGTTTTCACATGTAGGTATTTCAAATTAAGCTGAAATACCGCTGCTCTAAGCCGATCAAATTGCAGAAATTTCTCATGTAGTAGTATAAAACAGAAAATAACGTATAGACAATCTACGGTTCAGAAACTGGAGGTATTTTTCTACGAGTTTACCCGTTTTACGCTGAAAACATAGCCTTGCTTGTATGAGGCAATTCTTTAACAAAAGCAGTATTGGTCTGATTGGTAAAAATATTACGGCTCCTCTGGTGAAAAGATCATGGACATAGGCGTACGGGCCGGGGGGTCGAGGGGGGCTGCAACCCCTCCCAAATTTTGGGCAACTCAGATTTTTTGGGCAGTGAGAGAAAATGTGGGCAAAGTCAGTTTTTAAAGACGTCACCATGTTTATTTATTTATTTTGAAGACCTGAATATTAACCTGAAGTCGGCGTAATAATCCAGTTACATCACAGCGGTCGCCTAGCATGTGATGAGTAATTTACATATTTGCAGTTTTTTCATGGTTGGGCACTATACTGCACTGCACTAGCTGGAATGGGCTATTTCCAGTCGTGAATTGATTAAAATAAACTTTCACATAACTTTCTAGAATCATCTCCACTCGAAGAACAGTGTATGGCAGATAGCATTAGCAGTGGGTATGAAAATGAAGAAGTCGCTGACTACTGAATTCTCAGTATACCACGAGTGATATTTCAAAATTGATATACTTACCACTGCTCTAAGCCAATCAAATTGCAGAAATTTCTCATGTAGTAGTATAACGAGAAGAATCTTAATTCTTTTAAAAAATCTATCGACCGGTTTAAAATTGTTCGCTAATTTGTTAAAGTAGACCGAAATGTTTGCAAAACCGCTGACAAGAGTGCCCGGATACATACTAATCAAATCCTTCTTTCGATTCTAGCAATCAAGCAGGGCTATCTCCACGACCTTTCACACATGTTTTTAAAAAGATTAAAACTACTATGAGGTGAAATTGCATGTCAAAAACGCTTGGTTTTCTACAGATAACGGCCAGACATCAAGATTTTCCTTTTCTTACCGTATTTTCAATAATAAAAACTTTTTCCAAAATATCTCGACCGTATTGGAGGAAAAAAGTTCCCGTGAACGATTTTGTAAGGTTCCCCGTGCCGAGAATCATTGCTGAAGTAAAATAGGTAATGGGGTCATTTCGTTACCATGACAACTCCGATGTCATTGCAACCCTGATGATGACAAATTGTCATCTTGGTCGCAATTTTTCCAAATGTTTGTTTACGGCGACGTATCGAGCCACCTTCATATGCCAGGACGGCCTATGTTGTTGTAATATGGCCCTCATTTCTTTTAGACTCTTTCGTAAAAATTTGGGGCAACTTGAAAGATTTTTTTGGGCAAATGGTTTACCGCCCCCCCTAGCAAAAAATTTCCCGTACGCCTATGATCATGGTTGAAAGTCAGAGTGGCACAAAAATGCACTAATCCGCTAAGACAAAAGCCACAATGGCTCTTGACTAAGACCAAAAGACGTATTGTCGAAAGTAATCAGGTGCAGGTAAACAACAAATAACGATAATCACGATAAATAAACATTTATATTCTCATTTTATGGCAATTTTTTTTAAAGGCATGGTCAACAATTGTCCGAGAAGGATACTGGGAATGAAATTATGTTTGACAATAAAACTGGTCAGCAGTGGTCACATACGCATTTACCAAAATGGCGGCTTTTGCGGATCTCAATGTTACTTGCTTGAACAACCCACGTGAAACAGAGAAACTTGTCTCTAAGGCTGTCAAACTTGGTTTTGAAACAATTGCTCTTTGCCAAACCTTTCGCCTTGAAACAGTGAAAAAAGAAAGAAAGGGCGCCGCTAAACTGACCCCAGTCAACTTGGGTAATTACCCAGCGATAAAAGATATGAAGAAAATCAACCCGCGATTGAAAGTTTATACACGGTTAACTGTACAGCTAGACGACCAAAGCCAGGTGCATCAACTGTCCAGTGATCCCGTACAATCCCATGATATCTTAGCTGTTCAACCGGCTACAGAGAAGCTTTTCCAGCAAGCTTGTAAAACGCTAGATGTTGATATAATTTCACTGGACATGACAGAACGCCTTCCATTCTACTTGAAATTCCCTACAGTAAATGCAGCAATTGAACGAGGAATACATTTTGAGATTGTTTATTCGTCTGCAATAAGAGACTCATCCCAGAGAAAAAACCTAATTTCCACGGCTTTGGACTTGGTTGTTTTTGCAAAAGGAAAGAACATTATTATTTCAAGTGGGGCAGTAAACGAGCTTGACTTTCGCGGGCCTTATGATATCATTAATCTCGGGTTATTGTTTAATTTGAAGGAGGAACAATCAAAAGCAGCCATCACAAAGAACTGTAGGGATGTTTTATTCCGTGCTGATGCTAGAAAAGGCACAGAAAAATCAGTTATTTCAGGAAAACTACTGAAGGAAACAGCTCAGCTGCTCTCCGATAAAGAAGAAGGAGACATTAGTGAGGGTTGTACTGGCCAAAGCAAGGAGCAAAATTTTGATGACAATGACGAGGGTGACAATTATGAACCAAAGGAAAAGAAATCAAAAGTTGAATGATGAGTTTACTTCATACATTGCTTAACACTTATGCGACATAATGACATGTTATTTGTGTATTGCAAAGCAATCTTAATGGTAGTGTTGGGAATTAGTGGAGATTTCATAATAAAAATTGATCTTCAAAGATAATTGGATTTACCTACCTGGCCCCAGTTGTTCGAAAGTTGGATAGCGCTTTCCACTGGATAAATCACTATCCATAAGATAGCGCAATTCGTTTTCGTAATACTTATCCTCTAGATGGCGATTTGTCCAGTGGATAGCGCTATCCAACTTTTGAACAATCGGGGCCTGATTGATCATTGATTATAATCAGAAACATCTCTCTATAAGTTTTCCATTTATTTATTTACCTTTGCACAAGTCAAAGAACATAACATTTTGACTTTTGGGTGATCAAATTTTCTTTCTTCTTTGTTTATGAGACCACTAAACAGGCAACACACAACCTTTTAATATGTTTATTTGCCAACAAAAATTTTACTTTTTCCCTTGGTAATTGATGGAACCTTCCCCACAACCAATTATCACTTTGTGTGAAGATTTCAGTCAATGATCATTATAATCAATGATTGACACACCACTACTTAAAAAGCTTGTTTCTCAAAAATTATACTGTTACTCATTTTATCATTAATAGTGGATTGATACTTGTATCATTTGTCCATATACTGAAGGCCATGGACAAAAACAAGATCACCCCTTTGATTTTGCTTGATTTATCAAAAGTTTTCAACAGCACTGACCATGATCGATTGCTTTGAAAGATCTCCGCTATGGGTGCATCATTAGATACATTAAAGTGGTTCAAGAGTTATTTTTTAGGCCGCTCTCAAGCAGTTTGTATTAGATCTATGCTGTGCTACCAATCAGCCATGGGGTACCGCAAGATGCCATTTTATCACCTATACTCTTCCGCATTTACTTGAATGACCTTCCTAATGTGCCACAAGAATGTTGTCTGGAGTCGTACGTTGATGACTCTAACCTATTTCTATCATTTCCACTGGCAAGCACTAACATCACATTAAGGAAACTAGAAGATGACTTGCTTAAAGTCACCACTTGCTGTTGTGAAAACCACCTGTTAATCAACCAAGACAAAATGAAGTTTATGCTTCTGGGAACTAAGCAACTCATGGGCAGACAGCTTACTTGCCCAACGGTGTCATTCCTTGACAAGTTGTTGACTCCCTTAACCTCAGCTAAGGACCTGGGCATGATATTAGACTCACATCTCACTTATGATAATCATATCTCTCAGTTTGTCTCATCTTGCTTAGCTAAGTTAGTTCAAATCAATTGAATTTAAAACATCTTTGATGAGGAAACGCTTTCAATAATGATCACAACACTGGTGTTCAGTAAGATGTTTTATTGTTCCACAGTCTGGTAGAATACCTCTGCCTCTAACTTAAAGAAGTTTTTTTAGTCAATTCAGAACTTTGTTTCTAAGATAATTACTGGATCGAGAAAATTTGACCAGGTAAACCCGCTTTAACGTTAGCTTAACTGGGTCCCTGTTAAACAGCAGTTATACCTTAGAGACGCTGTTATGCCTTTCAAGTGCTCTTATAATCTTGCACCTGGTTACGTTTGCTCCAACTTATTATGGAGAACAAATATTCACGACAGGTTGACGCACAACCTCGAAGCAGCCTTGAAATCCCACTTTTCAAAACAGCTTCGGGGCAACAATCTTTCACCTATAGGGCAGTGAAGATTTGGATTGACTTGGATGACTCATTTAAATTACAACCATTAATTTCTGCTTTGGATGACACACACATTAACAGAGAGGCTGTATGCTTGTTTCTACATCATAATAACTCCCCACTTCCAGCCTCGCATTCGACGTTTTCAGGCCAATCACATACAAGAAGGCTTGGATTAAATGCTAGCCCTGCTGGGCAATCCTTTTCGAATGCATTACCAGCCACATCGCACATAATGAAGCCGTAACAGTTGTCAGGGTCAGCGTGGTTGCCAGCTCCCTCGTCTTTGCAGAAATCTACACAGGTAAAAAAACCCACCCAATGAGTGCATGCAAGAGCCATAATAGACCTATTCGGCTAACTCAATGTTGTACCCAATTCAAATCTCCCGGGGATAAGATTCTTTGTGTATTGTATTTGCATTATAATGTGGCATTCACATTTAAATGATATGGAAATTCCTGAAACAAAACGTTTTATTCCCAAAGGGTTTGAATTGGGTACAACATTGAGTTAGCCGAATAGGTCTATGGGACAGAGAGGGAATCTTAGGGCATTGGCTGGGATATGTGAATTTCACTCAAGTTATTTTTAGGGTTAAAAATAAGCGACTGGCATCACATGACTCCTGCACTAAGTTGTATTGGAAGTAGTATGACCCTTCGTGCTTCGCTCTAACTAGTAGGTCCTCTTGGTCATATAAATGTAACTGGGCGTGTGTTATGATAACTGAGATAAATGAGAAATTTGATAACTTATAGTTTTAGCATGAGAGGATTCTGGCACAGAGAGAAAGACGTATCTAGCCGGGAAGGAACACTATACTTTGAATTAGATTTTTTTCTGTATAATTATCTTTACAGAATATGTTTAGCACTATGGTTGCATTCAAATAAACGATGTAATTTATTTATTCTATTTATCTGTTTTAGAAAGTGTTAGTTGGTATCCTCAGTTAGTAGAAGGACTTTTCCCCTCAGCTATTTTCTTAAAGACTCGTTAATTTATAAAGTTTTCATTCATTTTTTCATTCAGTGATGGTCAGTTGCTATGGTCACGAGATATGACATCATAAGTAGCAGGTGGTCAAGCCATTTTTGGGTAAAAATGCATGTTTTTTCAACTTCTTTCAACAATAAAAGTAAATCTTGTGGCTAATATCATGCAAAGTGCTTATTTATGTGTTATTTTTCATGTAAACCACAAAAAATTACCATTATCATGGTTTTAACCAGACTTCTAATTCTTGGTAAAATCCAAGATGGCCGCCAACATGGCGACCATTGTTTTGGACGTCACAGTCCTCCAGCAGCGCCAGACATCCGCTCTTAAAACTTCAATTAAAAACTTAATTAAGTTTTCGGAGGGAGTGGGGTGAATGTTAATTTTCAAACGATTACATTATCACCCTGTGTCCCCCTGATTGTATGGCACTACTTGAGCAAGATTCACACTATGTTCTGAGTATATGAATGATTGGCAATATCTTGCTAGGAGACCTAGAACAAAATAATTTTTCCCCACAAGTAAATTTTCAGGTCTTCTTGTTCCTTAACGTTTTATCATGGTCACGTGACATGTCACGTGACCAAAAATTTTAAATGAAGGAAATTGGCGGGTTGGTGGCGAATTTACTTTGTTTAAAAAAAAAGACGTTTCTGAAAAAGCATAAACATAACTGACTTTCTACGTTTGGAATGAATGTACGCGAAGTTTTTAATTAAAGTTTTAATAGCGGATGTCTGTAAATAACGACCAGAGGTGGAAAAAATAAAATTTTTCAACAATCCCAAACAAATTATGTACACTCCCCTGGGTATTCTAGTAATGAAATATAAATTTTAGTTCCATTGGATAAATATTTTGGCTATACGACGAATGTCAACTTCGGCCGATTGACGGCCTCCGCCAGACCGCTTTTTCGGGCCCCTAGACCTGGCTACGAAAAGACTACGATTTCAATCGAACTCAAATATCATCCAACCCAAAAAGCTTCTTATCGTATTTAAAGGGGTTTCGTACACATACTGAGTGGCCATGTTCTTGAATTGATCGCAACTGGAATATTTTATGGATTTTTAAATATTTACAAAATTTTAAGGCTTTTACGCGAGCAAAATATTGTCAGATTTCAAAAGGCCTAAATCACATCCAGTACATGATTTCTAACAGAAAAAGACATTCCACGTTAAAAAGCAATCTCTAAGCTTTCAAAATATACTTTCAAAACTCTGGGCAACATATGAAATGAATTTTTGGGAACGCAAAATTCACACAGCACTTGAGTGTTATTTGACCTTTCTTTTTCGACAGTCAAGAGGTTCCGCGCGACACAAATCAATCCTCCAACAAATGTTTCAGCCAAAATACGTTTAATTTAAGTAACCTCAAGTCCCACGGTGATACATAGATGCTTCTTATACATTCGGTGGAAAGTTTCACGCCATTTTGTCAGCCGTAAAGAACTATTACTTTGGCCTTCAGGTGTTTGTGTGTTTGCGCGCCTTTCTAGTCCCCATCTCCATACCCTTTCTTCCTTTGCGCTTTTCGAAATAGGATTAACGACGAGCGAATTTATAACAATAACGATACATAGCGCTGCAACTTTTTTTCAGGAATGGAAAAACAGAAAAAGAAAAAGCAAACCTAGCAATCTTTTTAGTTCGTTGTTTAAACCGCAAACCGCCTTTGGTTACCTGAGCATACGGGGTTTTCACTGCTCCATCTTCCGTCATTGCAGGTTATGTTACTCACACCGCGCAACGTAAAGCCGTGAAGGCAGAGAAATTTAATGGTCTTTCCATGCCTGAAATCACTACCAATTCGGCGACTGTTTTGTGGAGCTCCAGGATCACTGCACGTTTCTGCGAAGTTAAGAAAAAAAATACTTTTTCGGGCTCCTAAAGTAAACAAAGTAAATTAGCGTCCGCATGCAGATAAACTTTAAGGAGGCCTTCCAAGGGGGGTAGCTGTGTCGCAATGTCGCTTGCTTTAGGAGACCGTTGTCGCCTAATCTACAGCTGCAAATGTCGCTGTCGTTTTTTGAAGTGTACATAACTGTACCAGTAATTTTTGTTTTGCGAGAAACTG